AATCACAAAATCATTCAGACCCTATAAACCCAAAAGACCCAAAAAAGAAGAGTATGTAGAGACTAAGATTGAGACTGGACACAAATAGATGGGCAAATATAGTTAGGAGGAGAAAATGGCAAAAAAGGAGAAGGAATAATATGAGTAACGCTTCCGCACCTAATTCCTGGAATAATACTGTTTGTTTTTCAGTTGAAACAGGTCTAGGTTGAGCAAATAAGTGATACACCAACTGGTTTGAAGGAAACTGGAAATAGGTGGGAACAATATAATGAGATGTGCAAAACATGTACACTTGCCAATATATGTAATATGAGATAATTGATTGAGAAACAATTGACAGAATGGATACTATATAACAGTTCTTTGTTGACAATATCAAAAACTTTTTAAACTTTAAAAACATAAACAACTAATTATTTATTGTTTGTAAAGATTAGCTTGAGAAATCATTGTTTATGTGTCTTTTCTTTCATCCTCATTAAATTACTTGACTAAGTCAAAATTTATAAAAAGAGTTAACTTCTTTTTTTCTATAAATATGCATGATTCATGTTAAATGAGTCTAAAAGGAATTCAAACCCACAAAATATCCATTCTTATTGTCTTTCCATTATTATGTATGTAAATCACTATGGGTTACTATGTATGTCTTATTGTCTTTCCATTACTATGTATGTAAATCACTATAGGTTATTATTCTTGTACAATTCCTTATTGTTTTATTTATTTAAAACTTCTTATTAGGTATGCAATATGGATAAATTTCTCAAAAGAAAATCAGCAATGGACCAATCATCCTCATCAGTCCAAGAAAGTAAAGCCAATGATAAAGAAAATGATCCATTAAAAGAAAGTCATGTAGAACTAGAAGCCATCTTGAAAGATATTCCATCTGATCCAGCTCTACGACCTAAAATCAATCATTATCATCCTAATTATAGGGATGCAATTTGAAGATTTTACTTGCAAAAGAGTTGTTGCCAGCCTCGAAATCATGCATTTCCACTGACAAAATTTGGAAAAGAATAACATCGATTTAATCCTGCTTGGTTTGATGTGTATGGCGATTGGCTTGAGTATAGTGTGACCAAAGATGTTGCATTCTGTTTGTATTGTTATCTTTTTAGACCTTCCATTATAACCCAAGCTGGTAGTGACGCTTTCGTTAGTGAGGGATTTTGTAATTGGAAGAAACCAGAATGCTTTCAAATTCATGTTGGCCAGCCAAATAGTGCTCATAACCAAGCACGGCAGAGTTGTGTGAATTTAATGAATCAAAAGCAACATATCGAAGTGGCTCTATCTAAGCAATCATATCAAGTTGGGATTGAATACTGAACTCGCTTGACTGCATCCATTGTTTGCATTAGATTTCTTTTGCGTCAAGGGTTGGCATTCCGTGGTCATGATGAAACTGAAGACTCGAAGAACCAAGGTAACTTTCTCGGACTTCTTCATTTTCTAGCTCAGCATAATGAACATTTTAAGAGTGTTGTTTTAAAGAATGCACCTGGGAATCTTAAATTGATAGCACCAGTGATTCAGAAAGATATTGTGAATGCTGCAGCAAATGAAACCACAAAAGCTATCATTAGTGATCTTGGAGATGACATATTTTCAGTTTTCATTGATGAGTCTCGTGATGTTTCAATTAAAGAACAAATGGCTATTGCCATACGTTATGTAGATAAAAAGGGTCATGTACTTGAGCGATTTCTTGGCATTCTATATGTTAGTGACACAACTGCAGTATCACTTAAGATGGCTCTTAAGTCATTATTTTTTCAACATGGATTGAGTTTGTCAAGATTACGTGGACAAGGTTATGATGGGGCAAGTACCATGCAAGGAGAATTTAATGGTCTGAAAAGTTTGATTTTGAGGGAGAATGAATATGCTTATTATGTTCACTATTTTGCTCACCAACTTCAATTGACACTAGTAGCCGTTGCAAAAAATCACATTTCTATTGCTTCGTTTTTTAGCTTGGTTACTAATCTGATAAATGTTGTAGATTCATGCAAGCGTTGAGACATGCTTCGGGAGAGCCAAATTAATAAACTTGTTCAAGCACTAGAAATTGGTGAAGTTAGCAAGGGACGAGGTTTGAATCAAGAGACAAGTCTAAAAACAAGCTGGTGATACACGTTGGGGCTCATATTAATACATTGATCAACTTAATCCTTTTGTTATCTCTTGTGGGCGATGTGCTTGAGGTTATTGAAGAAGATGGTTTAAATCCTGAACAAAGGGGTGAGCATGTAATCTATAGATTTAATCTATTCCTTTGATTTTGCATTTAACTTACATATGATGAAAATATATTGACAATTACTAATGAGTGTCATAAGCATTGCAGAGAAAGAACAAGACATTGTAAATGCAATGGCTCTAGTCAAACAACGGTTACAATTGTTGAGAGATGAAGGATGAGAATCTTTGTTGAGTGAAGTTTCTTCATTTTGCCAAAAGCATGATATTGCCATTTGAATATGGATGATATGTTTGCAATTCGAGGGCGGCCACGACGGAGAGTTGAGCACATGACAAATTTGCATCACTATCGAGTTGAATTGTTTATACTGTGATAGATATGCAACCAAGAATTTGACATCGTTTCACTGAGGTTCGTACTGAGCTGCTTCTTCGTATGGTATGTTTAGATCCAAGTAATTCATTCTCTGCTTTTGACAAACATAAATGATTCATTTTGCCCAGTTTTATCCATGATTTTTCTGCATTTGAGTTGATGGTACTGAGAACCAGGTTGAGACTTATGTTTTGACATGCGTTCTTGTGATGAATTTGCTAAGTTACAAGGAATTGGTGATTTGGCAAGAATTTAGTTTGGTTAAAAAAGACATTTTGTAACATTGGTGTATAAGTTGTGAAACTTGCATGGTTTACCAATTGCGACTGCGACCGTTGAAAGGTTTTTCTGCAATGATATTGTGAAAAGTCGGTTACGCAATCGAATGGGAGATCAATGGATGAATGATTGTTTGGTCACCTATATTGAGAAAGATGTATTTGATACAATTGACGATGAGATGATTATCCAACGTTTTCAAAATATGAAAACTGTCAAGGACAATGTAAAAAAAAAATTGTGTTTTTTGAATAATGTATTTGTATTTTGTAATTTTTGTTGAAGTTCATCTAATGAAAAAAAATATAGTATGATCGGTTTAATTTTTTTTTTTTTTTTTTTTTGTTTATTTTTTGCCCCGATCGAGTAAAATTCCTGGATTCGCCACTGCATCTTTACATTAATAGATTTTTGTGGGGTTGAAAATGATCTAAAGGAGAGATTTTGTACACACATTAACATGCACTCAAATAATGCAACACAAAATTGATGCTGAGAAAAAATATATTGACATGGACTTGCTTGTGTACGTGGAAAAATTCACCCCCCAAAAAAAAGGGATTTTGAATACTTCAAGGAGATATATTAGGGTTATCTTATCATACTTGGGCTGTATTACGGGCTCAATTTTGGGCTTCAAAAAAAAAAAAATTTCTTGAAGCAATCGGCCTTGCCCCGGATTCCCGTCAACAAATGTTTATGAATAGCCCGAACCGTGCCCCGAGATCAATTGGGCTTCACAGTAGGCTACAAATTAACAATCTAAATGTGGGTCATTAGTCGCATCTCAATTTAGCCATAAATATGTATTTATTTTTAATAGAGCAAATAACATATTTCCACCCGAAGTTTAGCAAAATATTTGATACCCTTGACTGCATTTATTCTAGATTTTCACCCTTAAAAGTAACGCGGTTTCCTTATTTTAACATATTTCTAACTTTTTAATATAGCATGGCACACATTAGCATGCCATAGCTTTCTTTGGCAGAAGATGGGTTCATGTTAACAAAAATGGGCTCACGTTAACAACGTCTAAACGATGGTTTTATGATTTTTTCGATCAATTCTGAAGTCCAAATCATTTTTGAGATCACCTTTAGACTCCCACAACCTCTTCTATAAACCTATACCTCACTTGTCGACCTCACTCACTGTTTCTAACTACTTCAACCGTCACTAACGATGTTAGTTTAAGGGTGGAAATTAAATAAATGCAACCAGAGGTAGCCCTTGAGATTTTGCTAAATCTTGGGTGGGAATATGTTGTTTACTCTTTTAAATATTATTAAAAAATAAATAGGTAAATTAACACCCCCATAAAACAACGAACAACAGAACCCTTGCCTTCTCTAGCTCTTGTAGGAGAGAGGAGGAAGAAAAAGAAACGACAATGAAATTCCCAGATTAGTGTCAATTCCAATTATTGCAATGTTTATTTTACGGGATTTGTGTATTGCGCAACCGTTTTTATTTTATGAAAGATTGGTTTGGTTTGGAATCATCAAATGGGTTGTTGAACGCTTTGATCTTCACTTTCTTGCTTTCCTCTGTGTCTTCTCTTTCATCGTTCTGTTGTAATTGACCCAGGTTACGTTCCTCCCTTTATGTCCCTGATGTTGAACATAGCGCTGCCTCAGACCAAGAATCACAAAAAATGTGAGTTCTTTTATGCTTTTATTTATTTATTTTATGTTTTTGTTTAGTTAATTCTTTAATTTAAATTTATACTTTAGCTGTTTTGAGGTGTTTATGTTGATCTTTATGGGGGAGGGGGGGGGGGCGCGGTGGTGGGGGGGGGTTGTGGTTGGGGGTGGGTGTGAGGGAACGAAAGAAAAGGATAGTTTGGATAAATATTGTAATCTAAGTCTAGAATCAAGAGATGAAACATTAATCTACATTGTCATTGTGAACTTTTGAAATGAATGGATGATGGTGTATAGGGCTATGTTAATTTGGATTTTTGGTTAGATGAGAGCATGAAAAGATTGAGTAGGTCGGAGGTATATTGTTTGGGAGGAGGATTATATAGAGAGGATGTGTTTAATGGTGTAGCTGAAAGGATAAGATGAATGTTAAACTGTATAATATAATTATTCTTAAATGAGAATTTTTTTGGCTTTGCACAATGGGCAAGTCTTCATGTTTACGAGCTGAAGCAGAGAGTGAATTTGGTAATGATTTACGAAGCTGTTCAAAAATTTCTGTATACATGCTAATTGTTGTTTGTACCTGACAATAGGTCAATTTCGTAAATCGAATAGATGGGAAATGGTTGGCTGTGCGTTTTAATAAAATATCTACTAGCGTCCATGTACTATCGCCAATGTTGATTATGATCATTGATCCAGGTCAAGGACAACTAAGAATAGATTGATTAAGAGATGAGTGAATGATCTTATTAAATGAGAACATCGTCACTCCTTTGTTTCTCTGTGTGATGTTCTTAGGAGTTCCTTAAGTTATATGAATGAGTTAGTTATGAGTGCTGGATGAAATTTAATGTATTTGTGAACAGGTACACATGGTACTATTTTCATTTCAATGTAATTTTGATTCTGGATTGCATAATTTGTTGTAGAGTGTGCAAGTGGCAATGCGACAAGTGTTCTGCACTAAACCTCCAAGGGCTCATCATTGCAAGGTTTGCAGAAGGTGTGTGTTGGGATGGTAGGTCTGATAAATTCTCTTCATAACCATTTGACTAGAAACTTTAATTTTGACTTTCGAGAGATTAATTAATACACACTTTTTTCGCTCAAATGCGTCACAGGATCATCACTGTCTGTGGATTAAAATTGTGTTGGTTATCAAACTACAAGGCCTTTTGTGCTTGTATTTTATGCTACTATTGGAAGCCTGCACTCTACAGTAAGTGTGAACTAGTTCTTTTCTTTCCTGGTTTCAATTTTTGTAAAGGCACTGAAAATTGTGACCAGAGTTCTTGGTATGTTAGGTCATGATAACGGGCTCTGCTTTACAAAGGAATGGGATATCAGTGGAAAGCCTCAGCTTAAGATTTTTTATGTAAGTTGGAAGTTCATATACGCTTTTGTGTCAAATGTACTAGTACATTTTTTTGGGGTATTTTATAAGTAAATACTGAAAAAGCTGAGATGTGGTTTAGTCTTTTTTTTGCTTTTCATGACACATCAGAAAGTTAGGCTGCAGTCTTTATATTTATGCTGAAGTACTTGTCCTGCAAATCTATGCAATTGAGTTCAAAAGATGAGATGGCAGGGTGAAGACAAACCATACAAGCTAGTTAGTAATGTAATATAATTTCTACAGTGTTCTTAGATGACATTTTGTCTTTAGAGCACCTTGATATTCTGTTTGAAACTTGATTAATTATGAGTATTTTAAAATAGTTTAACTTTGCATGAGTTTAGAGTGCCACAAATAAGTCTATAGATGCAATTTTTTTTTATGGTGAGTGTTTTGTTCTATCAATCAAGTTAACTCTGGTAGTCTGCTTGTGATTTCTATATTTGTTTAAGTTGTTTAACTTCATGTCATGTTGTTATGCAGTCTTGCCACGTTCAGAATTTAGCTTTACCAACACCTTTTCCTTCCTTGTGTTAGCAAACTTCTACTGTCTTAATGTTAAAATTATGTTTTTGAAGATTTTTAAAAAGTTTATACGCTCTAGGTTGCTTGTGGGATTGATGGTTTCATTGAGCTTAGCATTTGGTACTCTCTTTGGTTGGCATGTGTCCTCATCTCTAAAAATATGACAACTATAGAGGTAAGTTTAGAAATTTTGAAGTTGTATACACAGCATAGTTATTTCTTTGGTTATTGAAATGATCTAGAAATGTGTTTGTGCTAGTCCCATGAAGCGGAACGAGCAGCATGGTTGGCTCGGAAACTGGGCAGAGCTATCGACATCCATTCAAACGTTGGTGTCTACAGAAAAAAACCTTGGTACTCTCTCTCTCTCTCTCTGTGTATCTATCCCAGTGTGTATTTGTGCATCTGTTGGTTCACGTGGCAATTTGCATACTGTACAAAGTAATAACTATATCTGTAATCTACCAACTATCTTAATCGCTGCCTTTTGATCAGATATTGGGTCCAAACTGCTACATGGTTATATCCCTTGGCAGTAAGCCATCCAAAGATGGAACTAGCTTCCCCACACCACAGCATAGTTTGTGAACCTTTCTCGACTCCATTCAGACCTCATAATCAGTGGTACAAAAGGAAATTTTGATTCATTCTTTCTGTCACTCGTTTATCAAAGGCACAGAGAAGCAAAAGGAAGCAGCTGAGCAATCAACACAGTTCTTTCATCATAAACTCAGGAAAGTTAGCGCCCTATTAGGTGAAGCATGAATTACAATACTAGCTAGGACTTCATAAATAGAGATGCATATAGAAATTCTAGATTGTATACGTATGTGTACTAGATAGTCATCAGTTTTCTTTTCTAATTCAACCCCCCTTGTTTAGCCAAGCACATTGTTGCGACACAAACAAGTAATTTTTCTCGATGCAGATTCATGTTTGTATTGTTATTACTTTATAAAGAGGTTTATTGGATTTATGAGTGAGCACGGGTAGGGGTATAACCGGAACCTGCGAGTGAATCGAAATTGGAATCGACACTGTGCGGGTAGGTTTCGGTTCCATTTTTGGAACCGATACTGTGAGGTTTTGGTTTCGGTTCCTACATGTGGAGGAACCAGAACCTGAAAAAAGAACCTACAACGATTACTCGGCTTGGAACCTACAGCAGGTACCCTGTTTTGGAACCTGGGCTAAAATAAATATTTGTGAAGAATGGGGGGTCTATTGTGATTTTACAAATAAAAAAAAATTAAATGGAAAAAGTTAAATTTTTACAATAACCTAATTAAATAAATAACAATTATACTTTTACATATAAACTACATCATATAAAAAACTTGAATATATATAATATTTAATATTAAAATTTGATTAATTAAGTGTATAATTGGAATGGGACCAATTAAGTGTTTTAATGATATTAAAAGAATTATTTTGAATAAAATAGTATATTTGATTGAATAATAATATAATATTAGTTATTTACTTTATTATCAAGTTCTAAGTATATCATTACATTATAGTTAAATGATTATTTAAATTATAAGTTTATAATATATATTAGTAATTTAGTATATTACTTAATTAAATAATTAAAATTTTAATGAATTATAACATTACATTATGGATTTATAGTATAATTATTAATTAATTATAGCATTACATATAAAAATGATTACTTAATTAATTATAACATTCGATTATAAACATTAGTACATATTTAAATAAATGATTAAAAATTTAATTAATATAATATTACATTAAAGATTTATAGATAATACTTAATTCATTATAATATTACATTATAGTCTGATCAATAATTAATAATTACTTAATTAATTAGACATTATATATAAACATTAGTAATTTACACATTAGTACAATACTTAATTAAATGATTAGAAATTTAATAATTAATATTATATTATAAATTTATAATAGAATTACTTAATAATTATAATTTACGTTATAAACATAATTACTTAATTAAATAATTATTTAATTAATTATAACATTCCATTTAAATATAGTACAATATTAATTAAATGATTAAAATTTTAATTAATTATAATATTACATTAAAGATTTATAGTATGATTACTAATCATTATAACATACTTTATAGTTTGATAACGTAATTAATTATAATTACATAAAAATGATTACTTAATTAATTATGACATTATATATAAACATTAGTAATTTCTCACATTAGCACAACTTAATTAAATGATTAGAAATTTAATTAATATAGCATTATAAACATTAGTACAATACTTAAAAATGACTAAAAATTTAATTAATTATAATATTACATTAAAGATTATAGTATGATTATTTAATTCATTATAAATTACTTATAATTTGATCACAAATAATATAAACATTACAAATAAATGATTACTAATTAATTATGACATTATATTACAAACATTAGTAATTTCCCACATTAGCACAATACTAATAAATTATTAGAAGTTTAATTATTATAGCATTACATTATAATATTATAATATGATTATTTAATTAATTATAATATACGTTATAAACAATTATACTTAATAATTATAACATTATATATAAACATTAGTACACTACTTAATTAAATGATTAGAAAATTAATTAATTAAAACATTACATTATATACTTAATTAATTATAATTATAACATTATATTATAAACATTAGTAATTTACTGCATTAGTACATTAATTAATTGAATAATTAAAAATTTAATTAATTATAACATTACATTATAGATTTATAATATGATTACTTAATTAATTATAATATTTCATTATAAACATTAGTATAATACTTAATTAAATGATTAGAAATTTAATTAATTATAATATTAAATTATAGATTTATAGTATGATTGTTTAATTAATTGTTTGTGTTTTGGTTTTGGTTTTGGTTTTGATTGAGGAATTTTATGTGAATTATGATGAATTGATTGAATTCAAGTGTTGCCTAAAGATTAAAAGATTTATGAGTCACATTGGACACAAATGAATGATTAATCAAAATTTATTAGGGGTGTATTTGTAAACTTTTAAGGGATTTTTGTCATTTTTTGTTAAATTAATAGGGGGTAATTATTTTTACAGGATACCCGAGAAAAGAACTGGAACCTGAATTTTAGGTTCTGGTTCCTTGAATTTAAGAACTTGCATTGTGTGGTTCCGGTTCCCCCGAAAAATGCAAGATACCCGAAATCGCTCACCCCTAGGATGTATTTCATTCTGTAAAAATAAATGCTTTTTGTACACCATTTTGAGGTTAACTAATTTATCCCAGTGTTTTAAAAACCAACTTAGGGTGAAACCTGACAAAGTGGCTAGGTCCGAGTTGACAATTTTAATCAGTTTGATTGGTGGGTCAAACCGGTGTCCAAATGTTTGAAATCTAACCAAAATACCCCTAAAAATTACATAGAAGTCTCTATAGGTTTAAAATCTTGTAAAAGCACCCCAAAGACCACGGTCGGCATTGGCAAATAGGGTTCATTTTCAGCAACGACAACACTCCCAATCACCACGAAAACACTCCCCTCGGTCTCTTGACCAAAACCATTCCCACCTCTACCCCGTTCGCCTCCCCAATCGTCAGCAATAGCAGGCTTTTTTCGACTACTTAGTTTTGCAATTTCTAGTCGATTCACTCACCGAAAATCACCTCCGTTGCCACCATTCCACTCACTGGCCATTCCTCTTCAAACCCCTAATATTCCAACCCTCAGTTGTGCACGGATCGATGTTCTAAATTCTAAGGTTTTCAATGAATAGGAAAATTTGTAACCCAAGCCGATGAAGGCTCCGGATTCGGTTAAACTGGTTCAACAGGTTGGGCTGGGTCGGGTTTTAAAACACTTTTTTTCTAGGAAAAATCCTTGAAGAATTTAAATAATATCAATTTTAGAAAATGAGTATGCAACATATTTACTATTAATTGAAAGTGAAAGAGAAGCTGCAGAGATTATGAGATTGAATCTTTACCTGCATCCGCATGTGTAAATTTTTGGGTCAAACAGTAACTCAAAATGCTTATAATTGCAGAGTCTGCATTCGTATAATCGTATTATTAGAGTTTTGCAATCATTAATGTATTGTGGATAAGCATAATGGTGTTTATGATGAGAGGAACTGAATCATTAACATGGAGAAGAAATTAAAGAAATGAATTATCAAAATTTGGCCGGGTGTAATACATCCAAGAATTATCAACTTCAAATATTCAAATTCAATCATACAACATATGGATCCAATACATCAATAATTGAAGTCACCGTATTCATCGTCCAAACCCCATGTAGCAAATGATCTCTGAATATTGCTTAAGGTTTTAAGATCAACTTGACTGTAATCTCCATCACGCAACAGCAAAATTTCTGACTTTAAAAGTTTATAATATTATTCTAAGCGTAAATGGGTTACAAATGGTTGCATTCCAGAGGGCCGCTCTGATTTTTCTCAGTTGAACTTTTGTTTCTGGTGAGTTACACCTGGAATGCAATTTTGAAAAACAAGATTAGGGACGTAATCAAGGATATTCATTTTGTAGGATTCTAGGATTTGATGAGATTCCAGTGGACATTATTATATCAAACATGGAATCCGAATGTTCATCTGATTCTACTTGCCTTTTGTAAAAGCTGTGCAACTTTCTAATTTTTAATGAATCCCAGAGAGAGAAAGAACTGTTATGTTACTGCACCCACTATACAAACAAAAAGATATTCAGATCAATTTGCGTATATCTCAACTAATTTTTTGGGATCTTAAAATTGATAGTCAGATAAATTCTTCCAGTGATCATTCTATTAACAACCTAGATAAATCGAACTTATGACCTCTTGAGTGATACATCCAAGAGTTTTAGTTAACTATTAGATAACTCAGTAGTAGTTTTCATCAACAAAGGTGAGTATCAAATTATATCCAGTACGTACATTTGTTAAACATATTATTGAATAATTGAAATGATATTATATACATATATATGTGGATGTTATGTTGTATGTAGAGCCAACATACAGAAAAACTTTTGTTCCATGAATGACTAGTCTGAGCTATATATTATAAGTTGACTAGGACTTGTGTTACAGCATAATTTGTTGAGAAATAATATTATAATTAAATTAAATACTTTAGTCAGTTAGTGCACGACTTTTATCATCCACAAACCTGGGTTACTTTTACTGTGCATGATGATTTCTGCTGTCTGCCAGTCTGTCACTGGGTAATAAACATTTTTTTTATCACCAAAGTGTGTAAGCCGCCGGTTTCTAAAATCTTGAAATTTTCTAAAATCTTGAAATTATCATCGAGTAGGTGTTTTTATAGACACTCTTAGAACTCAAAATTCTATAAAACTTTTTTTACTCTTTTATTATCAAACTATCCATAATGATTAATAAATATATTTTTTATAATAGCTTTCGATTTCCACTTCTACTTTTAGGGTTAATTTACAAGCATATATGATATTAGTAATACTATACTCACAAATCATTCTCATTAACTTTGTCTTACAAACACAATGTATCAACTTATAATTAGACAGTTTACAATGGATCTTATCTGTCCAATAATGGGTCTTATCTGACCAAATACATACTGTCATGTTAACGTTTGTGAGAGAAAGTTGTGAGAAGTGTTCGTCAACTGGATATTAATTATCATTTTAATCATATATTTTGGTATTATAATTGTGATTTGGATTCATATTAATTTATTTTCCTTCATATTTAAAATATGCTTAAATCATACTTAAACTATTAAAAAAAAAAAATTATACAAGAATTGGACAAACCCTGACACCAGAATTTGGGGGACCTAAAATTATTTAACATTGTAGTGTAGATGAATTGAAATTATTGAATGTTTGATGGGTGTTTAAATCATGCAACGTGACGTGTGGGGATAAGCTCTAAGTTTTATAGAATTGGAATCGACACTGTGCGGGTAGTTTCGGTTCCATTTTGGAACCGATACTGTGAGGTTTTGGTTTCGGTTCCTACTGTGGAGGAACCAGAACCTGGAAAAAAGAACCACAACGATTACTCGGCTTGGAACCTACAGCAGGTACCCTGTTTTGGAACCTGGGCTAAAATAAATATTTGTGAAGAATGGGGGTCTATTGTGATTTTACAAATAAAAAAAAATTAATGGAAAAAGTTAAATTTTTACAATACCTAATTAAATAATATACAATTATACTTATTACATATAAACTACATCATATAAAAACTTGAATATATATAATATATTAATATTAAAATTTTGATTAATTAAGTGTATAATTGGAATTGGACCAATTAAAGTGTTTTAATGATATTAAAAGAATTATTTTTGAATAAATAGTATATTTGATTGAATAAATATAATATTTAGTTATTTACTTTAATTATCAGTTCTAGTATATCATTACATTATAGTTAAATGATTATTTAATTAATTAATAGTTTATAATATTATATTAGTAATTTAGTATATTACTTAATAAATAATTAAAATTTTAATGAATTATACATTACATTATGATTTATAGTATAATTACTTAATTTTATAGCATTACATTATAAACAAATATTACTTATTAATTATAACATTCGATTATAAACATTAGTACATATTTAATTATATTAAAATTATAAATTAATATTACATTAAAGATTATAGTATAATTACTTAATTCATTATAATATACATTAGTCTGATCACATAATTAAATAATACTTAATTAATTATGACATTATATTAAAACATTAGTAATTTACTACATTAGTACAATACTTAATTAAATGATTAGAAATTTAATTAATTATAATATTATATTATAAATTTATAATAGAATTACTTAATTAATTATAATTACGTTATAAACAAATAATTACTTAATTAATAATTTTTAATTAATTATAACATTCCATTATAATTTAGTACATATAATTAAATGATTAAAATTTTAATTAATTATAATATTACTTAAAGATTATAGTATGATTACTAATTCATTATAACATTACTTATAGTTTGATAACGTAATTAATTATAAAATTACATAATTAAATGATTACTTAATTAATTATGACATATATATAACATTAGTAATTTCTCACATTAGCACAATACTTAATTAAATGATTAGAATTTATTAATAAGCATATAAACATTAGTACAATACTTAATTAAATGACAAAATTTAATTATTATAATATTACATTAAAGATTTATAGTAGATTATTTAATTCATTATAACATTACATTATAATTTGATCACATAATTATTATAACATTACATAATTAAATGATTACTTAATTAATTATGACATTATTTACAAACATTAGATTTCCCCATTAGCACAATACTTAATTAAATTATTAAAAGTTTAATTAATTAGCATTACATTATAAATTATAATATGATTATTTAATTAATTATAATATTACGTTATAAAACAATTATTACTTAATTATTATACATATATTAAAACTTAGTACTACTTAATTAAATGATTAGAAAATTAATTAATTAAACATTACATTATAATTACTAATTAATTATAATTATAACATTATTTATAAACTTAGTAATTTACTGCTAGTACATTAATTAATTGAATAATTAAAAATTTAATTATTATACATTACATTATAGATTTATAATATGATTTTAATTAATTATATATTCCTTATACATTAGTATAACTTAATTAAATGATTAGAAATTTAATTAATTAATATTAAATTATAGATTATAGTATGATTGTTTAATTAATTGTTTGTGTTGTTTGGTTTTGGTTTTGATTGAGGAATTTTATGTGAATTAGATGAATTGATTGAATTCAAGTGTTGCCTAAAGATTAAAAGATTTATGAGTCACATTGGACACAAATGAATGATTAATCAAAATTTATTAGGGGTGTATTTGTAAACTTTTAAGGATTTTTGTCATTTTTTGTTAAATTAATAGGGTAATTATTTTTACAGGATACCCGAGAAAAGAACTGGAACCGGAATTTTAGGTTCTGGTTCCTTGAATTTAGAACTTGCATTGTGTGGTTCCGGTTCCCCGAAAAATGCAAGATACCCGAAATCGCTCACCCCTAGGATGTATTCATTCTGTAAAAATAAATGCTTTTGTACACTTGAGGTTAACTAATTTATCCCAGTGTTTTAAAAACCAACTTAGGGTGAAACCTGACAAAGTGGCTAGGTCCGAGTTGACAATTTTAATCAGTTTGATTGGTGGGTCAAACCGTGTCCAAATGTTTGAAATCTAACCAAAATACCCCTAAAAATTACTAGACCATTGCTAATTGTTGTCTTGTACCTGCACAATAGGTCAATTTCGTAAATCGAATAGATGGGAAATGGTTGGCTGTGCGTTTTAATAAAATATCTACTAGCGTCCATGTACTATCGCCAATGTTGATTATGATCATTGATCCAGATCAAGGACAACTAAGAATAGATTGATTAAGAGATGAGTGAATGATCTTATTAAATGAGAACATGGTCACTCCCTTTGTTTCTCTGTGTGATGTTCTTAGGAGTTCCTTAAGTTATATGAATGAGTTAGTTATGAGTGCTGGATGAAATTTAATGTATTTGTGAACAGGTACACATGGTACTATTTTCATTTCACAATGTAATTTTGTATTCTGGATTGCATAATTTGTTGTAGAGTGTGCAAGTTAGGCAATGCGACAAGTGTTCTGCACATAAACCTCCAAGGGCTCATCATTGCAAGGTTTGCAGAAGGTGTGTGTTGAGGATGGTAGGTCTGATAACATTCTCTTCAAAATAACCATTTGAATAGAAACTTTTAATTTTGACTTTCAAGAGATTAATTATATCACACTTTTTTCCGCTCAAATACGTCACAGGATCATCACTGTCTGTGGATTAACAATTGTGTTGGTTATCAGAACTACAAGGCGTTTCTTGTGCTTGTATTTTATGCTACTATTGGAAGCCTGTACTCTACAGTAAGTGTGAACTAGTTCTTTTCTTTCCTGGTTTCAATATTTTGTAAAGGCACTGAAAATTGTGACCAGAGTTCTTGGTATGTTAGGTCATGATAACGGGCTCTGCTTTACAAAGGGAATGGGATATCAGTGGAAAGCCTCAGCTTAAGATTTTTTATGTAAGTTGGAAGTTCATAAACAGCTTTTGTGTCAAATGTACTAGTACATTTTTTTGGAGTGATTTTATAAGTCAAATACTGAAAAAGCTGAGACGTGTCGTTCAGTCTTTTTTCTTTTGCTTTTCATTGACACATCAGAAAGTTAGGCTGCAGTCTTTATAATTATGCTGAAGTTACTTTTCCTGCAAATCTATGCAATTGAGTTCAAAAGATGAGATGGCAGGATGAAGATAAACCATACAAGCTAGTTAGTAATGTAATATAATTTCTACAGTGTTCTTAGATGACATTTTGTCTTTAGAGCACCTTGATATTCTGTTTGAAACTTGATTAATTATGAAGTATTTTAAAATAGTTTAAACTTTGCATGAGTTCTAGAGTGCCACAAATAAGGTCTATAGATGTTTTTTTTTTTTTTATGGTGAGTGTTTTGTTCTATCAATCAAGTTAACTCTGGCAGTCTGCTTGCTGATTTCTATATCTGTTTAAGTTGTTAAACTTCATGTCATGTTGTTATGCAGTCTTGCCACGTTCAGAATTTAGCTTTACCAGCACCTCTTCCTTCCTCGTGTTTTAGCATAACTTCTACTGTCTTAATGTTAAAATTATGCTTTTTGAAGATTTTTAAAAAGTTTATACGCTCTAGGTTGCTTGTGGGATATTGATGGTTTCATTGAGCTTAGCATTTGGTACTCTCTTTGGTTGGCATGTGTTCCTCATCTCTAAAAATATGACAACTATAGAGGTAAGTTTAGAAATTTTGAAGTTGTATACACAGCATAGTTATTTCTTTGGTTATTGAAATGATCTAGAAATGTTTCCTGTGCTAGTCCCATGAAGCGGAACAAGCAGCTTGGTTGGCTAGGAAATCTGGGCAGAGCTATCGACATCCATTCAATGTTGGTGTCTACCGAAACATAACCTTGGTACTCTCTATCTCTCTCTCTCTCTGTATCTATCCGAGTGTGTATTTGTGCATCTGTTGGTTCACATGGCAATTTGCATGCTGTACAAAGTAATAACTATATCTTTAATCTACCAACTATCTTAATCGCTTGCCTTTTGATCAGATATTGGGTCCGAACATGCTCACATGGTTATATCCCTTGGCAGTAAGCCATCTCAAAGATGGAACTAGCTTCCCCACACCACAGCATAGTTTGTAGAACCTTTCTCGACTCCATTCGGACCTCATAATCAGTGGTACCTTGCTTTTGTTAGCAAGTATAAAAGAAAATTTTGATTCATTCTTTCTGTCACTCGTTTATCAAAGGCACAGAGAAGCAAAAGGAAGCAGCTGAGCAATCAACTACAGTTCTTTCATCATAAACTCAGGAAAGTTAGCGCCCTATTGGGTGAAGCATGAATTACAATACTAGCATAGGACTTCTATAAATAAAGATGCATATAGAAATTCTAGATTGTATACCGTCATGTGTACTAGATAGTCATCAGTTTTCTTTTCTAATTCAACCCCCCTTGTTTTAGCCAAGCACATTGTTGCGACACAAACAACGTAATTTTCTTCTTGATGGAGATTCATGTTTGTATTGTTTATACTTTATACAGAGGTTGATTGGATTTAATAGGGGTGAGCATAGGTAGCGGGTAGAACTGGAACCTGCAGGTAGAACCGGAACCATAACCTACCCGAAGCTAACACTGTGCTGGTAGGTTCCGGTTTCATTTTTTTGGAACCAATACTGTGGTGTTCCGATTTCGATTCTTACATGTGGAGGAACTGGAACCAGAATTGGAACCTGAAAAAAAGAACCTGCAGTGGGTACTCAGCTTGAAACTTGTAGCCGGAACCCTGTTTTGAAACTTGGGTTGAAATAAATATCTATGAAGAATGGGGGGTCTATTGTAATTTTACAAATAAAAAAATTCAAAATGGAAAAAGGTAAATGTTTACAATAACCTAGTTAAATAAATATACAATTGCACTTATTACATATAAATTACACCATATAAAAAACTTTAATATATTATAATATATTAATATTAAAGTTTTGATTAATTAAGTGTATGGTTGGAATTATGACTAATTAAAAGTGTTTTAATGTTATTAAAAGAATTATTTTTGAATAAAATAATATATTTGATTGAATAATAATATAATATTTAGTTATTTACTTCAATTATTAAGTTTTAAGTATATCATTACATTATAGTTAAATGATTATTTAATCAATTATAAGTTTATAACATTACATTAGTAATTTAGTACATTACTTAATTAAATAATTAAAAATTTAATTAATTATAATATTACATTATAGATTTATAGTAAAATTACTTGCTTAATTATAACATTACATTATAAACAAATGATTACTTAATTAATTATAATATTTCATTATAAACATTAATACAATACTTAATTAAAAGATTAAAAATTTAATTAATTATAATATTCCATTAAAGATCTATAGTATAATTACTTAATTCATTATAACATTACATTATAGTATGATCACATAATTAAACGATTAGTTAATTAATTATGATATTATATTATAAATATTAGTAATTTACTACTTAGCATAATACTTAATTAAATGATTAGAAATTTAATTAATTATAACATTACATTATAAATTTATAATATAATTACTTAATTAATTATAATATTACGTTATAAATAAATGATTACTTAATTAATTATAACATTCTATTATAAACATTAGTACAATATTTAATTAAATGATTAGAAATTTAATTAATTATAATATTATATTAAAGATTTATAATATAATTACTTAATTCATTATAACATTACATTATAGTTTGATCACGTAATTAATTATAACATTACATAATTAAATGATTACTCAATTAATTATGACATTATATTATAAACATTAGTAATTTCTCACGTTAGCACAATACTTAATTAAATGATTAGAAATTTAATTAATTATAGTATTACATTATAAATTTATAGTATGATTACTTAATTAATTATAGCATTACATTATAAATTTATAATATAATTACTTAATTAATTATGAAATTACGTTACAAACAAATAATTACTTAATTAATTATACCATCCTATTATAAACATTAGTATAATACTTAATTAAATGATTAGAAATTTAATTAATTAAAACATTACATTATAATTAAATAATTACTTAATAACATTATATTATATTATAATCACTAAATTAATTATAACATTACATAGTTAAATAATTACTTAATTAATTATAAATTTATAACATTACATTATAAACATTAGTAATTTACTACATTAGTACATTACTTAATTGAATGATTAAAAATTTAATTAATTATAACATTACATTATAGATTTATAATATGATTATTTAATTAATTATAATATTCCATTATAAACATTAGTACAATACTTAATTAAATGATTAGAAATTTAATTAATTATAATATTAAATTATATATTTATAGTATGATTGTTTAATTAATTATTTGTGTTTTGGTTTTATTGAGGAATATTATGTGAATTGTGATGAATTGATTGAATTCAAGTTTTGCATAGAGATTAAAAGATTTATGAATCACATTGGACACAAATGAATGCGTAATCAAAATTTGTTAGGGGTGTATTTGTAAACTTTTAATGTATTTTTGTAATTTTTTAAACTAATAAGGAGTAATTGATTTTTTACAGGATACCCGGGAAAGGAACCGGAATCTGCATTTTAAGTTCCGGTTCCTTAAATTTAAGAACCTACACTGTGCGGTTTCGGTTTCTTTTTTTGGGAACCTGCATTGTGCAATTCTGGTTCCCCTGAAACATGCAAGGTACCCGGAACTGCTCACCCCTAGGATTTATTTCATTTGGTAAAAATAAATGCTTTTGCACACCATTTTGAGGTTAACTAATTTTTCCTAATGTTTTAAAAACCAACCCGGGGTGAAACCTGACAAAGTGGCCAGGTCCCGGGTTGACCGTTTTAATCGGTTTGACTGGTCAAACTGGTGTTTAAAGATTTGATATCTAACAAAAAAAAAAAAAAAACCCCTTAAAATAACATAGTCCCCATAGGTTTAAAATATTGCAAAAGGACCCCAAACACCACGGTCGGCATCGACAAATAAGGTCTATTTCCGACAACGACAACACTCCCAATCACCACGAAAACACTCCTCTTAGCCTCTTGACTAAAACCATTCCCACCTCTACCCTGTTCGCCTTCCCAACTGTCGGCAATAGCAGACTTTTTTTGACTATTTAGTTTTGCAATTTCTGGTTGATTCACTCACCGGAAATCACCTCTATTGCCACAATTCCCCTCATCGGCCCTTTCTCTTCAAAACCCCTAACATTCCAACCTTCAATTGTTTACGGATCGATGTTCTAATGAATATGAAAATTTGCAACCCAACCCGATGAAGGCTCCGGATTCGATTAAACTGGTTCAATCGCTTGGGTCGGGTCGGGTTTCAAAACACTTTTTTTCCAGGAAAAATCCTTGAAGAATTTAAATAATATCAATTTTAGAAAATGAGTATGCAACATATTTATTATTAATTGAAAGTGAAAGAGAAGCTGCAGAGATTATGAGATTGAATCTTTACCTGCATCTGCATGTGTAAATCTTTGGGTCAAACAGTAACTCAAAATGCTTATAATTGCAGAGTCTGCATTCCTATAATCGTATTATTAGAGTTTTGCAATCATTAATGTATTGTGGATAAGCATAACGGTGTTTATGATGAGAGGAACTGAATCATTATCATGGAGAAGAAATTAAAGAAATGAATTATCAAAATTTGGCCAGGTGTAATACATCCAAGAATTATCAACTTCAAATATTCAAATTCAATCATACAACATATGGATCCAATACATCAATAATTGAAGTCACCGTATTCATCGTCCAAACCCCATGTAGCAAATGATCTCTGAATATTGCTTAAGGTTTTAAGATCAACTTGACTGTAATCTCCATCACGCAACAGCAAAATTTCTGACTTTAAAAGTTTATAATATTATTTTAAGCGTAAATGGGTTACAAATGGTTGCATTCGAGAGGGCCGCTCTGATTTTTCTCAGTTGAACTTTTGTTTCTGGTGAGTGACACCTGGAATGCAATTTTGAAAAGCAAGATTAGGGACGTAATCAAGGATATTCATTTTGTAGGATTCTAGGATTTGATGAGATTCCAGTGGACATTATTATATTAAACATGGAATCCGAATGTTTTTCTGATTCTACTTGCCTTTTGTAAAAGCTGTGCAACTTTCTAATTTTTAATGAATCCCAGAGAGAGAAAGAACTGTTATGTTACTGCAACCACAATACAAACAAGAAGATGTCCAAACTAGTTTATGTATATCTTAACTAATCTTTCAGGACTTTAAAGTTAATAGTTAGATAAATTCTTTCAGTGGCCATCCTATTAATAATCTAAGTAGATTGAACTCATAATCTCTTGAGTGATATACCCAAGAGTCTTAATTAACCGTTAAATAATCCAGTGGTAGTTTTTATAACAGTAGAGACAAGCCCATGGAATTGAACATCAACACAGGTGAGTATCAAATTGTATCCTGTACGTATATTTGTTACACATATTATTGATTAATTGAAATGATATTATATACATATATATATATATATATGTGGATGGTATGTTGTATGTAGAGCCAACATACAGAAAAACTTTTGTTCCATGAATGAGTAGTTTGAACTATATATTATAAGTTGACTATGACTTGTGTTAAAGCATAATTTGTTGAGAAATTATATTATAATTAAATTAAATACTTTAGTCAGTTAGTGCACGACTTTTATCATCCACAAACCTAGGTTACTTTTTACTGTGCATGATGATTTCTGCTGTCTGCGAGTCTGTCACTGCGTAATAAACATTCTTCTTTTTTTTTTATCACCGAAGAGTTTAGGTCGGATTTTATATACTTAAAATAATCTTTTAAAATCTTGAAATGATCGATCGAATAGAAATTTTAGTGATCATTTTTAGAATTCAAAAATTCATAAAACTGTTTTTTACTTTTTTATTATCAGATCATCCAGTAGTGATTAATAAATATGTTTCTTATAATAGCTTTCGATTCCCACTTCTACTTTTAGGGTCAATTTACAAGCATATATGATATCAGTAATATTACACTTACAAACTATTCTCACTAACTTTCTCTCACAAACACGATGTATCAGCTTATAATTAGTCAGTTCACGATGGATTTTATCTGTCCAACAATGGGTCTTGCCTAACCAAATGCGTACTGTCATATTAACGTTTGTGAGAAGTGTTCGTCAACCTTTCTCTCTCTCTCTCTCTCTCTCTCTCTCTCTCTCTCTCTATATATATATATATATATAATCATTTTAAATTTATTTCAAATGGATATTAATTATCATTTTAATCATATATTTTGGTATTATAATTATGATTGGGATTCATATTAAATTATTTTCCTTCATATTTAAAATATGCTTAAATCATACTTAAACTATTAAAAAAAAAATTATACAAGAATTGGACAAACCCTAATACCAGAATTTGTGGGACCTAAAATTATTTAACATTGTAGTGTAGATGAATTGAAATTCTTGAATGTTCGATGGGTGTTTAAATCATGCAACGTGACGTGTGGGGATAAGCTCTAAGTTTTATATATTTATATGATTATACTATTGATATTTGTTCCATGAATTTTCAATTTAATATTTGAAATAATTGACAACTTGATGGTATGAGTCATTTTTAAGAATTAATCTGTGGTTTTAAAATAATTAAATTGATTAGATTCATAATGTGATTACGCTAATAAAGTTCTTGGATTTTAATTGAGTAAACAACCTGCTCACACCCAGGTTTGGTGAAATGCTAAGTTTTCATCTCTAGTTTCGTAAATTCCAGATTTTTACCCTTAAACTAATACTGTTTGGTAATTTTTTGGTTATGATACAAAGTGCAGCTATTGCCTATTATCATACTGACCTTGACAAGTAAATTAAGTGTTATCCCCCAAATTAATAGAATTAGAAAAATAACAATCTTACTTTCAATTTTATTTCAATAGCACCCTTTTCTTCAACCCTCACATCATCCCCATCTACAACCACCCTCTTTTGCCCTTGACCAATTTTTAGCCAAATTAGCACCGGTTCCAGCAACCCAAAACACACGAGTGATAATCGCCTCTTGCCACTCCTACTTGTTCCAACGTCGTCTGAACCTCCTAACTCCCCCCACCTCATTAAGCCACCAATCGTCGACCACTACCCTTTTTAAGTCTGCGCACTTTCAAGTCTTTTTCGATCGATCTCGACATCAGAAACCAGCCCTGATGGCCGGACCACACCTCTAATCCAAAAACTCGAACACCTTGAACCTCAACTGCTCGCCGATCGCCAAAATCATGCCGTTAGGTTTTTATGCGATTGTCGCAGCTTTCCACCCAACACTGCTTCCCACACCGAAAATCTTTCCCAACACCAACACCACCAACTGCATACCGCTCTTCCCAACAACAACCCTCATTAGCCCTATTGTTGGTTGCTTACTGTTTGCCATCCGCCACCTCCTACGGTTTTGCAAATTTGTTGACTTTTGGGTTCATTGGAGTTTGATTTTGATGATTTGAGCAGAGATTGATGATTGGAGGTTGATTGGATTTGGTTTTTAAGTGTTTGGTGTTGTTTTTTCTGGGTTTTTGAATTGATTACGACATTGAAAATCAAAATTCTTGAATTGGCACTCCACCTGTTCAATAAAAAGCCCAAGCCAATTCAACCAGCGCCTTCCTTTAGAGCCTAGAAGCTCGTACGCCAGCGCCCAATAGCGTCGACGACGTAGGAATTAGGCCAGATTGGCCTGAGATGGAAACCGTGCACGAGTGAGGTTGGGTTGTGAGGAATGACATTATTCTAGCCAATTCATAGGTGGGGTTGGGTTACGTGAGTGTGCACGCAGGCGTGGAGGTTGTGGTTGCTAGTTACGGAGAGAAATGGGAGACCGTGGTTGAGGGAGGGAGAGAGAAACGACGGAAGAGAAAAAGTAGTTTTAAAAGAAAGGGTACTTGTGAGCAAAATTTGAGATGTGGAGGATTATTTTTAAATTTATATTTTCATTTCAGATTTAATATAGTGTAAATGATTACTTTACCTTTCAATTGTTATATTAAATTATTTTATGTTAGTTTATTAGAATCTGAAATTTGCGAAACCACGTGTGCAAACTTGTCATTTCGCCAAACCTTAAGTGGGAACATGTCGTTGACTCATTTTAATTTAATTAAACTTAATCAACTTGAAGATGATAACATAATGAATATATTTACTTGAGATGTTTTATTTAATAAAAAATAATAATGAGAAATTTGATTAACCGATGTGTTAATTTTTTTGTGGGAATTGAAAGGATAAGTTCATAACAATTAATTGCAAATAAGAAGTTATTTTAGATCTAATACCTATATATTAGATACTTTATTATATTCAATTTATTTTCTGAAATGGAAATTAAATTAAAATATTATGTTAATATGTATCTCAAAAATAAATTTTTAAGAGTCTTTAAAATTAATGTCATGAAATTTCAACCATCTTATTATTTTTTAAAAATTGTTAAACATCTCCTGGAATTATTAAAAACATTATGAAAATATAAAGTATCATATACATACTCTCTAAGTGTGTGTATATATATAACAGTAAAATATAAAAAAGAAATTTTATAACATGAGTAATATTACACATACAACATTTCTCATATAACATTATGTGACAAAATATGATTGGTTGATTTTAAATTAAAATTATACTTTTACCCAATTATTTTTTATCACATAATGTTGTATGAAAAATGTTATACGAAAATGTTGTATTTGTAATATTATTCTTATAAGATTAGAGGGTGATTTATGAATTATTGGGCTCCTGCCCCCTACAAGTCAATTTAAGAATGAGTTTTACTAATGAATTCATAACAATTAATATTAAAGCCAGTTGACACCATAACAGGTTCTTATAGCAGACGAGATGACCTAGTTTGGCAAATGAGTCGGTGTAGATGTTGGCTTCGAGAGCGTGGTTATTAACCTTTTTAATTAACTAAAACTAATTTTTACCATATATATATATATATATATATATATATAATTTTTAAAATTATATCCAAAAGTTTAGTAAGTAAAATTATGATGTAGATTTGAGATTTGATGTAACATATTGATAAGTGAAGAAGTAAATGACATATTCCCATCCAAGGTTTGACGGAATCCTAAGTTAGTATCCAAGTTCCATTTATTCCAGATTTCTATCCTTAAATGACATTGTTAACAATTTTTAGGGTAGTGAGGGTACAATTACCATAATGCCCTTAACCCTAAATTAATAAATTATGTTTTAACCCTTAAATTACTAAAATTATAAAATTAACCATCTTATTTTGAAATTACTTCAATTACACACTTAGTGATTGCGCACAGTCTCGGTTTTCACCGGATTTGGGCTGTTTTCTATGGCGGCGAACCCCCTGGTCACCTCCATCACCTTCCCCATCGCCTGTCGTCTAAAACCCCTCTAGTTCCCGACTCATTGGGCCCTCTAATCATTGGTGCCGTCAAGCTTAGGTTTTCGTCGTTCTTCGCTGGATTCCGACGACGAAAATCCAATTGGACATCACCACTGCAACCAGCGTCTCCAAATCTACAAAATCCCTATGTCCCCAGCAACTGTTTAGTGACCATTCGCCGGTGGAGACCGATGAAAACCAGTCGCATGTGGCGACTATCATGGCTGGTGATCGGCGAGTGATGAGGGGTTTTGAAGGGTAGGGTTTTGTAGAGGAGAGGATGAGGGTTCGAATGGTGGTGCCAAGGGTGATTTTGGGTGGAAGAATCGCTGGAAAAGGGCAAAAAATGTCAACGATGATGTTGGCTAATGTGCGCTAGAGTTTTGTTAGGGGCGACAATTCGCTAATGTGTGCCTCTTCTGCGAAATGACTAATTTACCTCTGAGCCGTTATATCTAACCATTTTCTGTTACTTTAAGAGTGAGAATCTGAAATAAATGATACTCGGATACCAACTTAGGATTCATCAAACCTTGGGTGGGAATATGTGGTTTACTCTAAGTGAAGAGCTGGAATTTTGGACGGCATCTTTATCCATGAAGAAGACATTCCCTAACAACACATGTGCAGAGAAATTTTAATTAATTAATTTTCTGAAATCAATCAAATCAAACACAATACGCGGTGGATCGCTTGTGATTCTCATTTTGTTTTCTACTTTCTATTTTACAAATTTTATCACATCCCATCTTTGACTTATTCACTCATTTATTTAATTTAATTCAATTGTTTTTAGAAAATTTTATTATAAAAATAGTTCCAGATGGGATCTAGCAATTAAATCGATTTTTGATAACTAAATCCTTATCGTTATCTCATAATATTTAATTAAATGGGCCTAATCCCTATTAAACTTAAAACTTATTGCTCTACATCTATCTCAAATTTCCCATTTGAATTTACTTAAAATAAAAATAAAATAAAATATCCTAAAACATGTTGTCAATTTGATATATAGTTAAATTAATATACAAGTTAATACAACTGGATTTGTATAATATTGAGTAAGACTGAGTTTTACAATCCAATAATCATTGCCTTGTTATATTCAATCTCATTTTTAAAATATCAACTCTTTTGTCTAATCTCTCGAACCAGTTTATGCGTATCTCAACTAATTTTTAGGACCCTGAAATAATAATTTATTTGTTCCTTCCCACTTATACATTACTAAAGTTGAGTTAATCGGATTTAAGTCCCAATCGGGGTCTTGTCGTTTAAAGCATTGGGATAGACTCTGAACTCTTTCTCTCACAAAATTACATAAAAAATAATTCATCTCTTTTGAAATAAACAAATAAACAAATAAAATTATTAAAATCCCAAGAAGTGACCGGTAACAATATTTCATATAAATGGCAACATGCATATGGAAAGAAAACGAAACTCAGACTCTTTCTGCTTCAAACAAAACAGAGCGCCTCTGTTCTTGCTGTAATTCACAACACCCTCAGAATTCCTCAAAACTCTCTCTTTACTCGTCAAAAGGTTCACTTGCCTTTTTCCCTTCCTCAATTCTTTCTCTCCGGAAAACGCTGCAATTCTCGCGTTTAGAGACTCCTTTTTTCTTTTTTTTTTTTTTCTCGAGCAGCTGCAGCTTTTAGAGCTGCCAGACAGAGACACATTACTTTCTTACTGTGGCGTTACAATCTAAACTTTGAATAAATAAAAATCTGGGTTTATTGTTCTTTTAAATCCTGCCTTTATACTTCATATTTTACGTACTTCTGTTTGTTTCCCAAGAAAATGAGTAGAATAGAATTTTCTAGTTGTTTTATGTTGTTTCTCTTGCCTTATGTTTTCCAGCTATCAAATGGATCAAATTTAAGTCCTAAAATAAGTGGAAATCTGTATGCTTTCAGTATTTAGTTATCTGATTTTTTCATTTATTAATTGTCATCGTACTATTGGTTGTTATTTCCATATATATATACAATTTTTAGACCATTTTAGCCGGAAAGTGGCAACAATATTTATTGTTTCTATATCTGTATGATTTGACTATCGTTTATTTCCTTCTGGCAGAATTCTACAATTTCATTCGTTTGTTTAGCTATTTAAACCTTATTTGAATTGGGTTGGTGGATTTATATTATTTGGTTGTGTTTGTGATTTGTTTCCATAGAACTTTTGTTTAGAAAGAGTAGGAGGAGGAGGAGAAGATGATGAAGAACTCGGTTTCAGATCAGAGTTTTTACATTGAAAGTGAAGAAGAAGAAGAACATGTAGAACAAGACGAGGAGAAGGAGTTTAAAGATGAAGAAGATGATGGCAATGATTCTGATTCTTCTGGTGAGATCCATCAACAAAACAACCCTGGTTCTTACAACACTACTTCTTGGCCTCAAAGTTACAGGTTCTTATTTTACTTTCTGCTGATTTCTGTATTTCCTTGAGGTTCTTTTTGAAGCTTTAATTTTATTTTCAATGAATATGAATCAGTATATTTTTAGCTTTAAAACTTGCATCTTTCAGTTGAATGTTCATATGAATTTTATTTTCTGATTGAACAATTGGAGAAGGGAGAAATGTAATTTTGAAGCTTGGTGGCCTAAATGAAAACTACAAAGGGAATGAGCATGTTTTGTGAAGAAGACTGACGAGGGTGTTGGGAGGAATATTTGATTATTGGATGGCTTTGATTGATTTTTGATAAAGGAAAAGAGAGTAATGGAAGGTGTGGTTGGGTAAAGTTTCTTGCAAAAAGTTGTAGCAGTAATTGAAAGGCTAAACCCTGTCCACCTAAATCATATAAAATGTGTATGACTTTGGCCTACATATCCTTATTGCAATTATTGGATTTTGTTGCTGTGATAATATTTGAGACTTGTTTTCTGCCCAGGACCTACCATTCATGTTAATCTATTTGTTATGTTGTTCTAGCGCGACTCATTAACATGCCGTAACGGCTCCAATTTCTGCATGACAAAAATAGTTACTTTCAGTAGTGCATAAATACCTCTTCCATCCATTTCTGATGGTTTCTGGAAATTTTGAGTGATATGCGAATTATTACAATATGCATGATGAAGATAATGAATTATACTTATTTTGTTTATGTTATGATGCAAAGGCTCCTATACTAAGTTACACATACTTAACACATTTGATTAATATTTCAGGCAGTCTATAGATCTGTATAGTAGTGTACCATCTCCAAGTCTCACGTTTTTGGGCACTCCTACAATGTCAAGAATAAGCAGTTCCTTTCTTTCATCTTCCCTAACAAGGAGATATACTCCTGAATCGTTATCTGCTGCGACAAAGCCTCTTCTACCAACAGTAGCAGATGAGAAATTGCCTCCACAAAGGCGTAGTTCTCATTCTCTGCTTCCTCCTATTCCCTCAAGGAGGGCTTCTGTGATCAAGGATTCGAAACCATCCCATGTCTCCCATGAAGTTCCACTTGCTCGCCATAGCTCATATGCTCAAGCTGTGGTAAATGGTTAGTATCAGAACACTTGCTCGTTCTTTGTATTTGCTTATTGATCTTATAGCTAGTTAGTTTCATTGAGTATCAAATGTTCACAAAAATTTAGTCAGCCGGATTTGGATGTTAATAACATTTTTTCATTGTGTTTACTTGCAAATCCTTGACAATAAGTACACTGTAGTAAAATCCTTTCCCCAAAATTCCATGGAATGGGGCATCTTTAAGATTAAAGTAGTGACATTGTTGGCCATTTAATAAGCAAAAAAGCTTAGATTTTCTGCCTTCTGCCACTTGTTGTGCCTGGAATGACTACAGCCACCAAGCCGAATCCAATCAGCAGGGGCCACATAAGTCAATCATGTTGTGTTAAATATGCTGACACATCCTCACCAATAAACTCAAATTGCTGTTTATCTCTTTGTCAACATCACTCTTCCACATGGCTAGAAACAGTCCTCCAGCTTTTCAATTTATCCTGTTTGTTTCAGCTAAGTTGATTTACATGCCTCATCATCTTGTTTTCAGGATTAAAATAACATAAGGGTGTTTTCTTCATCTTTAAACAACCAAAATTCTCTTCAAATCTGATAGATATTTTTATTGTTTATGTTTGTATTTTGCTGCCTTTGTCTCTAGCTAATCGATGTTCTTTAAACAGTCATGCATTATGACGTTGTGACTTATCCTTGTTGCACATGGTGCACATGAAAGGAATGACTAGCCAACAAGAAATATCAGTGTCCATATTTAATAGTCTGCTATAGATAGTCACTGCAGATTTTCTTTTGTTATGAACTTACCGTTTCACTAACTGTAATTTCATTCAATTAATAGAAGTTCAGAAAAGAGTTTTAGTTTTAAGTATGGCCTGAGAAGCGTTCTCAGATCCTGAAAAATAAATCCAGTTATTCATAATAATATTCCAAAACAATTCTGCAATGCAGGCATGAATGTTCTGTGTGGAGTCGGAATTCTTTCTACTCCATATGCTACAAAGGAAGGAGGATGGGTTGGACTATCCATTTTGTTAATTTTTGGAGTGCTTTCTTTCTACACTGGATTGCTCTTGCGTTACTGCCTCGATAGTGAACCTGGCCTTGAAACGTACCCGGATATTGGCCAAGCTGCATTCGGTACTGCAGGCCGAATTGCTATATCAGTAAGTGCTTTACATTTTCATTTTTTTTCAACATTACTTTGTAATTTTGAGAAATTATCTCGCAGTAAAATATTTTACCTGTTTTCCCTACCTTACTTTGCCAATAAGAAACAAATGTTTTTATCATTAAAATCTGCAGCTCTGCATCTGGTGGAAAAAGACGTTAAAGATTTAAAAAAGAAGAGTAATTTTTTACTGGGTACTGATATTGTCGTTTGTGGTGTTGTTTTTTGGTTGTGTGCAGATAATACTATACGTGGAATTATATGTAAGTACAGCTGGCTTCTCTTCTCTTCTTTGAGTGCTTATCATATCTTGTATTTTTTTATTTAAACTGTAGTTGTCTACTTAGCATAAATGTGAAGCTAGATCCAGTAGGGCCACCTCTGAATACAGGCCGAGCCGAGCCGAACATTACGGTGTTCAAAGCTTGGCTTGTGAAAATTTAACGAACTCGAACGCGAACCTAGGATCGACGAGCTCTGAAAAGCAGGCTTGAAGCTCGAGTTAGTTAAATAGTTTTGAGCTCGAAATTAACTCGCGAAACAGCTCGTTTATGAGTCCTCAATCCAAAGCAATCCTTCCAAATAATCTCAATCCAAAGCCAACCCACTCAAGATAACCCCCAAAAAAGGCTAATTGTCACCAAGCATCATCAAATCCAAAGCCAAACAGTCGCAAATATATCACTCAAAATTCCACCAGCTGTGAGAGAGAGAAGAAAAGAGAAGAGAAGAGAAAATTAAAGAAAAGAGAGAGAAGGAAGGGGATGGAAGAGCGAAGGAGAAGTAAGAAGAAACGTGAAGGAGAAGAAAGGTGGAGGAGGAAAAAGAAGGAGAAAGTGTCGGCTGGCTGCTTCTGGGGAAAGAAGGCAGGGTTTAGGAATTGGGGTAATTTATATGGGATATAGTTAATTACTTAAAATCCCCTAATACTTAAAAAAATAACATTTATACCCTTTCGCGCCATTCACGAGTTTAACCAATCGAGTAGTGGGTGGTTCGTAGCTCGGCTCGAGAAGGTATCCAAGCCGTTCGATCTCGAGCTCGGCTCATTAGACTTGAGCCGAGAGCTATCCGTAAGCGGCTTAGCGAGCCACCAACATACTCCAGGGGCACAGATTTTCAGATGTGTTCCCAGAACCACATCTCTCCTCTGACGGCTCATTATTGAACTGATACAAAGCAGAATTTTCTGCTGAAACCAGCTTTTATCTCAACAAATATTAGAATTTAATATTTTATAACACGGCACAAATCTCTTTCCATGTTGGGTTGGTGTATTGGGCCAAGACCCTGCCACAGACAAAAAAAAAGTCACACTGTGTTGGGTTATTTTGGATTGATTTGGACCCGATCTGGCCAAGGCTGATCAACAATTATGTAGATCATGACATGACATTGCATAATACAACTATAACTTGGCTGTGTAATGCCTAAACAGTAAGCAATTCTCCATGACCTTACATTCATGAGTGGAAAATTGTGACACTCCATTTGACATCTCTAAATTAGCCTCTCATACATTGATATTTTAACATGGTAGAAATGTAGTGCAAGGGATAAATTTTGTTTGTGTTTCCAATATATCATCTTCACCTGGATATATTAATCCATTAATGTTGAATCAATCATCTGTTTATATTCAGTCCATAGCATTAAAGCATTCCTGAGGAACCTGAGTTGTTTATACCTGTGCACAGCTATTAAAATTCAGTGTTCACTGTGATTATATAAAAGATGGAATACGATATTCAGAATCGAATACCTGAAACCATAGCATAATCTCAAATGAGAATTTGGTAAAAAGCAGATCTTGTAAAATAATTTACATAATACTACACATATAACATTTTATACAACATAATGTGACAAAAGATGATTGATTGATTTTAAATTAAAAATAAACTTTCACCCAATTATCTTTTATCACATCATATTGTATGAGAAATTTGCATAAAAATGTTGTATGTGTAATATTACTCAAATAATTTTCAGGGAATATCATATGTCCTCATGTTCATTAGTTTTTACATTAAGTTTTGCTGAGTGTTGCCATTTCCATAAATTTGCAAGATATGTATAATCTTCTTCTTAAAATCTGTCTTGAGGTAATGAGGAATCCTATGTCTTCTTCTTCTGCAGGCTTGCTGTGTTGAATATATAATTTTGGAGAGTGATAACTTGTCTTCATTATTTCCCAATGCACATTTAAGCGTGGGTGGTTTTTATTTGAATTCATATTATTTGTTCGCGTTGATGACTACCCTTGCTGTTCTTCCTACGGTTTGGCTCAGAGACCTGAGTGTTCTTAGTTATATATCTGGTAAGCATGTTGGTCTTGTTTGACTAGTGATTTGTGTTTGAAAAGTTCATGATGGTCTTGTTTGAATAGCACTCAATATGTATTTTCTCTGTTTCCAGTTGGCGGCGTTATTGCATCAATATTGGTGGTCTTCTGCTTGTTTTGGGTTGGTATGGTGGATGAAGTTGGCTTTCACAGCAAAGGAACAACATTAAACCTCGCTACTTTTCCTGTTGCTATTGGTCTCTATGGTTACTGCTACTCGGGACACGCTGTATTCCCAAACATCTACACTTCAATGGCCAAACCAAACCAATATCCATCAGTCCTCTTATTATGGTAAATAAACAGTTACTCATTATTTTATGGAATTCTTAATGTAGTTAATTTGATGTTACTATTTTCATCTACAACTGCTCTTATTGAAAATGCAGTTTTATTATCTGTACCTTGATGTATGCCGGAGTCGCTGTTATGGGGTACACGATGTTTGGAGAATCAACAATGTCACAGTTCACTCTCAACATGCCTAAGGACTTGGTTGCCTCAAAAATTGCTGTTTGGACTACAGTATGTTTGCGAACCATTTCTACTAATCGCTTAAATTATCAATGCTTTCCGTACACATTTGCCAAATTTTGATACCCTCCAGTGACATTTTCTTTCTTCCTTTTTCGATAATTTTTCTACATTCCAGTATGTAGAACTGTTTTTGAGTATCTGATATGTGTATATTCTATTACATAATATTCTGTAAATTGGTTCTAATAACTTGTTTATTTCCTTTTGCAGGTGGTTAATCCATTTACCAAATATCCTTTTCTGAATATAATAAATCAACATAGAAAATTTTAGAATGTGTTAAAAGAGTTTTGAGTCAACTGCTTCTTGCCAATGCTTTGAGTTTAACTTCATGTTTTACAAAATATTTCCTTATATGACAAAAGTGCAGGAGAGAAAGAACAATTACGGAAATATATTTCTGTGTATCCTGTTGCAATTCAACCAATCGATCAGAAAGTAAGCGTATTCCATTCACGCTTTCATGGTATAGTCTCATTGGTTAATTGTATTGCAACAGAATGTACAGTTAGAAACTAAAAGCAGAGAAAATGAGGGCGATCACTCAAATCACAATATGGTATAAACTTTGCTTTTCCTTAATCAGAATTACATATGCATTAACCATGTCTCCAGTGGCATTGAGTCTGGAGGAATTGATACCGTCAACTCATCTCAAGTCTAACATCTATGCTATCTGCATTAGAACCGCATTAGTGATCTCTACCTTGTTTGTCGGCCTCAGTGTCCCCTTCTTCGGTAATCCTCTCATCTGGAGCTTTCAGTTTCATATTCTGTTTCTTAACAGAAGTTACTTCATCATTTTTATACCATTTTCAGGTCTGGTGATGTCCCTGATCGGATCGTTACTGACAATGCTTGTGGTGAGTTTTGTTTAGCAGTTTCAATTATTTCCTCTTGATGAAGAATTCTGCTCAGGTTTATGTTAATAAATAATTTGTATGCAGACGTTAATACTTCCTTGCGCTTGTTTTCTAAGCATCTTGAGGGGCAAAACTACCCGGGTTCAGGTATGATCATAGCATAAACATTTCTTTACAATCTCTTAATTATATTCATATAAATGCTTACTTCTTGTTGTTTCTGTGTAGGTTACACTTTGTATTATAATTATTGTAGTAGGGGTTATATCGTCGGTGATCGGAACATATTCAGCTCTTTCCAAAATTATCGAGAGCTTGAGGAGCTGAAAAATGATGAGCAAGTTTTTCCAGCAATGAGAATACATTTTACTTGTGTAGAATAATAGCTTGTGATGAGTATCTATCTTTTCTATTGTTCTCAATTTTGGACTTTGTATTTACACTCTGATGGTGGAGGTTCCATATGCACTAAATGGAATAAATAAAACCATAATTCTTAAATCTATAATATTGTTATCATTATTAAATTTTATATTTCACAAAAAAAAAATATATATATATTTTTTAAAATTTTTATATTTTGTCAAATTGAAAAAACATAAAATAATATTAAGCCACAACTCAATTTCACAACATTCTTTTACAACCTCAACTTGACAGCTGTCATGTCAGCTCTTATCACACCCAAAGTATCAAATGATTTTGACTGCACACGAATGGTTGTTTCTTAAGAACGAACGATCGTTCTCTCATAAGAAATGATTGTTCCTTACCAAAGAACAACAGTTCATATGAAACGATTGTTCTTTATGAATGAACGGTCATTCGTCTTTAAGGAACGACTATTTGTGTTTAGTCAAAGTATCAACTCTACTATTACGTTAGGGTTGTAAGAGAAGGTTATGAGATCGGATTTTAGAGATAGTATTTTTGAATTATTTTTTGTCAATTGAATATCAAATCACCCCTAACTATTTTATTTATTTTTTTTCCATTTCAAAACTAATTGTCCCTATTACAACACTACATTAAATATTAAAAAAAAAAACAAAAAAAAAACAAAACCATTTTATACGGGTCCAAACGAAAAGTCCAATTCCAATCCGGCGGCTGAAACAGTTTCCAATTGTGGAGTCCCTGATCATCACCGGAGGGTCCCACATAAGATCACCAAACTTGTCTCTGCACTGCAGGGATTAATTCTTAAACCTTAGCGAACTGTACTCAAATGTAAACATCGTCCCTCACTTTTATATGTTTCTTCTCCTTTGTTTCTCTGCAACATGTCTGCTACAATAACACGCCTCTCTCCATCTCTTAAAACTCTCAACCCACGTGCCCATTCACGTGATCTCTTTCTAACCCATCGAATTCCCTCCGTTTCCGCCTCCAAAAACCTTTCTTTGCCTATAAAATCTCTTGCTTTTCCCGGGAAAATCCATTACGTGATTAAAGGAGAGAGATTTAGAGTTTCGAAAGAAGGGTCTGTACAGCAGCTGGATAATGACGCGCCTGTGTCGGTTGAGCTTGCTCGTATCAGTAGCGAGAGCCAGTTCGATCGGGTCATTGCTGAGGCTCAACAGCTTGAAGAATCTGTCATTATTGTCTGGTACTGTGATTTAATAAGATTTTTGGTTTATTTTTGTCAGAAATGAAGCTTTATTTTATTTGCTGAGTTTTTTTTTTTCCCCTTGTTTTATTGATGATAATGAGAATTTTAATTCAATAGGTTGATATTGCAATTCGGTTGTTTGTGAATGTATCTGGGTATTAATTGGTTGTTCTTATTTTGTTGAGGGTAATTAAATTTGGTTGAGTTTTGTTGTTTGCACATTGAGTTTATGTGGAATCAAGAAAAAGGGTAGGAAAATTTCTCTGTTTTGGCATACTTTGGCTCCTCTTTCTTTGCAAAAAATTCTGATATTAAAAAATTTGCTCTTTTTTATTTCCCTGGAAAAGATCCCTGTGGCTAATTTTTAATTAGTTTGAACTCTTTTCAAGTGAGTTTTACTCTAAATAGCTGTCTAAAATTAGATTAGTACACCATTTCTAAAAACCTGAGACAGATAATTACATTTTATTGATCACTTCAAGGGCTGTCCACCTGAGAAACCCGTCTTTTCTAGGTGACTTGTTTGGGAATTTGGTAATCTTCCTTAGTAATTTTAATCTTTAGGTTTTGAAATAGTGAAATGTTTAAGTTGGACTAATTCGTTTGTGAATTGAACTTAAGATGGCCTAATCCCATTCTGTGCTTCTTGGAAATAGTTGCAGTTATTTTATTATTAAAATTTCTCTGCTTTCATTGTTGATGCAGTTCATTAAACATCTGCTATAAAAGTCATTATAATAATTGATTTCTTCTGGTTTTTAAAGTACCTCATGAATGGCTGCTGTTTGTGAATCCATTGTCTATCCCTTTTCCTTGCGAACTTTTACTAAATTGGTATTATGTGAACTTGTAGGATGGCAACATGGTGCAGAAAATGTATTTACCTCAAACCAAAATTAGAAAAGTTGGCAGCTGATTACTATCCACGGTTAGATTGATTTCCTCTCTGATCATGTAAACAGTTGGAATAATGTAAAATTGAAGCTTTTGGACGAATGATATTGTTATTTCTTGAGTTGATGTATATACCTGAAGCTTTTCTGCATACATTGACTTCATCTTTTGTCTACTTTTGCCAAGTAATAAAAGATTATCCTTCAATGATATAGTTACTGTACTTTTTACCTTTCAAATATGTGGCATAAAATTTCATTCTCTGATTTCATTTTTCATTTGATTTTGATAGCTTAGAAGAGTCACATACTCTAATGAAATCTTTTTAAATTTTCTTGCATTTCGATCGTTCAGTTGCAAATTGTAAAGTTTTCCTTTACAGAAGCACATACAGAACTTGCAATCACCTTTTTTCTTTCTTTGGGTGTGGAGTGGATTTGACTATGGTGAGACATGGCCAAGAAAACATACGAGTTAAATTATACACCATAAACTACAATGAAGTTTGTTTTTGAGTGAAGTATTACATGTCTGTTTGTGTTCTTTATGAAATTAATTGTGCATCTCATATTGAGTAAGCTAGATTAAAGTTTACTGGTTATAATTTTCTTTTTCTTTTTCCTTCTGTATAATGATTGCTGTAGATTGCGGTTCTACTATGTGGATGTCAACACTATTCCCCACAAGCTTGTTGCTCGTGCAGGCGTCACGGTAAGTCTCTTATAATTTGATAGGGCATATATTTCTTTGATTTGTGCTGATATCCAATTTATTATTATTCAATAACTTGTAACATAGCAAATGTTTATTTTAAGTGGATACTTTTAACAATTATTCTCTTATGTAGAACATTAACCGTTTAGTTATTAATTCTTTAACTAAATGCAATTATCAACAGAGTGATATTCCAAATGCATATTATTTTAAACACTATGAGAAAAGATTTTAAGGGTAATAAAAACAATATTTGTAGTACTGATGCAAAACAGTTTGAATAATATGAAGTAAAAATGCTATAAATTTTGATGAGTTGGAGAGTTGATGAGTCAACACTTGTTCTTAAATGATATTCAGTAATATATATATCTGCAGAATGGTGATTGACCCTCAATTTTCGTTTTTATGTGTCTGCTCATGATGAACGCTGGAATCCTGCAGAAAATGCCGACTATTCAGGTAATTTTCTTTATGAATATTTTGCAACTATATGCTTTTTGGTTGCAAATAAGCTGAATTAATCCGAGTATGCTGCTCAAGCTCTGATCTGTTGAAGTGTGATTGTTTAGTTCGTTTTTATTGCTCCCTATATTTCTTCCTTGACTGGATCTGAGTAAAGGTATTCATGTTACAGCTATGGAAGGATTGCAAGAAACAGGATGAAGTGATCGGTGGCCATAAAGCATACTTAGTCATTAATGAGGTTCGCCAAATGATTGAAAACCAGAGTACCATATGATTAATGGTATGAATGACATTTTTTTTTTTCCTTAATTTCTACCTTACCTGTTTTTCAGTTTTGAAATTGTCGAAAATTTTCTTTGTAATTAGTTTCCTGATAAAAGAAGCAGGAGAGCTTACAGCACTAAGTGAAATTGGCACTTGTTTCAGCCAAATTCTGTGTACAAATCTCTTTCCATGTTGGGTTGGTGTATTGGGCCAAGACCCTGCCACAGACAAAAAAAAAGTCACACTGTTGGGTTATTTGGATTGATTTGGACCCGATTGGCCAGGTGATAACAATTATGTAGATCAGGACATGACATTGCGCAATTCTCCATGACCTTACTTCATGAGTGGAAAATTGTGACACTCCATTTGACATCTCTAAATTAGCCTCATACATTGATTTTTAACATGGTAGAAATGTAGTGCAAGGGATAAATTTGTTTGTGTTTCAATATATCTTTCACCTGGTATATTAATCCATTAATGTTGAATCAATCATCGTTATTCAGTCCATAGCCTAAAGCATCATGGAACCTGAGTTGTATACTGTGCACCGCCATTAAAATTCAGTGTTCACTGTGATTATATAAAGATGGAATACGATTCAGAATGAATACCTGAAAACCATAGCATAATCTAAATGAGAATGGTAAAAAGCAGATCTTGAAAATTCATACTACACATTAACTATAAATATTTTCATATACATATGTGACAAAAGATGATTAGTGATTTTAAATTAAAAATAAACTTTCACCAATATCTTTTATATCATATTATGTTGAAAAATGTTGTATGGTAGTATTACTAAATAATTTCAGGGAATATCATTGTCCTCATGTTCAGTTTTTACATTAAGTTTTGCAGGTGTTGCCATTTCCATAAATTTGCAGATATGTATAATCTTCTTCTTAAAATCTGTCTTGAGGTGAGGAATCCTATGTCTTCTTCTTCTGCAGGCTTGCTGTGTTGAAATAATTTTGGAGGTGATAACTTGTCTTCATTATTCCCAATGCACATTTAAGCGTGGGGGGTTATTGAATTCATATTATTTGTTCGCGTTGATGGCTACCCTTGCTGTTCTTCCTACGGTTTGGTCAGAGACCTGAGTGTTCTTAGTTATATATCTGGTAAGCCTGTTGGTCTTGTTTGACTAGTGATTTGTGTTTGAAAAGTTCAGAGGTCTTGTTTGATAGCACTCAATATGTTTTCCTGTTTCCAGTTGGCGGCGTTATTGCATCAATATTGGTGGTCTTCTGCTTGTTTTGGGTTGGTATGGTGGATGAAGTTGGCTTCACAGCAAAGGAACAAACATAAACCTCGCTACTTTTCCTGTTGCTATTGGTTCTATGGTTACTGCTACTCGGGACACGCTGTATTCCCAAACATCTACACTTCAATGGCCAAACCAAACCATATCCATCAGTCCTCTATATGGTAAATAAACAGTTACTCATATTTAGGAATTCTTAATGTAGTTAATGATATTACTATTTCATCTCAACTGCTTATTGAAAATGCAGTTTTATTATCTTACCTTGATGTATGCGGAGGTCGCTGTTATGGGGTACACGATGTTTGGAGAATCAACAATGTCACAGTTCACTCTCACATGCCTAAGGACTTGGTTGCCTCAAAAATTGCTGTTTGGAAACAGTATGTTTGCGAACCATCTACTAATCGCTTAAATATCAATGCTTTCCGTACACATTTTCCAAATTGATACCCTCAGTGACATTTTCTTTCTCCTTTTTCGATAATTTTCTACATTCCAGTATGTAGAAATGTTTTTGAGTATCTGATATGTGTATATTATATTAATAAATTCTGTAAATTGGTTCTAATAACTTGTTTATTTCCTTGCAGGTGGTTAATCCATTTACCAAATCCTTTTCGAATATAATAAATCAACATAGAAAATTTTAGAATGTGTTAAAAGAGTTTTAGTCAACTGCTTCTTGCCAATGCTTTTTAACTTCATGTTTTACAAAATATTTCTATATACAAAAGTGCAGGGAGAAAGAACAATTAGGAAATATATTTCTGTGATCCGTTGAATTCAACCAATGATAGAAAGTAATGGATTCCATCAGCTTTCATGGTATATCTCATTGGTAATTGTATTGCAACAGAATGTCAGTTAGAAACTAAAAGCAGAGAAAATGATGGCGATCACTCAAATCACAATATGGTATAAACTTTGCTTTTCCTTAATCAGAATTACATATGCATTAACCATGTCCCCAGTGTGCATTGAGTCTGGAGGAATGATACCGTCAAATCATCTCAAGTCTAACATCTATGCTATCTGCATTAGAACCGCATTAGTGATCTCTACCTGTTTGTCGGCCTCAGTGTCCCCTTCTTCGGTATCCTCTCATCTGGAGCTTTCAGTTTCATATTCTGTTTCTTAACAAAGTTACTTCATATTTTATACCATTTCAGGGTTGGTGATGTCCCGATCGGATGTTACTGACAATGCTTGTGGTGAGTTTGTTTGCAGTTTCAATTATTCCTTTGATGAAGAATTCTCTCAGGTTTAGTTAATAAATAATTTTATGCAGACGTTAATACTTCCTTGCGCTGTTTTCTAGCATCTTGAGGGGCAAAAATACCCGGGTTCAGGTATGATCATAGCATAACATTCTTTACAATCTCTTAATTATATTCATATAATGCTTACTTCTTGTTGTTTCTGTGTAGGTTACACTTTGTATTATAATTATTGTAGTAGGGGTTATCGTCGGTGACGGAACATATTCAGCTCTTTCCAAAATTATCGAGAGCTTGAGGAGCTGAAAAATGATGAGCAAGTTTTTCCAGCAATGAGAATACATTTTACTTGTTGTGAATATAGTTGTGATTGAGTATCTATCTTTTCTATTGTTTCAATTTTGGACTTGTATTTACACTCTGATGGTGGAGGTTCCATATGCACTATGGAATAATAATAAAACCATAATTATAATCTATAATATTGTTATCATTATTAATTTTATATTTCACCAAAATATATTTTTTTTTAATTTTTATATTTTGTCAAATTGAAAAAACATAAATAATATAGCCCAACTCAATCACAACATTCTTTACAAACCTCACTTAACTGTTGACAATTGCAGTCAGTCTTTACTACACACCCAGTATCAAATGAATTTGACTTACACGAATGGTTGTTTCTTAGAACGAACGATCGTTCTCTCATAAGAAAAGATTGTTCCTTACAAAGAACAACAGATTCATGATGAAACTTCAGATAATGTTCTTATGAATGACATGTCTAATGAATGGTCGTTCGTTTTTAAGGAACGACTATTTGTGTTTAGTCAAGTATCAACTCTACTATTACAGTATACTTGTAGGGATTGTAAGAGAATTATGAGATCCAGTTAGAAAGTAGTATTTTGAATTATTTGTCAATTGAATATCAAATCACCCCTAACTATTTTATTTATTTTTTTCATTTCAAAACTAATTGTCCCTATTACAACACTCATTAAATATTAAAAAAAAAAAAAAAAAAAACCATTATACGGGTCCAAACGGAAAGTCCAATCAATCCGGCGGTCGAAACAGTTCCAATTGTGGAGTCCCTGATCATCACCGGAGGGTCCCACATAAGATCACCAAACTTGTCTCTGCACTGCAGGGATTAATTCTTAAACCTAGCGAACTGACCAAATGTAAACATCGTACCTTTTATATGTTTCTTTCCTTGTTTCTCTGCACAGTCTGCTACAAATACACGCCTCCCCATCTCTTAAAACTCTCAACCCACGTGCCCATTCACGTGATCTCTTTCTAACCCATCGAATTCCTCCGTTTCCGCCTCCAAAAACCTTTTTTTTGCCTATAAAATCTCTTCTTTTCCCGGGAAAATCCATTACGTGATTAAAGGAGAGAGATTTGAGTTTCGAAAGAAGGGTCTGTACAGCAGCTGGATGATGCGCCTGTGTCGGGTGAGCTTGCTGTATCAGTAGCGAGAGCCAGTTCGATCGGGTCATTGCTGAGGCTCAACAGCTTGAAGATCTGTCATTATTGTCTGGTACTGTGATTTAATAGATTTTTGATCATTTTGGTCTCAGAGTAGTTGTCTACTTAGCATAAATGTGAAGCTAGATTCAGGCCGAGCCGAGCCGAACATTATGGTGTTCGAAGCTTGGCTTGTGAAAATTTATCGAACTCCAACTCGAGCCTAGGATCGACGAGCTCTAAAAACCAGGCTTTAAGCTTGAGTTAGTTAAATAGTTTGAGCTCGAAATTGGCTCGCGAACAACTATATCACTCAAAATAATCTCAATCCAAAGCCAATCCACTAAAGATAACCCCAAAAAAGGCTAATTGTCACCAAGCATCATCAAATCCAAAGCCAAACAGTCCAAATATATCACTCAAAATTCCACCGGCTGTGAGAGAGAGAAGAAAAGAGAGAGAAGGAAAGGGATGGAAGAACGAAGGAGAAGTAAGAAAATAGGTGAAGAATAAGGAAGAAGGAGGAGAAGAAAGGAGGAGGAGGAAAAAGATGAAGAAAAGAGAAAGAAAAGGAAAAAGAAGGAGAAAGTGTCGCTGGCCGCTGGGGAAAGAAGGCAGGGTTTAGGAATTGGGATGATTTATATAGGATATAATAAATTACATAAAACCCCCTGATACTTAAAAAAGTAACACTTATTCCCTTTCGAGCCATTTACGAGTCTATCCAACCGGGTAGTGGGTGGTTCGTAGCTCGGCTCGAGAAGGTACTCGAGCCGTTTGATCTCGAGCTCGGCTTGTTAGAGCTGAGCCGCGAGCTACCCGCAAGCGGCATGGCTCGCATACAGCGAGCCACCAACATACTCCAGGGACACAGATTTTCAGATGTGTTACCAGAACCACATCTCTCCTCTGACGGCTCCATTATTAAACATTTAAACTGATAAAAAGCAAACTATCTGCAGCTCCTTACCATCAAGGCATCAACCAGAATTTTCCGCTGAAACCAGCTTTTATCTCAACAAATATTAGAATTTAATATTTTATAACACAGAACAAATCTCTTCCATGTTGGGTTGGTGTATTGGGCCAAGACCCTGCCACAGAACAAAAAAAAGTCACACTCTGTTGGGTTATTTGGATTGATTTGGACCCGATGTGGCAGGCTGATCAACAATTATGTAGATCATGACATGACATTGCAATCTCCATGACCTTACTTTCATGAGTGGAAAATGTGACACTCCATTGACATCTCTAAATTAGCCTCTCATACATTGATATTTTAACATGGTAGAAATGTAGTGCAAGGGATAAATTTGTTGTGTGTTTCCAATATATCTCTCACTGGATATATTAATCCATTAATGTTGAATCAATCATCTTATATTCAGTCCATAGCCTAAAGCATTCCTGAGGAACCTGGTTTGTTATACCTGTGCACAGCCATTAAAATTCAGTGTTCACTGTGATTATATAAACGATGGAATACGATCTTCAGAATGGAATACCTGAAACCATAGCATAATCTCAAATGAGAATTGGTAAAAAGCAGATCTTGTGAAAATAATTTGCATAATACTACACATATAACATTTTATACAATATTTCATAACATGATGTGACAAAAGATGATTAGTTGATTTTAAATTAAAAATAAATTCACCTAATCATCTTTTTGCTATATCATATTTGTGAAAAATGTTGTATGCGTAGTATTACTTAAATAATTTCCAGGGAATATCATTGGTCTTTCATGTTCATTAGTTTTACATTAAGTTTTCTGAGTGTTGCCATTTCCATAAATTTGCAAGATATGTATAATCTTCTTCTAAAATCTGTCTTGAGGTAATGGGAATCCTATGTCTTCTTCTCTGCAGGCTTGCTGTGTTGAATATATAATTTTGGAGAGTGATAACTTGTCTTCATTATTTCCCAATGCACATTTAAGCGTGGGGGGTTTTATTGAATTCATATTATTTGTTCGCGTTGTGACTACCCTTGCTGTTTCTTCTACGGTTTGGCTCAGAGACCTGAGTGTTCTTAGTTATATATTGGTAAGCATGTTGGTCTTGTTTGACAGTGATTTGTGTTTGAAAAGTTCATGATGGTCTTGTTTGAATAGCACTCAATATGTTTTTCGCTGTTTCCAGTTGGCGGCGTTATTGCATCAATATTGGTGGTCTTCTGCTTGTTTTGGGTTGGTATGGTGGATGAAGTTGGCTTCACAGCAAAGGAACAACATTAAACCTCGCTACTTTTCCTGTTGCTATGGTCTCTATGGTTACTGCTACTCGGGACACGCTGTATTCCAAACATTACACTTCAATGGCCAAACCAAACCAATATCCATCAGTCCTCTTATTATGGTAAATAAACAGTATTCATTTTATGGAATTCTTAAGTAGTTAATTTGATATTACTATTTTCATCTGCAACTGCATTATTGAAAAGCAGTTTTTTATCTGTACACTTGATGTATGCCGGAGTCGCTGTTATGGGGTACACGATGTTTGGAGAATCAACAATGTCACCGTTCACTCTCAACATGCCTAAGGATGGTTGCCTCAAAAATTGCTGTTTGGACTACAGTATGTTGCGAACCATTTCTAATAATCGCTTAAATTATCAATGCTTTCCGTACACATTTGCCAAATTTTGATACCCTCCAGTGACATTTTCTTTCTTCCTTTTTCGATAATTTTTACATTCCAGTATGTAGAAAATGTTTTGAGTATTGATATGTGATATTATATTATATAATATTCTGTAAATTGGTTCTAATAACTTGTTTATTTCCTTTTGCAGGTGGTTAATCCATTTACCAAATATCCTTTTCTGAATATATAAATCAAATAGAAAATTTTAGAATGTTGTAAAAGAGTTTTGAGTCAACTGCTTCTTGCCAAGCTTTGAGTTAACTTCATGTTTTACAAAATATTCCTTATATGACAAAAGTGCAGGAGAGAAAGAACAATACGGAAATATATTTCTGTGTACCTGTTGCAATTCAACCAATCGATCAGAAAGTAAGGTTTCCATTCACGCTTTCATGGTATAGTCTCATTGGTTAATTGTATTGCAACAGAATGTACAGTTAGAAACTAAAAGCAGAGAAAATGAGGGCGATCACTCAAATCACAATATGGTATAAACTTTGCTTTTCCTTAATCAGAATTACATATGCATTAACATGCCCAGTGGCATTGAGTCTGGAGGAATTTATACCGTCAATCATCTCAAGTCTCACATCTATGCTATCTGCATTAGAACCGCATTAGTGATCTCTACCTTGTTTGTCGGCCTCAGTGTCCCCTTCTTCGGTAATCCTCTCATCTGGAGCTTTCAGTTTCATATTCTGTTTCTTAACAAAAGTTACTTCATTCATTTTTATACCATTTTCAGGTCTGGTGATGTCCTGATCGGATCGTTACTGACAATGCTTGTGGTGAGTTGTGTTAGCAGTTTCAATTATTTCCTCTTGATGAAGAATTCTGCTCAGGTTTATGTTAATAAATAATTTATGCAGACGTTAATACTTCCTTGCGCTTGTTTTCTAAGCATCTTGAGGGGCAAAACTACCCGGGTTCAGGTTATGATCATGCATAAACATTTCTTTACAATTCTTAATTAATCTTATACATGCTTACTTTTGTTGTTTTGTGTAGGTTACACTTTGTATTATAATTATTGTAGTAGGGGTATATCGTCGGTGATCGGAACATATTCAGCTCTTTCCAAATTATCGAGAGCTGAGGAGCTGAAAAATGATGAGCAAGTTTTTCCAGCAATGAGAATACATTTACGTGAATAATAGTTGTGATGAGTATCTATCTTTTCTATTGTTCTCAATTTTGGACTTGTATTTACACTCTGATGGTGGAGGTTCCATATGCACTGAATGGAATAATAAAACCTAATTCTGAAATCTATAATATTGTATCATATTACATTTTATTCACCAAAATTTTTTTTTAATTTTATATTTTGTCAAATTGAAAAAACATAAAGTAATATAGCCCAGACTCAATTTCACAACATTCTTTTACAACCTCAGCTTAACAGTTGAGTTGACAATTGTCATGTCAGCTCTCGTTACCCAAAACCATATCAAATAACTTTGATTACACACGAATGGGTGTTTCTTAGGAACAACGATCGTTCTCTCATAAGAAATGATTGTCCTTACAAAGGAACAACAGTCATCATAAGGATGAACTATTCTTATGATAGAACGACTGTTCTTTATGAATGAACATTATTCCTTATAAGAATGTGTCGTTTTTAAGGAACGACTATTTGTTTTAGTAAAGTATCACTCTACTGTACGTTGGGTTGTAAAGTATCAACTCTATTGTCACGTTAGGATTGTAAGAGAAAATTTGAGACCGAGCTCAACGTAGTATTTTTGAATTATTTGTTGTCAATTGAATATCAAATCCCCTAACTATTTATTTATTTTTTTATCATTCAAAACTAATTGTCCCCATTACAACACTCCTTAAATATTAAAAAAAAAAAAAAGGAAACCATTTTATACGGGTCCAAACGAAAGTCCAATTCCAATCCGGCGGCTGAAACAGTTCCAATTGTGGAGTCCCTGATCATCACCGGAGGGTCCACATAAGATCACCAAACTTGTCTCTGCACGCAGGGATTAATTCTTAAACCTTAGCGAACTGAACACAAAGTAAACATCGTACCTCGCTTTTATATGTTTCTTCTCCATTGTTCTCTGCAACATGTCTGCTACAATACACGCCTCTCTCCATCTCTTAAAACTTCAACCCACGTGCCCATTCACGTGATCTCTTTCTAACCCATCGAATTCCCTCGTGTTCCGCCTCCAAAAACCTTTCTTGCTATAAAATCTCTTGCTTTTCCCGGGAAAATCCATTACGTGATTAAAGGAGAGGATTTAGAGTTTCGAAAGAAGGGTCGTACAGCAGCTGGATGATGACGCGCCTGTGTCGGTTGAGCTTGCTCGTATCAGTAGCGAGAGCCAGTTCGATCGGGTCATTGCTGAGGCTCAACAGCTTGAAGAATCTGTCATTATTGTCTGGTACTGTGATTTAATAAGATTTTTGATTCATTTTTGTCAGAAATGAAGCTTTATTTTATTTGCTGAGTTTTTTTTTCCCTTTTTATTGATGATAATTAGAATTTTAATTCACTAGGTTGATATTGCAATTGGGTGTTTGTCAATGTATCTGGGTATTAATTGGTTGTTCTTATTTTGTTGAGGGTAATTAAATTTGGTTGAGTTTTGTTGTTTGCACATTGAGTTTATGTGGAATCAAGAAAAAGGGTAGGAAAATTTCTCTGTTTTGGCATACTTTGGCTCTTCTTTCTTTGCAAAAAATTCTGATATTAAAAAATTTGCTCTTTTTTATTTCCCTGGAAAAGATCCCTGTGGCTAATTTTTAATTAGTTTGAACTCTTTTCAAGTGAGTTTTACTCTAAATAGTTGTCTAAAATTAGATTAGTACACCATTTCTAAAAACCTGAGACAGATAATTACATTTTATTGATCACTTCAAGGGCTGTCCACCTGAGAAACCCGTCTTTTCTAGGTGACTTGTTTGGGAATTTGGTAATCTTCCTTAGTAATTTTAATCTTTAGGTTTTGTAATAGTGAAATGTTTAAGTTGGACTAATTCGTTTGTGAATTGAACTTAAGATGGCCTAATCCCATTCTGTGCTTCTTGGAAATAGTTGCAGTTATTTTATTATTAAAATTTCTCTGCTTTCATTGTTGATGCAGTTCATTAAACATCTGCTATAAGAGTCATTATAATAATTGATTTCTTCTGGTTTTTAAAGTACCTCATGAATGGCTGCTGTTTGTGAATCCATTGTCTATCCCTTTTCCTTGCGAACTTTTACTAAATTGGTATTATGTGAACTTGTAGGATGGCAACATGGTGCAGAAAATGTATTTACCTCAAACCAAAATTAGAAAAGTTGGCAGCTGATTACTATCCACGGTTAGATTGATTTCCTCTCTGATCATGTAAACAGTTGGAATAATGTAAAATTGAAGCTTTTGGACGAATGATATTGTTATTTCTTGAGTTGATGTATATACCTGAAGCTTTTCTGCATACATTGACTTCATCTTTTGTCTACTTTTGCCAAGTAATAAAAGATTATCCTTCAATGATATAGTTACTGTACTTTTTACCTTTCAAATATGTGGCATAAAATTTCATTCTCTGATTTCATTTTTCATTTGATTTTGATAGCTTAGAAGAGTCACATACTCTAATGAAATCTTTTTAAATTTTCTTGCATTTCGATCGTTCAGTTGCAAATTGTAAAGTTTTCCTTTACAGAAGCACATACAGAACTTGCAATCACCTTTTTTCTTTCTTTGGGTGTGGAGTGGATTTGACTATGGTGAGACATGGCCAAGAAAACATACGAGTTAAATTATACACCATAAACTACAATGAAGTTTGTTTTTGAGTGAAGTATTACATGTCTGTTTGTGTTCTTTATGAAATTAATTGTGCATCTCATATTGAGTAAGCTAGATTAAAGTTTACTGGTTATAATTTTCTTTTTCTTTTTCCTTCTGTATAATGATTGCTGTAGATTGCGGTTCTACTATGTGGATGTCAACACTATTCCCCACAAGCTTGTTGCTCGTGCAGGCGTCACGGTAAGTCTCTTATAATTTGATAGGGCATATATTTCTTTGATTTGTGCTGATATCCAATTTATTATAATTCAATAACTTGTAACATAGCAAATGTTTATTTTAAGTGGATACTTTTAACAATTATTCTCTTATGTAGAACATTAACCGGTTAGTTATTAAATCTTTAACTAAATGCAATTATCAACAGAGTGATATTCCAAATGCATATTATTTTAAACACTAAGAGAACAGATTTTAAGGGTAATAAAAACAATATTTGTAGTACTGATGCAAAACAGTTTGAATAATATGCAGTAAAAATGCTATAAATTTTGATGAGTTGGAGAGTTGATGAGTCAACACTTGTTCTTAAATGATATTCAGTAATATATATATCTGCAGAATGGTGATTGACCCTCAATTTTCGTTTTTATGTGTCTGCTCATGATGAACGCTGGAATCCTGCAGAAAATGCCGACTATTCAGGTAATTTTCTTTATGAATATTTTGCAACTATATGCTTTTTGGTTGCAAATAAGCTGAATTAATCCGAGTATGCTGCTCAAGCTCTGATCTGTTGAAGTGTGATTGTTTAGTTCGTTTTTATTGCTCCCTATATTTCTTCCTTGACTGGATCTGAGTAAAGGTATTCATGTTACAGCTATGGAAGGATTGCAAGAAACAGGATGAAGTGATCGGTGGCCATAAAGCATACTTAGTCATTAATGAGGTTCGCCAAATGATTGAAAACCAGAGTACCATATGATTAATGGTATGAATGACTTTTTTTTTTCCTTAATTTCTACCTTACCTGTTTTTCAGTTTTGATATTGTCGAAAATTTTCTTTTTAATTAGTTTCCCTGATAAAAGAATCTGGAGAGCTTACAGCACTAAGTGAAATTGGCACTTGTTTCAGCCAAATTCTGTGTTCTATACCATTTCATTTTACTATGTAAAATTACAACAAAGGAAAAGGAAAAATTATTCGGAATAAATAAATTTTTTTAAGACTTAGAAACAATTCTGGTTCTTTGCAATGCCAATATATCTTGTTAATATGTGAGTGATTAACAATGATTAGGAACCTAGCCCGGCTCGACCGGTTGAATCGGTCCAACTGGGACCCAGGGCCTTCACCAGGTTGGGTTACAAATTTTTCTATTCATTCAAAACTCTAGAAATTAGGACGTCAATTTGTGAATAATTGAAGGCTGAAATGTTAGGGCTTTTGAATAGGAATAGTCGGTGAGTGGAATGGTGGCGACAGAGGTGATTTCCAGTGAGTGAATCAACTGTAAATTGCAAAAATAAGTTGCTAGAAAAAGCCCACTGTTGTCGGCAATTAAGGAGGCTAACGGGGGAGGGGTAAGATGGGTTTTGGTTTGGAGGTTGAGGGTAGTGTTTTCGTGGTGATAGGGAGTGATGTCATCGTTGGAAACAGGCCCTGTTTGTTGACGCTGACTAGGGGTGTTCGGTTAACCGCTTTTCTAAACAGAACCGGATTTTCGGTTCGGAAAAATTCCCGAACCGAAATCGAACTGGTTTTAGGGAAAACCGGTTTAAAAAAAGCGGTTAACCGGTTTTAAACCGGTTTTCCCTTTTTTTTTTTTTTGATAAAACTTTTTTTTTTGTTCTAAATTAAATTGTAAATATAGACAATACATTGGGAACTAAGAAAAAAAATTTGGGTTAGGAACCGTTTTTTCGGTTAACCGGTTTTTCGGTTTGGTTATCGGTTTGGTTAGCGGTTCGGTTCGGTTTTTGTATTTTTTTGAACACCCCTAACGCTGACAGTGGTATTTGGGGTTTTTTTGCAAGATTGCAAACCTATAGAGACTTATTAGTTTTTAGGGGTATTTTTGCTGGATTTCAAGCATTTGGACACTGATTTGACTCGTCAGTCAAATCGGTTAAACCGCTTGACCTGGGACCCAGTGGCCTGGTCGGGTCACTGTTTGGGTCGGGTTTCAAAACATTTGTGATTAGTATGTAATCATGATATATATAATTTTTTAATTAATTAATTATCAGTCATAATCTTGATTTGAGTTCATCTAAAATGCTTTAGATTAGAAGATAAACTTCGAGAAATGAAGAAAAATCATAAAACTGGTTTATCTTCTCTTGATATACAACATAAATAATTAAATATTATGCTTAATTCCCATTTCTTACTTTTTAAAAAAAACATGATTTCACGCGTTAATATAATTTATTTACTATTTCCTACCAAAATTATGATACATGTGCACTGATTTTGAGAATCTTGGGTACATTTAATAATTAATAACCTTTTTTTTATTTTAAACCCATCAAAATAAGAAAATTAACATATTTTTCCAATAAGGAGACCATAAAATTTCCTCTTCTAACATTACATATATTTCTATTTGGCAAAAGAATTTGTTTTAATTTGGGAAAAATCAATTTATTTATTTGTGACAAAAAAATAGTAATATTAAACTATTTAATTTTATGCAAAATCCCAAACATATGGGGGTTTTAATTAATTATATGTTAATCCATTCAAAGAGTTTCAATTAAACTTGTTCTTTCATTAAGCTTTGTGATAAGGTAAAATATTTTATTTTTATAAGTTTATTTTAATTTTTTTTATGAAAAAATAGTTTATTATTTAAACTAGGAACGTATTTAAATGGAGTAAATATATCATTAACACTTTTAGAGAAATTAAAAGAAAAAAAAAAAAGGTAGTGATAATAATAAGGTAAATGACGTAAGGGGCGCCATCACCGTCAAAAGAAAATCGGACGGCTGATACCAGATTCTTCGTAAAATGGTAACAGTGAAAAAACGAGGGACCGTTTCGAAGAATCAGGAGGCTCACGCGATCTCAATCTCGTCTATCTTCATCTTCCCTGTAAATAATAACAGCTCACTTTGCAATATTTTTCTTCCTAGATTTTCTCTCACATCCTTTGCATTTTCCATTTAATTAACTGCTTGCTTTGTTAATCGTAAGTTCCCTTACAGGACGCCGTTTTCTTTCGTTTTCTTGTTGCAATTTTCAAGATTTTGTTATTTTTTTTCTCACTTTCTTGTGATTTTTAGTTATTTTATGCAAGAAGCTTGTTCATGTTGGTGACGATAACTTCGTAAAGGTATCTATTTTTTTTAATTATGCTTTTGATTTTTTTTTTCCTTTTGATATAGATGATTATTATTGCTCTGTTTGGTTGGTGAGATAATAAAAGAGAAAATTGAAACTCAATTGTGCGTAGGCAACTGATGGATTTATTCTAGGTGAGAGTTAATTGTGTGTTATAAATTTTTTCTGCAATCAAGCAGATGGTTAGGTTTTGGGATTGAATTTATTTATTTTAATTAATTATTTAAAGTATTTCCAGTTTATTTTAGATTTAGCTTAAATTTGATTACTCATAATTTTTGTTTTTTGTTTTGGGGGTTAATTAGAGTATTGGAGATGGTTCCTGTAAGTAACATTGACATGTTACAAGAACCTGATGGGAATTTGAATATAGAAGATAGCTTGCACACTGAGTTAGAATTGATATTGCAAGCGCAGTCCAACCAACAACAAATTCTTCAGAGAGAAAGGGATCTTAATATTTATCGAAGTGGCAGTGCACCACCCACTGTTGAGGGTTCACTAACTGCTGTGGGTAGTCTATTTAGGAATAATATAAGTAGTGGTAGTGGTGCTACTGGTGCTAATGCTAATCTTAGTGGGATTTTGTCTGAAGATGAGATTCGCTCACATCCTGCGTACCTGTCATATTATTATTCGCATGAGAACATAAACCCGAGGCTACCGCCACCATTGCTTTCAAAGGAGGATTGGCGTATTGCGCAAAGGTTTCAGGGTGGTGGGTCATCTTTTGGGGGTATAGGGGACTTGAGGAAGAAGGGTTTAGATGGTGGTGATAAATCATCATTGTTTTCGATGCAGCCAGGGTTTTCTGTGCAGCAGGCAGAGAATGAATTAATGGAATTGAGGAATGCTGGTAGGAGGAATGTGTCTAGGAACACTTCGACTGAGTGGCGTGAAAGAGACTCTCATGGGTTGATGGGATTGTCCACAGCTGGACTTGGTGTGAGGAGGAAGAGCTTTGCTGACATTCTTCAGGTAATTGCCATATTGTGTTTGTAATTTCTAGCACACTGGCAGCTTGTGATGATTCTTTGTTGTCTAATATGTTGATTGCATGATGTGAGGCTTATTGAAACTTTTATCTTCTTGTTAGTTTCTTACGTCCTTGTTGTATACTTTTGCTTCTTGATTTCTATCTAAAAAATGATGGTGGGTTTATTTTTTATTTTGAATTTCTTGAATGATTTAAGATCTTTATTATTATTATTATTATTTAAATAGGTTTGTATGCTTGGTGCTCAACTCTTAAAGATGTCGTGGTCTGATCATTTCATTGATTTTTGTAGTTTATTAACTTGTCTTAACTTGTCTTGCTTTGAGGATGGGTTGCAGATTTTCGTTTTCTCTAAACATATATCTGTCAATTTTGATTGATTTTCTATCTTAAGGATGATTGTAGGATGGGTGTCAAAGTTGATCCTGTGGCTTTTAGAGTCCATATTATTTTGTGATTATTTTATTCTTGAAATTTGGAAAATTTCTTCTGTCTTGCCTAATGCTATTCAACAAAATTTATTGAATGTGTGCAATTATCGAATTGAAATTATAGATAATGTGTTTGGTTCTTTACCTTACTTTGACAATTGTTATTGATGTGTTTTAGGAAGGACTTGAACAACCTGCCTCCTTGTCACGCCCAGCAAGTTGTAATACCTTTCGTGATGGTTCGGGTGCTGCTGGCATATCTAATGCCCATCCAGCTGCTTCATGTAATGCAGTAGAATCCTTAGAGGTCTTGCAATCTGCCGTAGCTCCCCCAGGACTGGTAGGAGTGAAGAGCCTTAATAGAACTGCTTCTCATTCTTTTACATCTGCAGTGGGTTCATCACTGTCAAGGAGTACAACCCCTGAAGCACAGCTAATTGGGAGGTCTCCTGGTTCTGGTCTTCTTCCTCCTGTGGGGAGCAGAGTTGGGCCTATTGAGAAGAAGGGTGCTGTCGGCTCAAATGTCCAAAATGATCGTTCTGCTGGTATGACTGAGCTTGCTGAAATTGCGGCTACATTATCGGGTTTAAGCTTGTCGAATATTAGACATGCAGATGAAGATAGTCATGCACGGTCTCAGCTTCAACTGGATCAAGATAATCAGTCCGAATTTCTTTACAATATGTCCAATGGTCATAACCAGAGTTTGCAGCAACAAGTCATAGACAAGTCCAATGCAGAGAATCTCTCATTTGCTGCAAACTATATTGATTTTTCTCGGAAAAATGGAATTGTACCTAGCCATAGTGGTTCTATTATAAATTCCAATGGGCAAGTAAATGTTCCCAGAAGAACAACTTCACTCAATGTTTACTCGAAAGTGAAGCCTACAGGGTTTGGAAGTTCAGAAGGATCCGTTATTAGACATCAAAATGCAAATATTTCAAGTGCAGACTTTGCTGGCAATGCACCTGGTAATTATTTTGCTCATAAAAAGCTGAATTTTATGGTTAAGAATAAATTTGATACTGGTTAATCCTGTCTTTTACTCTTGAAGTTTTTTAGTGGTATTATTTTTACATGTATTCTTTCAATAAATCTTTAGTATCTGGCTGGATTACTATTCATGTTAACACTTGTTTTTGTTTAGGTCCAGCTTTTACTGGTATTGGAGATAGACAAAGTTTGAGTGGATTGGTTAACCCTGTGGGGCTGGACCTCCATTCTCCATCAGTGGATCCACGTTATATCCGGTACCTCCAAAGAACATCTGATTATGCAACACATGGTGTGGCCAGCCCAAGTGATCCTTTAGATGTTAGAAATTACTTTGGCACTTCATATGGAGACTTCGATGGGTTGCAGAAAGCACAGCTTGAGGCATTGCTTGCTGAACAGAAGCAACAACATGAACTGCAACTTTTTGGCAAGTCTGGTGGTTTGAATCATGGGTACTATGGGGGTCAATCATATAGAGCTGGCATGCCATATTCTGGAAACCCATTTGCCAATATGGTGCTTCCTTCTGTTGGATCTGGAAATTTCTTGAATGAGCAAAACTCATGCTTTGCTTCAATGATGAGAAGTTCAATGGGAGGGCCAGTGTCATGGCATTCAGGTGCTGGCAGTAACCTGGAAGGAAGATTCACATCATCCTTATTAGATGAGTTCAAAACCAACAAGACTAGGTCATTTGAACTTTTAGACATTGTTGATCATGTTGTTGAATTCAGGTTTGCATTTACTGCCCACTTTGGTGTTTATTTTACATATTCATTGGTTAGAGTATATAGTTAATATTTCTTTTTATATATTTCAGTACAGATCAGTATGGGAGTCGGTTTATTCAGCAGAAACTAGAAACCGCTACTGTGGAAGAAAAGACCAAGATATTCCCCGAGATCATTCCTCATGCTCGTACCTTGATGACAGATGTTTTTGGAAATTATGTGATTCAGAAGGTATGTCCTCTATAATTTGAAATGCTCAAGCACACCCAACTTAGAAAACTTTAAATTATTACTCAATTTGTTGGCATGATTTGCAGTTTTTTGAGCATGGTACAGAAAGTCAAAGAGCACAGCTAGCCAGTCAACTTGCTGGTCATGTTTTGCGTCTAAGTCTTCAAATGTATGGTTGCAGAGTGATTCAGAAGGTGCTTTGCTTATCTTTTACCACTTGATCTCATTATGTGTTTATATGGTACATGCATATTCTAGACGATTTAAATTTTTTATCTGATTGCAGTTTTCAATCGTGATATGATTTTGTATATCTTTGATTTGATATTCTGATTTCAAGTAAATTCTTTGTCATTTCATCACTATTTCTGGGTTGAAAATCTCTTAATCCTCTAATTATGACCACAGGCCTTGGAGGTGGTTCATGTGGATCAGCAGACTCAGATGGTGGCGGAGCTTGATGGTTCAGTTATGAAGTGTGTCCATGATCAGAATGGTAATCATGTTATTCAGAAGTGTATAGAGTGTGTTCCTCAAGATCGAATTCAATTTATCATCTCAGCTTTCTATGGACAAGTAATGGTTCTTTCCACCCATCCTTATGGTTGCCGAGTTATTCAGGTTAGAAATTTGCAGTTTGGTTTTTTCTTTTCAAGTGAGGCTTGTGACATTTATTCATTTACTAACTTACTTTTGCCAGAGGGTCCTGGAACATTGTGATGATGTGAAAACGCAACAAATCATTATGGATGAAATTTTGCTACATGTATGCGATCTGGCACAAGATCAATATGGGAACTATGTTATTCAGGTACTAAAAAATTCCTTGTATCTGATCTCCATATGTGTAGAATGGAAACCAAATATATCTGCTAGTTGGCTGCTCGAGTAGTACAGTGTTAATTTTTTTCTCCAGAATTAGAATTTTGATGTTTCAGACATGAACAACGCTTTCCAAATATTGTTCAGTTGAAATGATTCTATGAAAACTGGGCTGGTTATATGGCCCTTGACTAGAATAAAAAGATGTACTAAATATTCATCCATGGTATGAGCAAATACCTATATACTTACAAAATCTAGAATTTCCAGTAACCTTTAAATGATAAATCATGTTTTTTGCCTGTTATTTTACTTTCACAGTTTCACTTGTGTTTTTTTATTACTTTTCTGGTGTTGTATTGCCTGTTCAATTTTACACCTTTCACACTGCAATGGTGTGAGACTATACAAACATGATCATGTGTAGAGAGCAGTGTTATTTTGAGTGTTTTGTGTTAAGATATAAATATAATGAAGGTAGATGAATTCCTTAATTAAAGGAGGGAAATGGAGTACTTTGATAATAAGATGGATGAACTGAACAAAGGTAGCATGCCCGATGCCAAGATATTTTCTATCACAGGAACTTGGTGGTTTTTAAAAGCATCTAGTTTTGAATAATAAAATTTGGAGCTCAAGAGAAAATAAGTTGTATATGATGGAAGTGTGCATGAACATGTTTGAAATATGTGATGTACTCATTTGACATGATTGTGGTCTGTGTTGTTTGGCATGCCTACTGCTAAAGGCATTACGATGGAGGCCTATCAAATATCAAAGTTAGCATAGTTCATTGCATCTTAATTTGTTCAGTTTGAATGAAATCCTGAGTTTGGCATGCATGCATGTCACGCATGTAATTCACTTTGCCTTTGGTAGTAATGAAAAGGTTGGAGCTTTATTGATTGTGGAATGTCCCTCTGCCAAACCTGATTGGAATTCACAATTTATAACTAGTCTGATTTGATACCCATACATACATTCTTATTCAATCTTATTTACTGCTCCACCTTATTACGCATTTTAAATGTTGTGTTAATAGTTAAGACTTCTGAAATTTTTGCTTTATTTAAAATGATACCTTTCCATGTTTATTTTTCACTTATCTTCTTATTGTTGTTTGTGATTTTTGTCCTTCTCTTTGTTAGCATGTCCTTGAACATGGTAAACCGCATGAACGATCTTCTATTATAAGCCAGCTTGCTGGAGAAATTGTGAAGATGAGTCAGCAGAAATTTGCTTCTAATGTGGTGGAGAAATGTTTAACATTTGGGAGCCCTGAGGAACGTCAACTTCTGGTGAATGAGATGCTTGGTTCAACTGATGAAAACGAACCTTTGCAGGTATGCGGTAGTGTGTTTTTACAGTGTGCAAACTTATTATTCCCATATAAGTTATAGAACCCATTAATGTGTGCATGTTATCTTCTTTCCAAGAAAAAAAATTTTGAAATTGAATACTCAAATTATTTGTGTGTTTCTCTATAGCATGAGACGCATTTAATGGTGCTGTTATGTTTCAACTCATTGTTTAATCAGGAGCTTATGAACTAATAAACTTCCTTGTTATTTTCTATGTTTTCTTGGTTATTTTATTTTGTAAAGAAGAGAGATTCTATTCCAATCTTGCTTGGAGCATAACGTTTCAAATTTCCACTGATGTTTATGCTTTTTATGTTGCTAAAATTGAAAAACTGCAGGCCATGATGAAAGATCCATTTGGAAACTATGTTGTGCAAAAGGTTCTTGAAACCTGTGATGATCGGAGCCTAGAATTACTAATTTCTCGCATCAAGGTTCATCTAAATGTGCTGAAGAAGTACACTTATGGTAAACATATTGTTTCTCGCATTGAGAAACTTGTTGCAACTGGAGGTGAGGAACAGTTGACTCTATTTGTTATGTTTACTTAACTTCTCATGACTACAACTAAATCTTAACTACTCAATGGCAGAGCGGCGCATAGGAATGTCAATCTCAGTCTCTTCCTGAGATCTCCTAACCTGGAATCTCAGAGTCAGTCTCCTTTGCTGTCAAGAAAGCTTGACTATGACGGTAAAAAAAGACGATCCTTCTGTATAGCTAACAGGGATGGTGATTTTAGCATCTAAGTCTCATTTTCTACCTAGACTAGTAGTTGTAGATAAACATAAAAACTAGCCTCCTGAATAAGTTGTTTTGTCAAATATTTTAATTGTAAATTTGGCCCGCTATTAATCGACGATGAAAATTCTGGTGGGAGGGTCAATTAGGTATTAGATTAGATGGTTGGTGGAGTTACATATTTTCTGACTGTTTATTGGAGTATATAATTGTAAAGCGGAACCGAGTGTAAATGCATAATCAGAGTGATATGATATAGGAGAATAATTCATATCAAGCAGAGACTTGAATATGCAGGAACTAAAACTTATATGTAAATAACTTTTTAATATTTTTGAAGCAGATATATTTCTATATGTTATTTGATTTTGATATTGTTGTTGTGTTTTTGCAACTTCAAAAATTTACATGTATGATAAATTTGAATGATTTTAAACGATGAAGCTAAAATGTTGATTTCATAGCATTTCTAATATTTGATTAAGCATGTAGAGACTAAAAAAATAACCCTTTAATAAGTTGTATTGTTATATAAAATGATACATTTAGGTTNAGCCCTGAGGAACGTCAACTTCTGGTGAATGAGATGCTTGGTTCAACTGATGAAAACGAACCTTTGCAGGTATGCGGTAGTGTGTTTTTACAGTGTGCAAACTTATTATTCCCATATAAGTTATAGAACCTATTAATGTGTGCATGTTATCTTCTGTCCAAGAAAAATAATTTTGAAATTGAATACTCAAATTATTTGTGTGTTTCTCTATAGCATGAGACGCATTTAATGGTGCTGTTATGTTTCAACACATTGTTTAATCAGGAGCTTATGAACTAATAATCTTCCTTGTTATTTTCTATGTTTTCTTGTTTATTTTATTTTGTAAAGAGGAGAGATTCTATTCCAATCTTGCTTGGAGCATAACGTTTCAAATTTCCACTGATTTTTATGTTGCTAAAATTGAAAAACTGCAGGCCATGATGAAAGATCCATTTGGAAACTATGTTGTGCAAAAGGTTCTTGAAACCTGTGATGATCGGAGCCTAGAATTACTAATTTCTCGCATCAAGGTTCATCTAAATGTGCTGAAGAAGTACACTTATGGTAAACATATTGTTTCTCGCATTGAGAAACTTGTTGCAACTGGAGGTGAGGAACAGTTGACTCTATTTGTTATGTTTACTTAACTTCTCATGACTACAACTAAATCTTAACTACTCAATGGCAGAGCGGCGCATAGGAATGTCAATCTCAGTCTCTTCCTGAGATCTCCTAACCTGGAATCTCAGAGTCAGTCTCCTTTGCTGTCAAGAAAACTTGAATATGACGGTAAAAAAAGACGATCCTTCTGTATAGCTAACAGGGATGGTGATTTTAGCATCTAAGTCTCATTTTCTACCTAGACTAGTAGTTGTAGATAAACATAAAAGCTAGCCTCCTGAATAAGTTGTTTTGTCAAATATTTTCATTGTAAATTTGGCCCGCTATTAATCGACGATGAAAATTCTGGTGGGAGGGTCAATTAGATATTAGATTAGATGGTTGGTGGAGTTACATGTTTTCTGACTGTTTATTGGAGTATATAATTGTAAAGCGGAACCGAGTGTAAATGCATAATCAGAGTGATATGATATAGGAGAATAATTCATATCAAGCAGAGACTTGAATATGCAGGAACTAAAACTTATATGTAAATAACTTTTTAATATTTTTGAAGCAGATATATTTCTATATGTTATTTGATTTTGATATTGTTGTTGTGTTTTTGCAACTTCAAAAATTTACATGTATGATAAATTTGAATGATTTTAAACGATGAAGCTAAAATGTTGATTTCATAGCATTTCTAATATTTGATTAAGCATGTAGAGACTAAAAAAATAACCCTTTAATAAGTTGTATTGTTATATAAAATGATACATTTAGGTTACGTTGGTTCAGAGAATATTGTATTATGGATTACTTTAAAGATTATTGAAAATGTTTAGGGAGATGTGTTTGTCTAGATTGGAATATTGGAATAAATTGATGAGTATGTTATATTGATTATTGAATTGCTTTTCTATTTTAATATTATTATTATTATTTTTTTAACCACTACATTAATTAATTTAGTTAAACATTTTCACATTAAAAGTTTAAAAGTTAACTAAAGCATCCTAGCAATCCAAGAGGATAGTTGGTTGTTGGTCACAACCGTTGGACGACAATCGACAGTTGTCGAAATGGTGCACGATTGGTTGAATCTGGCTGGTTGTACGTTGATATGATTGAAAACGGCTAGATCCACAATGATCAGATTCTGGTCGTTTTAGTGGTGGTTGTTGGCAGATGGTGGTGGTTTGCAATTTATTTTAAATACAAGGGTAGCACTGTCCAAAAACTTAATTAAATAGTGGTAAAATTGTAATGGCAATTCTGTTAACCTCTCCTCCTTTTCTTTGTGTGGTATTCCTGATTCATTTATTGAGATAGATGTGTTCTCTCTGCTTTCCTCCGGCTTTTTTTTTTTTTTTTTTTGACAAATTGATGTCTGGGGACTTCCCGCGTTTTGTCTGTCGAGATGGTGTGCGTTTTGTATGGATTATTAATATTAATTGGTAAATTAAGAAGAAAGATAGAGATGTATCTCCTCTGACTAATGAAAAGAAAATTAGTAAGGAAGCAAACTGTTGTTCTGGTGCGGGAGACCCCAAAGTCCAACCTATTCAGGAGTCTCCGTTTGAAGTTCCGTTTTAGCCATACTACAAAACACTGAAAGAAATCCCAAATGATATTCTTTCGGCTTACTTGTGACAGAAGAAACATAGCATCGTAGTCTATGTACAGTGATTTATTTTAAGCTCTAAACAATCTGTTTATAAAGTAGTTTGATTAAGTATATTATCACGTTATCTCTATTTAATTTTAAAATTTTATCATATAACTTTATTTTTATATTTCAGACAACTCACGCTTCTAATGTTATTCATTGCAAAAATTATTTATATCAATTTTTAATAAAATATTTATCTATAAAGTATTTGTTTATTTAATTTTAAAATTAAATTATATTGTCATATGATCAAAATATATTTTGATAATATTATAGTAAAAAACTGAGTTAATATAATCTATTATTTGATAAAATAATATAATACCATTTTTAGACATTTTAATAATAAAATGTACTTATAAGCCACATTTCACCAAATGCGTCAATTACTTATAAGTACTTTAACTAAACACGTAATTGTTTAAATTTCAAATGTTTATAAATTCAAATTACCTTATAAACAGTATTATTGATACTCATAAACTCGGCCAAACAGGCTTATAATTTCTAGGGTGTTAATAATTTTGGAGCAGCTAGGGATTTAGTTATCAAGTGATGATTTGTTAGTTGAATTTGAAGAAGGATTTAGTCAACCGCTAAGCAAATATGATATCAGCAATTCTCGTTCAAGAGATTGTGTTTGCAGCTAGCTTGAAGGATTAATGGTTTTCAAGGGTTCTTTTATGTCTGCTTAATTGAGATGAACTAGAGAGGAATGAAAAAGACAAGGTCAAATTAAATGGTCATTTATCATTGTATAAGAGTTTGGCATAATCTTTGCACATAAAAACTTCATTCAGATGATCATTCACTTCTCAGAAACGGAATCTTATTACATTTTGAACACAATGGCTATAATTTCACACTAATAACTCATCCACCCATTAAACATTGCTTATGAAATTATAGCAATGAACTTTTCTTCAAGGCCTTGATCATTTTCCCCACCAGCTTCCCGGTATCATTAACACTCTGTCACCCCAACTCTAAACTAATTCTTTCACATGAATCTCATATTGGGTGGATAGTCCAGTAGAATATTACAGACTCATACATCAAAGAAGATCCCACTTTATCTGAGGTAAACCACAGCTTTCATTGCAGCTACAAGAAGAATCCTCAACAGTAATTTAACATCAAGTTTCCTAGTGTCATCCTTGGCGAATTCTTAAGAATGGTCTATACCTCTCTCAGACTGAATGATAATCGGAAAACATTCAATATTGCAGGGAACTTTCAGACAGTTGCCTGGTTTTTGCACCCTCAAAATGCAACACTACTTCCTCTGTAATTTAGATGATTTACAGATACAGAACTTGTTTCCAACAGTAAAGTCCCGGCAGCTGCGAAAATTGGAAAAATGACAGGATTATAGTAAAAAATTTAACTAGCACTCAAGTTCAAAACATCAATCCAGAAAAGGCAACTAGATGCAACATGAAGTTAAACTTGCAATGGAAATGGCAAGAATTGAGAATCAAAACAGCAAGTATCGAAAGCTCATGGCAGCTTAATAGCCATGGTAATACCTGATATTCTAAATTCATAGAAAATACTTGACCACAGAACATTTCTACTGCAAGTATATGCTGTAACCCATCTAAATATTTTAATCCCTCATAAATTTAAAACATACCTCTAGCACCAAAGATGTGCCCAAATGAAGCAATGGCTGTCATTTGCCACCATCACCTCAGGCAAAACCAGCCACTGAAAAGCTTATCAATCAACTTTCAGCCCTGATTAGTCCTATTTGAGAAGTTCTGACACACTTCTATTAGGCCATCGCTCCTCCGTCTTCATCCTCGTAATTCGAATCCAATTCCTTCTCCTTCTCCAGATCCCCCCTATCAACAAACCGATTGTTCGACCTCCTATTCCTCAGAATCACATCCGACTTCTTCATCAACTTAATATACTTTTTCCTCACCTTCAACAGCGGATGTTCTTCTATAGCATACTTGTCCCGGAAAGCCTCTTTAAGAATAGCAGTACAAGTTTTGTTCCTAAATGACAAACAAAAAATGTGGGGATGCCTCTCAAACGCCCTGTGAACCTTTTGTGGCAAACCAAAATACTTCTTAAGACACAAAAGTTTCCTCCTCTCTGCAGAATGCTCTACAAAGAGACTAAGCAGTTCATGAAGGAAGCCCACAACTCTTTTCTCTGCTACATCACTAGTAGGATCCAAATGTGAATAATCCTCATATGGTGATACATAAGGAACATTTTGAAACTCCTTAATCCAATCCTCAACCTTTCTCCTCAACCTCAAACCCTTTGAAGGAAAAAGAGGAAACTCAATAGCCTCCATTGGTTCTCCAAAAGAAACTCCTTGCTTCATAGCATTTCTTTGCAACACAGACAACACTTTTCTACCCTCACTCTCAACAGCTAACCCCTTTAATCCATCTTCCATATCAACAAACCTAAAAGACCCATCAAGATTCACTTCTGGCTGCTCCAAAAAGTCACTAGGCAACCCCAAATACCACTCCATTCCTTTAACAATCTTCAAAGGCAAAACTTTATCTTTACTCATCAAAACAAACCTCCTCAACCTCTCTCTCAACTCCTCTCTACATTCCTCATAAACAATTCTCTCCTCTCTATCAGTCTCAACAGCTTCTTGGGTCAACCTAAACCAAGGCAAATTATGCATAGGCCCAGTGAACTCTTCAAAAATTGATGGGTATTGTCTCAAAAACCTCGCAACTTTAACATGTATATCAAACTCAAGTCCTCTCTTTGATATAGCAGAGATTGGGATAGAAGCAGAGGGCTCTTGGACGACAACATTCTTCAAAGCAATGATGGGTTTGAGGTGCATGGAGTTGTGGATGTGGTCGATTGAATCAAAGTAGAAGTCTTGCTTCCATTTCATGTAGACATTTACATAGTTGTGGGTTTGGGTGTATGTGAAAGGTGGAGGCTTTATTTCGAGCTGTTTCAGAAAGGTTTTAAAGATTGGATTTTTGGAATTGATTAGTAAGATTTTTAGGGTTTTAGCGTAGTGGTTGCTGAATATCATGTATAGGGTTTTGGTTGAGGAGATTAGATGAACAGATTTCAGACAAGTGCAGAGGTTTTAGTTTGAGGTAAATCAAAGCGTTTTTCTGAGGAAAGTTCCTTTCAAAAATACGGTGCCAAATGTTTTCATATTTCACTCTGAATAATCGCGCAATAGTACGGTGCCAAAGTTCCATTTCATGTATAGGGTGGTGGTGGTGGTGATGGTGGTTTTTTTTGTTTTTATTTTTTATAATAAGAACAAAGTTAAAAAAAAAAAAAATGAAATTACACATGAACACTTACGAAAGAAACTTCTTAGCAGGGCTTTAACTTTTAAGAGTAATCTTAGCCTTACTCACTACCTTTACTCACTTCTCTTACTCACCTTTATTAAAATATTAGCTTTATTCACTTATTCATTTTTTTTAATAAAAGTGAATAAAAGAAGTGAATAGGGGAGTGAATAAGGCTAGCATTATTCAACTTTTAATACCAGGCCCGGCCTGGCCGGTTAAACCACTCTAACCGAGACCTGGGGCCTTGGCCGAGTTTCCAATTTCAATTATTCATAACTTATCAAAGCAAACCTTGTGATCGATGAGCAATTGATGGTTGAGATGTTGGAGCTTTTGAAGAGAATGGTTGAGTCGAAAGGTGGTGGCAAAGGTGATTTTTAGTGAGTGAAACGATTGAAAATCGCAAAAATAGCATGGGGGCAAACAACAAGTTATTGCCAATGATTGGCAAGACGAATTAGGGTGAGGTATGATGGGTTTTGATAAGGAGGTTGAGGGGAGTGTTTTCGTAGTAATGAAGAGTGTTGTTAACATCGATGGCTGCATTTGGGGTGTGTTTGTTAGATTTTAAATCTATAGGGACTTATGGGTATTTTTTAAGGGTATGTTTGTGAATTTCGAACCTTCAGACATGATGACATCACCGATTTGACCGGACAATCAAACTAGTTCAACCGGTCAATTCGAGACCTAACCACTTTGCCAAGTTTCACCTCGAACTGAATTTTAAAACCTTGCTTCTTAATATTTCTTTTCTATCTCTACAACCATAATAATAATCGTGATTTTTCATATTTATACGTTCATTTAATTAGAAATGTTAATAATTTTGGAGCAGCTAGGGATTTAGTTATCAAGTGATGAATTGTTAGTTGAATTTGAAGAAGAATTTAGTCAAACGCTAAGCAAATATGATATCAGCAATTCTCGTTCAAGAGATTGTGTTTGCAGCTAGCTTGAAGGATTAATGGTTTTCAAGGGTTCTTTTATGTCTGCTTAATTGAGATGAACTAGAGAGGAATGAAAAAGACAAGGTCAAATTAAATGGTCATTTATCATTGTATAAGAGTTTGGCATAATCTTTGCACATAAAAACTTCATTCAGATGATCATTCACTTCTCAGAAACGGAATCTTATTACATTTTGAACACAATGGCTATAATTTCACACTAATAACTCATCCACCCATTAAACATTGCTTATGAAATTATAGCAATGAACTTTTCTTCAAGGCCTTGATCATTTTCCCCACCAGCTTCCCGGTATCATTAACACTCTGTCACCCCAACTCTAAACTAATTCTTTCACATGAATCTCATATTGGGTGGATAGTCCAGTAGAATATTACAGACTCATACATCAAAGAAGATCCCACTTTATCTGAGGTAAACCACAGCTTTCATTGCAGCTACAAGAAGAATCCTCAACAGTAATTTAACATCAAGTTTCCTAGTGTCATCCTTGGCGAATTCTTAAGAATGGTCTATACCTCTCTCAGACTGAATGATAATCGGAAAACATTCAATATTGCAGGGAACTTTCAGACAGTTGCCTGGTTTTTGCACCCTCAAAATGCAACACTACTTCCTCTGTAATTTAGATGATTTACAGATACAGAACTTGTTTCCAACAGTAAAGTCCCGGCAGCTGCGAAAATTGGAAAAATGACAGGATTATAGTAAAAAATTTAACTAGCACTCAAGTTCAAAACATCAATCCAGAAAAGGCAACTAGATGCAACATGAAGTTAAACTTGCAATGGAAATGGCAAGAATTGAGAATCAAAACAGCAAGTATCGAAAGCTCATGGCAGCTTAATAGCCATGGTAATACCTGATATTCTAAATTCATAGAAAATACTTGACCACAGAACATTTCTACTGCAAGTATATGCTGTAACCCATCTAAATATTTTAATCCCTCATAAATTTAAAACATACCTCTAGCACCAAAGATGTGCCCAAATGAAGCAATGGCTGTCATTTGCCACCATCACCTCAGGCAAAACCAGCCACTGAAAAGCTTATCAATCAACTTTCAGCCCTGATTAGTCCTATTTGAGAAGTTCTGACACACTTCTATTAGGCCATCGCTCCTCCGTCTTCATCCTCGTAATTCGAATCCAATTCCTTCTCCTTCTCCAGATCCCCCCTATCAACAAACCGATTGTTCGACCTCCTATTCCTCAGAATCACATCCGACTTCTTCATCAACTTAATATACTTTTTCCTCACCTTCAACAGCGGATGTTCTTCTATAGCATACTTGTCCCGGAAAGCCTCTTTAAGAATAGCAGTACAAGTTTTGTTCCTAAATGACAAACAAAAAATGTGGGGATGCCTCTCAAACGCCCTGTGAACCTTTTGTGGCAAACCAAAATACTTCTTAAGACACAAAAGTTTCCTCCTCTCTGCAGAATGCTCTACAAAGAGACTAAGCAGTTCATGAAGGAAGCCCACAACTCTTTTCTCTGCTACATCACTAGTAGGATCCAAATGTGAATAATCCTCATATGGTGATACATAAGGAACATTTTGAAACTCCTTAATCCAATCCTCAACCTTTCTCCTCAACCTCAAACCCTTTGAAGGAAAAAGAGGAAACTCAATAGCCTCCATTGGTTCTCCAAAAGAAACTCCTTGCTTCATAGCATTTCTTTGCAACACAGACAACACTTTTCTACCCTCACTCTCAACAGCTAACCCCTTTAATCCATCTTCCATATCAACAAACCTAAAAGAACCATCAAGATTCACTTCTGGCTGCTCCAAAAAGTCACTAGGCAACCCCAAATACCACTCCATTCCTTTAACAATCTTCAAAGGCAAAACTTTATCTTTACTCATCAAAACAAACCTCCTCAACCTCTCTCTCAACTCCTCTCTACATTCCTCATAAACAATTCTCTCCTCTCTATCAGTCTCAACAGCTTCTTGGGTCAACCTAAACCAAGGCAAATTATGCATAGGCCCAGTGAACTCTTCAAAAATTGATGGGTATTGTCTCAAAAACCTCGCAACTTTAACATGTATATCAAACTCAAGTCCTCTCTTTGATATAGCAGAGATTGGGATAGAAGCAGAGGGCTCTTGGACGACAACATTCTTCAAAGCAATGATGGGTTTGAGGTGCATGGAGTTGTGGATGTGGTCGATTGAATCAAAGTAGAAGTCTTGCTTCCATTTCATGTAGACATTTACATAGTTGTGGGTTTGGGTGTATGTGAAAGGTGGAGGCTTTATTTCGAGCTGTTTCAGAAAGGTTTTAAAGATTGGATTTTTGGAATTGATTAGTAAGATTTTTAGGGTTTTAGCGTAGTGCTTGCTGAATAACATGTATAGGGTTTTGGTTGAGGAGATTAGATGAACAGATTTCAGATCTGTGCAGAGGTTTTAGTTTGCGGGGAATCAAAGAGCTTTTCTGAGGAAAGTTCCTTTCAAAAATACGGTGCCAAATGTTTTCATATTTCACTCTGAATAATCGCGCAATAGTACGGTGCCAAAGTTCCATTTCATGTATAGGGTGGTGGTGGTGGTGATGGTGGTTTTTTTTGTTTTTATTTTTTATAATAAGAACAAAGTTAAAAAAAAAAAAAATGAAATTACACATGAACACTTACGAAAGAAACTTCTTAGCAGGGCTTTAACTTTTAAGAGTAATCTTAGCCTTACTCACTACCTTTACTCACTTCTCTTACTCACCTTTATTAAAATATTAGCTTTATTCACTTATTCATTTTTTTTAATAAAAGTGAATAAAAGAAGTGAATAGGGGAGTGAATAAGGCTAGCATTATTCAACTTTTAATACCAGGCCCGGCCTGGCCGGTTAAACCACTCTAACCGAGACCTGGGGCCTTGGCCGAGTTTCCAATTTCAATTATTCATAACTTATCAAAGCAAACCTTGTGATCGATGAGCAATTGATGGTTGAGATGTTGGAGCTTTTGAAGAGAATGGTTGAGTCGAAAGGTGGTGGCAAAGGTGATTTTTAGTGAGTGAAACGATTGAAAATCGCAAAAATAGCATGGGGGCAAACAACAAGTTATTGCCAATGATTGGCAAGACGAATTAGGGTGAGGTATGATGGGTTTTGATAAGGAGGTTGAGGGGAGTGTTTTCGTAGTAATGAAGAGTGTTGTTAACATCGATGGCTGCATTTGGGGTGTGTTTGTTAGATTTTAAATCTATAGGGACTTATGGGTATTTTTTAAGGGTATGTTTGTGAATTTCGAACCTTCAGACATGATGACATCACCGATTTGACCGGACAATCAAACTAGTTCAACCGGTCAATTCGAGACCTAACCACTTTGCCAAGTTTCACCTCGAACTGAATTTTAAAACCTTGCTTCTTAATATTTCTTTTCTATCTCTACAACCATAATAATAATCGTGATTTTTCATATTTATACGTTCATTTAATTAGAAACAGATTAAAATTTATATCCAACAAAATTCCTTACCCATTTATTTCTTTGACTTAAATATGTAATTTAGAAAGATAAATAAAATTATATTATCGCAGAATTTGGAGAGCTATAATGCATTTTCAAGTCCAAAGATCAATACAATGGAATGAACAACGGAGCATCATATAAATACGTATATATAATTACAAAAGCTTCATCTACTATGAGAGAAGGAAATGAAAAAAAAAATATTGTTATATAAAAGTGTAAAAGAAATGACTAAAGGTCTATATACAATAACAAAAAGGCTAGAATGAATCAATGAAATAATATTAAGAAACTTTCCTACTCTACAAACTCTAAGATGTGTAAAGATGTATGCAAAATGGAATGAATCGGCTCCCCGCCCCACCACCATCAGAGAAAATTATTATGTACAAAACAAGTGAAAACTGGTGTGCAGTAACAGCAAGCTTCCATTTTCTCTATTCTATATACACCAAAACCAATAATCAAGCCAATGGCTAGAAGCCATGAACGAATCCATGCAGATCTTAGAAGTAAATCCACGATATGACCACCATGCGATGCAGCCATTCAGCTTCAAAATATCCACCATTTCTTCTTTTTCTTATCTTCAAACGCAGGCCCTTCTGAATTTATATAAAAGCAAAAACGAATGAGATAAGATTCATTGCACAAATGTCCAACAACAAGAACAGAGAAAGAACAAATTGCGAATTCAAATTATCGTTCAAACATGTATAGTAGAAAGCCACACAATTTCAAATAAACAACTTGAGTTTCCTATTCTAATATTTCTAGCCAAACTAGTAGTGTCAAGGTAACGAGTGAAGTTCCAGAGTTAACCATTTGAAAAAGGCACCATCGGCGGATAAAAGATCAGTCACAGCAGAAGTGCTGCGCTGGGGAAAATGGAGTTAAGTAGAATCTTAAATTCATAATACATACAATCGACAAAAGCATTCTTACCTCCTTCAGGATAGATCGAATTATAGTGAACCTCTGCCCAAAAACTCAAAAAGATAACTGAAAAATGACAAATGGTATGATTCATGATTAGCATTTTAAAAGGGTGTCATGACATAACAATGCCAGAAAAATAAACCACAAAAGGTATTTTCGTCAAAATCTGTACAATCAGAGATAGATCATCAAGTTTCACCAAAGAAATGACAGCCTTGTAAAATACTTACTTCGTGCGGATTTTGGAACATGTGGAAGGATCTCAATATAACATGTGTCCTTAAACGAAGTTATCACAAATATCTTGACACCATACTGCAATTATATGGTAAAAGGGAGTTAGTTATCAAAATCAGAATCCTATTTACAGTGCACAGTTGATGTTGATGATAGTTATGAGCAGTCAATAACCTCAAGTAGCTATACTTAAAATTGTATTATGAATTATCATTACAAATTGAAGGTTTCTATGATCACACAACAATTTAAAGTAGACTCATTTCATCCACAATATCAGTTACTTACGAAACCAGGCTTTTAAAAATATATTAATTCAAGGCAAGTATGATTGAAAATGTCAACGTTCACAAGAGGTCATCCCGTACAGAGCAAAAGAAGTCGACCAAACACTAAAGCCTAACTTCTTTTGCAAGACTAATTAAAGCCGAAATTCTGATTGCAAAATTAACATGAATTTCATACACCACAAGTTATTCTAATGTTGCAAGAAACTGGTAACTTCCATACTTCTCCAATCACAAAAACAACTGAAGGAGACACAAGGAACTATAAATTATGAAGAATCCATAAAAGGAAATTAATTCAAGGTGATAAAATTATATCTGAGCAATTACGTAATATAGAAGAGAAGGACCCGACATTCAAACTCCTAATATATTCCCAGAATCTTGAAAAGGAAAAGCCAAAAAAAGAAGCATAGGAACTAGAAGATCCAGTAATCAAACATACCAAATCAGCAGCAGCCTGCAAAGTGACATGATCACCCCATTCACCACTCCTATTTCATCCACCATAGAAAATATAAGCAGAGAACTAACTTAATCAAGCCTTTAAGGTAGAAAAAAACAGAAATTGGTACAAGTAATTTACTTGCTCATTCTCTTCAAATACTCCCCATAAGCCATTGGAACATAACCCTCATAAATTTCTGGGTAAGACTTTAGCTGATGACATCAAAATTGGAAAAAAGACCACACTTAGTATAAGTGATATGTGCAATCACAGCATCAAGTATACTCAAGTTCATTAACTAAACCAGACATTAAACTGACCTGATTAATGACTTGTTCCCTCACAAACTTGTGGTGCGCTGGAGATCGATAGAGCTGATCTGATAACGACCGAAACTGAGAAAATAAGAAACTAGTAAGACATCTCCAAAGCTAATGGAGGAGCAGCTACAATTACTTCCCATATAGATTGGAGAAGTCCCAGAAAACAAATAATTGATAGTTTCAGGAATATTTTTTAGTATCCTCAATAGCCAGAAAGAAAAGAAAAAAACACCTTAAGACCGCTCAATAGTATAACTTCAAATTATATCATCCATAGAAGTTTAAAGAACCAACCTGACAGTTACCATCTCCTTGCACCTTATTTTCTACCAGATCATACAACTGCAACCTGAAAAAAGAGAAAAAAGAATGTACAGTTCAAACCAACTTATAACAGCAGAATTTTCCCAAAAGAAAAGGGGGTAAATTTCCTGTCACTTGAAAGAGCAAGACACTAGAAAGGGGTATTTATATGGCAGCACAGCAACAGGGATCCCATGGATATGCATACATGAAGTGAACATAAAATAACTATCTAGGAGAAAACGATGAAAGTTTGATTAATTTTAAGTTACAACACGTGCAACGTCCATCAATGATGGTTCATTAATGTCCATTGATATAGACTCCTTCCCCCTTCCAAACTACGAATAAGATCGAGAGGATCCGGAAAGCCACCAAACCAAGAACAGAAACGGAAGCCTTCCTAAATATTTTGCAAACATACTGCATAAACAAATCAATAGGCCATGAGATTTAAGTATTAAGAAGTTCAACCCAAAAGCTTAAGTTTATAAATTCAACTGAGAACGATCTAGTTATCTTACATTTGATCGATATTGGACTCTATTATCTCCCTTACGGGTGGCCCTTATTATAAGGACCATACATTATAAAAGTACCTACAAGTGATGGAAGCGTTGCTAGAAGAGCATGTCTCTCCTTACTCTTTAATTTGTAAACAATCGATTTAATGTGATAATTATCATAAAGTGAATCAGGATTTTCTTTGCCACACATCAAGCTCCATAATTGCATGAATGCAACAAATTCGAACTGTCGATACATCCATTAACAGAGACACCACAATCAATTTCATGACACTACCTAGACAGAGCTTCAAAAATTTCTAGGCCAGTTTGCATTGCATATAAACAAGACTTAAACTCCATAAACTCATTAAAAACTAATTAATAATTATTAGATGATCTAAGAGACAATAATTAGTAGACAAACAGATGGACCCAACACCTATCTAGCAGCCTTTGATGATCTGATATCTCATCATCAGATGAAGGTATTTCACCATTAATTTTGGGAACATGCTGCAAAAAACAAATAAGGGAAAGAAGATGTGTCAATTACTCCAGCAATAAAGAGAAAGAAGCACTGGGTAACAATAAACAGAATGAATCTAACACATTCATACCCTAAGGGTCAACATAATCACAATCTTATTTTGAACAAATAATTCATAAATCCCCATCCAATTAAGCTAATGACCAAAAGAAAATATGATGCAATACCTAAAATGAAAAGTATCTAACAGTGTGCAAAAGAATGTATTTCAGAGACCATTGCTAAAAGAATATCATTCTGACACTGAAATGAAAAATAAAGCAACAATATAGAAACCATACTTACAGGAACAGGGACCATCTGATTCAATCTCTTGCCCACTTCACCATCAAGAATAGAAGACTCGTCAGTTATGTCTAATAAATACTGCAGATTCTCCCCCTGGCCCTCATCATCAGCAGTCTCCACCTTCACCTCCCTACTTTGATCATCTGCCTCCACCTGTTTACTAGAACCATATGTCTCTTTTCTATTTTGTCCAGAAAAATCTGCTGCTTCCTGATCATTCTCAGACCCTACACATAATAATTGACGGTATCCCATTAAACCCTAAAGTAGTGACAAAACAGCATAATAAATTAATCAAATTGGCAGGCAAAGAATTTCCCACTACCAGAACTGTAGTGTCTTCTTGAAGGACCAAGCCAATCCTGTGCAACTATCGATTCTTGAGAGGAATTAACAGACCCAGATGCTTCAGCAGCAGCAACTCGCGACAGTTCTTCTTGAAGGGAATATGCAATAACCTCATCATTCTCCACATTCGCCTGTTCTGTTTGACAATAACCTTCTCTGACATACGCAACTTGACTCAAATCTCTATCATACCCTGTAACCGTACTTTGTGAACCAGCATTTGAAAGAGTACAGACATCTAAAAGTTGATGAAGACCCCAGCGAACAACATCAGGATCTTGCTCACAACTTATCATCTTGCTCTTATAGTTTCTGACAAGGAACCGTCCAAGCCTATAAATTCCTTAATTTGTGTAATTCTTCCCCATAAAGTTTCAAAAACTGGAACAGACATGAGAAAACAACAAGCACCACTCAATGCATCATCAAATAAAACATAACACTTCAAGAATATATAAACTTGTAGACGACCTCGACACACACACATAGTCAGGTGTTTACACTGCAAAAACACAAAATTGACCCAAAAAAATGCCAAATAATATATGCATCAGAAAAGGTTCATCCAAAAAACATCCTACAAGGGCTATTCTTGATATAGCCTACCCTTTAGAACTTGACATACAATTGCCACTTTCAACACTTAAGACTCAATGTGCAATCTTATTCTTTCCAGGCAAAGATTTTAACATAAAGCTAGGTAACAATCCCTAAAACCAAACTATAATTTCCCAATGAACATAATACCCAAAATAAAATAGATATAACATAACAATATAAACATCACAAAAACTTCCAGAGGAATCATACTTTTAATTCAATCATCAAGTAAATTTCCGTTCTTTATCTAATTTCAATAACGAAGGAGCGAATCTTTTTCAAAAAAATAAGTAAATACGCAAAACTTAACATATGAATGAAAAATAGCAAAAAAAATATCAGCAAAACAAAACCCAAATCCTCCAATCAGAAACCCAAAAAAAATTAAAAATAAAAAGAGCCTACCAAAAGCAAACAAACGTAATTACAATTACAAATACCGTAAATAAATAAATAACTAATTGAAAATTTAAATAAATTAAAAATTACCTGAGATTTTAAAAAGAAAATGGTGAGATAGGAAGATAAACAGAAAGAGAAAAGCGAGGGAAGAAGACGGTTTAGGAAGTTAAAGATCGAGCAAGTTTGATAGAGATAATAGTTGAATTTGCCCTCTATTTCGGCGTCTTTTCTTGAAATTCCTTCCTTCTGGCCAGTGGTAGATATGCCACGCGTGTGAAAATCGCTAAATCCCGCCGTACCACTACGTGGCCCCCAATGCTCGCGACACGTTGTCGTTTTTTGAATTTGTGGGTCGGTTACAGTTCGTACTAGGTTAGTGGGATAACAGATTTTTTAAGGAGTAATATCACAGTTACAAAGAAATTTTACAAAGATCTTCATACAAAGTGATGTGGCAAAAAATGAATAGAAGAGTGAATTTAATGAGTTTGACTTTTTGTTTCACTCTTCTATTTATTTTTTGCCACCTCACTTTGTATAAAAATCTTTGTAAGATTTCTTTGTAACTATAGTATTATTGTTTTTTAAATTGTGTGATTAACGAGAATAAACACCCGAGGTTTAGCAAACTACCAAAGTGGTACCCTTTGTTTCATTTATTCTATATTATTACCCTTATAATAACAGTATTAATCACTATTAGTTCTGACGCATGTGCATAGATTACAATTATTAAACTGCCCTTGAACTTTTAACTTTTGATTATTTAGCCATAAAAAATTGAGTGAACATATAAAACCCAAGAATTAATGCCCCCATAATTTATTATATATACCCATAATAAATTTATGAAATCACAATAAGGCCCTTTATTTTATCTGTAAAATGCCAATCTAATAAAAAATCAAAAACCATAAAAAAAACCCATAAAATCACCATAATGCCATCGGGAATGGGGTTTCCCTGATGTTGCGCAAGCAAATGTGAGATTTGGTTGGAGCCGGAGGTGGTGGAGGTGGAGGCTTTGGTGGTGGTGGAGAAGGAGAGGAGGAGATGTTGGAGGTGATTTAGATGAAGGTGGAGGCTTTGCAGTTGGTGGCAGGATGGAGGGGCATTGATGGTGATGGGGAGTAAAGGGAAGTGGAGCTGGTTGTTCTTCGGCCACGATGGAGGCTGGTGCTGGGGAGGGGTGGAGGTGGAGGTGGAGTAAATAACCATTTAACCTTTCACTATTAAATAAATGAAACGGTATACTTGAGGTCGGGATCTGAGTAAATAAAATTAGGGGTTTACCGATTGTCCATTTTATTAAACCACGGGTGGGAACATGTCGTTTACTCGATTAAAGAATATCATATTGTTCTTCATTCTCCCAATGCAAAAGTATATGAATTTATATTATAATTATTTTTTCTCATAATTACAAGATTATACAATATCAGTAATTGTTTCTTGTTTAAAAAGCTTTCATTTCATCACCATTTTATTGACCATTATCAAAACTTAATATAATATGTTATCTATTGGTTATGGTTGCAATATGTTGATAGATTTTGGAGTCAAACAATTAATTTTATAACTCAAGATTGTGCTTGAAACTCCATTAGAGCAGGTAACCAAGCTGAGCCGCAGTGTTATTTTCTGTCACTTTCATGGGAAAATGGAAGAAGTGGAGTTTTGTGTTTAATGTCCATGTTCATGTAATCATCTTAATCTCAATCAAAAGGGGTTGCTCTTAATGTCAAAGAAGTTATGACTTTAGATATTTATGGCTGTGTTTGTTTCCTATTCCTACCATATCTTATTTCTATCATACCCAAAATACGTATATTTATTTTAATATTTTCAAAATTTAATCTTATTATATTTAACTATTTTAAACCCTCTATGTTTGTTAATTTATTCAGATCTTTGGCCATAGATCTGACCTGAAAAGGTCAGACCGACGCACCACTAGTCAGGTCCAACCGATCGTGCACTATTACAGTGACTTTTGACCACCCTCTAGCGATGGTGGCCAACTGCGACATTTAATGGGTGGATGATGATGTATTTGTTAATTTTCAATGTTTTATTGTATGAGTTGTTTAGCTAAATTAATAAATCTAGAGAGGGTTTTTGTTAATTTTCAAATACTATTTTTGTAATAACAATATAACTCAACTTTTTGAAAAATAATAAAACAAATAGAGCCGTTGAGTCTTTTAAAACTTCAATGGGAAACAAAACATGTATATGCCATGCAAACTCATTTGCTTTGATAAAAAGCTTTACAAACTTAATTTACACATTCAGCAAAAAGGGCAGCCCTGTTACATGCATTAATTCATGGGAATAACAAGAACAGTTTGCGCGAATGTTTTTTTTTAACATGGTCTCACAATCTTAGGCTTCCTCGTCAGCCAAATGAAGCGCCCTTTCCCTTCGTTGATCAAATTCATTAACCTTCTTTTTAGACGTTCTCTTCTTGACATTTCAGAAGAATCTTTTGGAGCCAAGCTCTTCATGGGTGTTAGGGGGGCTCCATCTTCAGCTGACTCTACAATTTGAGTCACCATTTCCAACACTTCACTCATTTTGGGACGTACTTTGGCTTGTCGTGCCAAGCATCGGTTGGCTACAGCTGCAAGTTTTTGGGCAGACTTGAGGGAATACTTCCCTTCGAGCCTTGGGTCTAAAATCAACGTGAACTTTTTCACATCAGTGAGGTGCGGCCTGACCCAATCAAGGAGTTTTTGCTCGCTCTTGGGGCGACTTCTATCAAGAGGACGCCTACCAGTGATGAGTTCATAGAGGAAAACTCCATAGCTCCACACATCACTTTTAGCTGTGAGACGGCCGGTTAGAATGTATTCAGGAGCTGCATATCCAATTGTTCCTACAACCTATTTGGATATCAGATAAATTGCTCTCTCTCTTCCTACAAACTAATAAAGAACATCTAATTATGGACAGTATGCATATTACAACAATGCACAAATAAAGAACTAGAGAAAAGTGTAAGTATTAAATGAATAAACAAGTTCAACAAATGACACACAAGCCAAACCAATCTTAAACTAGACATACGCCATATGATTTCAATAAAAAATATCTTCAACTCATTGCAGAAAATTTACCCAAAGAATATAGTTTTAGTTGCAGATTCAATGAGTTTTACCTTATGAGTTAGATTTCGCATACTAAACGAAGTCATATCAAGATGAAAACACATATTAAGTTTACTATAAACATACCGCAGTTGAGACATGACTTATTCCATCTGAAGGTCCCAATCTAGCCAACCCAAAGTCTGAAAGCTTTGCATTCCATTGCTCATCCAAAAGTATGTTTGAGGACTTGAAATCTCTAAAGATAATCTGTGCCAAAATAAAAAAAATAAAAAATTGTATTCAATGACAGTAAGACACTTAACACAGTTTGAGAGTAGATCAAGCCCCTCATTATATATGGTTAAGTAGTTGCCATTAAAATTCAAGCAAAACCTATTTTTAGATCCTAAACAAACACATAGAAAAGGAGAGACTGAGAGCGAAGGTTTGCAAAACTTGGTACTATCAAGATTGATAAGTCCAGCACTTTAAGGTTAATACCCATCAAAGTTGTGAATATTGACAACCAGCCTAAGCTATCTCAAGAAAAGGATATGTATGAAAAAATCCAAGCCACTCTTCTGAAAAGCAACCTAACTTTAGAGCAGTAATGCCAATCTCTGGATAACTCCGGTTCATATAAATATTAAATAATAAGAATAAGCTATCTTAGCTGATATGACAGAGTTTTATTGGCTTGTATGGTTATCGTATAGTCTCCTAAAACTTCTAGATAGATTTTGATCCTTCTACACAATGGTTGTAGGAGTATTTTGTTAGGCATAAGACACATCGTGTTAATTATTCTTAGTGTCTTCCATTTTGCAAACCATCACCTTTTGTTCTTACAAGCTCTGCCAGTTGAATGAAACAACTTGGTACTAATTTTGCAGCAACTGGTACTAAACTACTGACATTTAATCTTACGAAGAAGTAAACAAGAAATAAAAATTACCTGAAACTCCATTCCTTCATGGAGGTATGCTAGGCCTCGGGCAGCATCCTGGGCAATTTTCAGTCTTGTGGCCCAAGGAATTGTTGTCTGCGATCGACTTGATAAGTGATCTTGTACACTTCTGTTTGGCATATATTCATATATCAGAAGCCGTTGAATTCCTCTTTCATCATCCTCTGCACAGTAACCCACCAGTTTGACAAGATTTTGATGTTCAACAACCCCTAAAACATTTACTTCTGTCACCCATTCTTTGTGACCCTGCAAAAAAGATTTAGGAGCAACTTTATCATGTATCTCCATAGAGAAGCTAACTTTGAAATGCCGTGAAGGAAAACAGTAAAAAATGAGAACATGTAATTATAAGAGCGTTTGCCTTTCTAGTTATCCTAATGGTTTTTACCTTATTAAATTTCATCACTTTAGAAGAAATCGTAAACAGGTTTTGCAAACTTCAAGTGAAGTATCAAGAACAATGTCATAGAAGCCAGCAACAACATGCATCAATTTTGACATGATAAATTCATCTTAAATGCCATTTTCTACCATAAATCAGGCTCTATAATTCGCTCAAGTTATATAAAGTTCATCACCTAATATTCCCTNCGCATACTAAACGAAGTCATATCAAGATGAAAACACATATTAAGTTTACTATAAACATACCGCAGTTGAGACATGACTTATTCCATCTGAAGGTCCCAATCTAGCCAACCCAAAGTCTGAAAGCTTTGCATTCCATTGCTCATCCAAAAGTATGTTTGAGGACTTGAAATCTCTAAAGATAATCTGTGCCAATAATTAAAAAAATAAAAAATTGTATTCAATGAAAGTAAGACACTTAACACAGTTTGAGAGTAGATCAAGCCCCTCATTATATATGGTTAAGTAGTTGCCATTAAAATTCAAGCAAAACCTATTTTTAGATCCTAAACAAACACATAGAAAAGGAGAGACTGAGAGCGAAGGTTTGCAAAACTTGGTACTATCAAGATTGATAAGTCCAGCACTTTAAGGTTAATACCCATCAAAGTTCTGAATATTGACAACCAGCCTAAGCTATCTCAAGAAAAGGATATGTATGAAAAAATCCAAGCCACTCTTCTGAAAAGCAACCTAACTTTAGAGCAGTAATGCCAATCTCTGGATAACTCCGGTTCATATAAATATTAAATAATAAGAATAAGCTATCTTAGCTGATATGACAGAGTTTTATTGGCTTGTATGGTTATCGTATAGTCTCCTAAAACTTCTAGATAGATTTTGATCCTTCTACACAATGGTTGTAGGAGTATTTTGTTAGGCATAAGACACATCGTGTTAATTATTCTTAGTGTCTTCCATTTTGCAAACCATCACCTTTTGTTCTTACAAGCTCTGCCAGTTGAATGAAACAACTTGGTACTAATTTTGCAGCAACTGGTACTAAACTACTGACATTTAATCTTACGAAGAAGTAAACAAGAAATAAAAATTACCTGAAACTCCATTCCTTCATGGAGGTATGCTAGGCCTCGGGCAGCATCCTGGGCAATTTTCAGTCTTGTGGCCCAAGGAATTGTTGTCTGCGATCGACTTGATAAGTGATCTTGTACACTTCTGTTTGGCATATATTCATATATCAGAAGCCGTTGAATTCCTCTTTCATCATCCTCTGCACAGTAACCCACCAGTTTGACAAGATTTTGATGTTCAACAACCCCTAAAACATTTACTTCTGTCACCCATTCTTTGTGACCCTGCAAAAAAGATTTAGGAGCAACTTTATCATGTATCTCCATAGAGAAGCTAACTTTGAAATGCCGTGAAGGAAAACAGTAAAAAATGAGAACATGTAATTATAAGAGCGTTTGCCTTTCTAGTTATCCTAATGGTTTTTACCTTATTAAATTTCATCACTTTAGAAGAAATCGTAAACAGGTTTTGCAAACTTCAAGTGAAGTATCAAGAACAATGTCATAGAAGCCAGCAACAACATGCATCAATTTTGACATGATAAATTCATCTTAAATGCCATTTTCTACCATAAATCAGGCTCTATAATTCACTCAAGTTATATAAAGTTCATCACCTAATATTCCCTAAGCTAAATAAGATTTATCCAAGATATACAGGAATACAGATGATATGCGTTGACAGAATCTAGAAAACAATAGAAGAATGGTAAATCCAAATACAAGCATTATACACATTTTCTGGATCATTTTTATTTGAAAAACAAAACATAATTACTTCTTCTCATCGACTATATCCTCAAGAAATATAGAAAAACCATCTAATTTCTAGCTTTGAAAGAGAATTACTGGTAGTTATCTCCAATGAACATTTCATATAAAACAAAACAAAGATGTTGGCTTGAAAAGAGATATAATCAAAATTATTGGTTCTCTCTAAAATAATGAGAAGAGATACAGAGGCAGCCAATTCTTAATCAAATTTAAAAAAAAAAAAAACACACTGCTGTCTGAGCATCTTCAAATATGTTCCAAGTAAAATTTTAACTTCACCAGAAAGAGGGGAGTTTGCCTGATTTCTGGATCTAACATGTTCAAAACAAAATTTCACACCAAATTAGATGTATTTTATTGACCAAAAAGAAAATTATAAAAAATCTTCAAAAATATTATGGTACTAAACTTGCTAAAATTCATATTTAAAGGCAAGTGTAAGAAAAGGAAAACAGAGAAGAAAAAAAAGCTTGCCTGCAAGCCTCTTCTACTTAGTTGTTTCACAGCAATATCTATCTTCTTACTTGAATCTTCCATGCTCCGGATCACACCCTTGTAAACACCACCAAATCCACCTTCACCAATCATGAGGGAGCGGCTGAAATTCTTTGTGGCTGTCTTCAACTCCGAGAATGTGAAGATTCTGAGATTACATTGTCTTTGGGACAGTTGAGACAGGACAGCAAATGAGTTCCTTGTGGAGGATGCTGTGCTTAAATCTGAGACATTTTGAGAATTTAACTCGGATCCAGATCTCCTCATGTCACGATCGGTTGACATTGAAGTACTGGTATTGGAGGAGCGGACCGAAATGGATTTTGTTGTCTTTGGATCATCATTTTTATCTCCTTTGGAGAAATTGAAACACTTCATAGCCTACTCCTAAAACCACTTGCCGCACTGCACATTTACAACTGAATATGATTAAAAAAAGGCCTGAAAATTTAACACCTTCAACAACATTACCCAAAAGAATTCCATAGTTTTTGCATTTGGAATGAAAGTACAGCAACCAAAAACATCCACAAAAGCTGTACCTACTTCTCTTCTTATGAATTCAACAAGCAAAAGTCCCTATCACATAAAACTTTGAATATGTAATTGAGATACTATGAACTGAAAAAATAAAAAGTACATAAACTTCAACTCTTTAAGCTCCAAATTCACTAAGGGCGGGCCAGCTTCAATCTCAAAACAATCAGCAATTGTTTTAAAAACCCTTTTCCTTAAACAATGCATATCCAAACTGAACTTTTAAAACAACCCAAGATGCCATCTCTAAAACCGCCATCCATGCTTAAGTTTCCTCCCAGAAAACCACAAATTTCAACTAACCTCTCACATAAGCTAGCCTCAACAAGTTCTCATTTTGAACCAACAATTCAAGTAAAATCATGAAATGAAGAAATGAGTTAGTTACCTGTTATGTGAATTACAAGGAATGCATTAATGGAGAGGCAATAAGGTAGGCAATAAGGTAGGCTTTACAGGCTATAGTCATAGGAAGACACGTAAACAAGAACTCAAAATCCAAAAAGGAGAGATGAGATTGATGGTATCCAAGGACACAACGAGCTCTCCATGATCTAAAGCAAGTCAATACAAGGCAGCTGGTTTCTAGCTCACCAACCAAGAACCCCATCATTTAGTTTATAATAAAAGAGACAGATTTGAGTGAGTAAACACAACCCAAAAAGATTTGACGATGAATCCAAATAATTAAGTTAAAAAGTGTGAAAAGGGTTTATTCAATCTCTGATTGTGAAAGCGATTGCCCACTGAAAAAGTTTGCTTTTTGCTTATTCCTTTCTTTCAAACACAAACAAACAAACACTCTCTCTCTCTCTTGCAACTTCAATGCTAAGAGCAATTAAATAAATATTTATTAACTTATCATATTATAAATTATAACAATACGTTAATAACTGCTTAACAATTAGGAATTTATATTATTTTCTGAAATATTAAGGAAAATTTGTGTTATATTCTTAAACTTACAAAATTAACAGGGTTGTTTTAGAATTTATATATAAAATTAATTTTTGATAATTAAAGGAAACCAAAAATCATTTCAAGAATATATATTTGGTTGAAATGTTTTTAAAAAAAAAATTGACTATATAGCTATTATATTTAAAAAAAAAAAAAAATGAACCCATGATATGAACTAATAATTTAACCGATTCATTGATTCAATCTATCGAAACAATCTTCATTGTTTGAACTATTATCACGAGGATTTTAAATAATATCTCTTTAGATGCTATTTAATATTTATATTATAACAACTCCAAGAGGTTGGTCTGACAGTTAAGAAGATTTGTTCCATTTCATAGGCTTCTTAGGTTCAAACATTAAAATCATCTACTACAAATTTAATATTATATTTATCTTGTAGGATGTTCAATGAATCCCGAGGATTAGTCGAGGTGTCAGACACCTCGATGATAAAAAATAGTAATTATAATAATAATAACAACAACAACATTAATCTTTTTTTTAAGGTAACTGTTGAATTGAATCTGGATTATTCAAAATTTGTTAATTAAAAACGTGGAAATAATTTTAAAAATTTTGTTAAAGAAATGAAGAATTTATCACATAAAGCTAACGTGGTACACCTAAATGAATAAGTAAATTTCAAAGTGTTACAAATGTACATGTAAGTGTGTGTACAGGTGTGACAGGTAGTTAAATGTTGGAAGGCATTTACATGATTTGAATAAATGGGTCGGTGCGGTTGCTTTCGGTGTTTTAGTCTTTTGACATTAAACAAACAAATTACAAGTCAACGATAGAGAATTAATCAAAGTCAAATTTTTAGAAATTATTGGGATATTTCATGTTAAGTTGAATGGATTTGATTAATAAAAATCTACATACTTATCCATATATTAATTCTACCAAATTATTTGATTTAATAAATTCATGAATTTTTATAATATATAATCTCCATGATGGTATTTAAATATATATTTTTATTTTGATGTGATTATTATTGGAATGGTACTACTAATATTATAATAAATCAAATTGATTTATCTTGGCATATTTCCTTTGACCAAATCCTTTTCAGTTTAATTCTTTATATTACGAGTGGGTTTATTTTATTTGTCTCTGTGAAAATAGTTAAGTCTTAAACGTTATAACGAAATTTTGAAAAGTATTAAAAATACTTTGATTATAATTTCTTTATATATATATATATATATATAATATTTTTCGAAAATGGTTAGGAAGTTTGAAACTTAACTATCTCATGGGTGAATGGAATTTATCTTAAGAGATTGGTTCGACGATTAAAAATATTTGTTTCCTTCATTGACTTTTATGAGTTCGAATCACTTTGAGATCACCTATCATATTTATGACTTGTCTTGAAATATTGAGCTTGTAGGATATTCAATAGGCTTCGGGATTAGTTAAGATGCATGCAAGTTAACTCGAACACTCCAGTCACCAGGGTTATAAATAAAAAATAAAAAATAAAATCAACCATATTAAAGAGTTAACAATTATTCGATCTTATAATTATAATCTTGCATTGAAAAATCATTGCAATCCATGGATTTTAGATGACAATTTTAACCTAATATGCCAAAACACCTCTATTCTTAGAAACTTATCCACAATGTGAATATTTGAATTTTCCAGTTTAATGTCAGCTTCAATACGAAAAGTAAGACAATGGTACTTAATTGGAAGCTTCAAAAAGTAGTGTTAAAGGGTACAATATGGGCCTTATGTTTATGAAAAAGGCCCAATTAGAATCTTCAATTATCATTCTACTTCTAGTTCTACATCCTATTCCTCCACTGGGATACCGTTGGCCTTCAGCTTCACAAAGATTTGAGATATCCAATGGTTATCCAGGTGGCGGGTAACTTTACTCGATTTCTATAAACAAAATTCTCAGGAGGTCTATCTACACCATAGGAATCATTCAGAGTACGTAGATTGGATTTAGATTTAATAAATTTAGAATAAAATCATCTTCAATAAACAATAAATAATACAAGATTTTATATAAAACGTTAAACATTAATAATATATAATAAATGAACAAATTTAATATTACAAGTTTCATGCTCAACGGATCAACATCGATTATCAACCTCTGTCATAAACCGCATTATAATATTTTTAACTTTTTTTTTCCTTTTGCCTTCTTTCAAGTCAAAATGGAGAGTATAATAATGAAAATTGCATAATCTTCAACCCACAAAAAAAAAAAAAAAAGGGAAATTTCACTTTGTGAGTTTCATTTATTCACGTTACTGCATTTGCTGCGAAATTTCACTCTTTAATTCGCAGACCAGACAGCAGAACCAGACATGTTCGTTTTGTTTAGTTTAAGTTGGGTTTGGTCTGGTCCTGAAAGCCGGCTTTTGGAAGTCGCCTGGACGTGGTCCTTTATACGGGTCCCACAACAACCCTACAAATCATAACACGTAAAAAATATTTAGCTTTGACCTTCAAAACGACATATGCGTTTTGATTCCTTAAACTCTTGTTTTTTACAGACGCCATTGACGAAGTGTTTGAGCTACTTCATTTAAATTTTTTCCCATCTGGGTTTCATTTCAAATTTGTATTTTTTCATTCTTTCTAGCTCCAAGTTTGCATCTTCTTCTGTCAAAGCTAAAAGTTTTGAGCTTGAAGAAGCTCAAAATGTTGAAATCGTGCTCAATTCTCAAATGGGTCGTTGTAGTTTTGAGCTTTTCATATGTGGTGCATTGTCAAGATGTGAGTGACTACGATCAAATTGACAACCCTGCAGTTCTTCCACTTATCACACAGGTTGTTTATGGCAGAATTTCCAATCTTACCAGGAATCTTAGCAAGAATTTGGCCAGCCGGTCAAGTGCTTGCGTTAAGGACCCGTGAGTTATTTCTTTATAAATTTAGCTTCATTTGTTTACTCTGAAAATTGAAGAAAACAAAATCATAATGTGAATTTGTCATGCTTTGTGTTATTCTTGATTTATTTTAAAAAAAAAAAAAGGTCAACTTAATTACTGTTGAAAGTTTGCGTTTAATGTTCTTGCTTCTGGGTTCTTGAGAATCAACATAATTTTTATTAAGTGATAGGATTAGGGTCAGTTGTGCTGTATTTTCTGCTTTCTTAGAGTTACTAGTGATGTAAATTTAAAACATTTTGGTTTATTTTCTTGGTCTGAATTTTCTTGAGTTAGATCCGTTTTAAACGTTGATATGTTTGTGTGCAGATTGTATTTGAATTTGGTTTAAATTTGAAGCTTATTTGATTGTTACAGGGAAGCTGATTGGAATAAAGCATTTAATTATTCGTCCAATTTGGACTTCTTGGCTTCTTGCATTCAAAAAACTAGAGGTACAAGTATCTCAGAGGAACGTGTTTTTTTTTTTTTTTTTCTTTTTTTTTTTTTTCCTGTTTGATTGATTGGCAATGTAGGAAGTAGAACCAACATTTTGAAGCTCGGAATTGCCCGTCTTCTATTGATTTGTCGAAGGCTTAGTAGTCACTAGTGTTCTGGCCTTAGTGAGCTATTGAACCCCAGATAGAGCATCTTGGCCTAGAAGGATTCATGTTGTAACCCCACTCTGTCTTGGAGGTTTGCCGAAGCATTAGTGATTGATAAAATATTGTATTCTGTCTAGTTATGTTGATTTTCACATAGTGAAGCTACCGTTGGAATCCTTAAACAAATTACATTCATAGTAGTTGGATAATTTTAAATAATCTCATTATTAGGTTTAGATCATCTAGCCTCACAGTGTTGATAACATCCAATTCTGAATCACTATCTTTTGAACTTGGCATAGAAAGATGTTGGCTTTTTGTTGGAGCTTTAAAAGAGGGTAATATATTGTAATCTTAGTAAAGCCGTCCCTTATACTTGAATGGGTTACAACAGATAAGTTGCTAAATGGACCAGTGGATCTCCAGCCATGGGTTTGAGTTCATGCCACTAGTCAATTGTTTGCACCATTTTCTTTTTGGTTCTCTCTTTACAGTTCACTTGATTAAGCTCAAACCGTTATGAATGTAATCAATCTCACTCACTTCGAATGCTTTTAATAATCTTCAGCTTTCCTAGAATCAAATTGATAAACATATCCTGTAATTTATGATTATTTTCAGTTTTTCTGTGCTCTTTTATAATCATGCTTTTGGGAACATCTTTCCTCACTGAATGTGGAGCATGGGGAAAGCTTTCATTCCCTATGGGGGTGCTCAAGAGCCTTGCAATGGGGGGGATGGTATCTTAAGAGATTTTGGGGAGTTCAGGGACCATTATCCACTTTTGACTCCCTTGCCCACACGTATTGGACCTTGGATGGGTGACATTATGGCTGAGTTGAGTTACAGGTCAATATGTCAAATTGTATTATCTGTTCTAACATGCTATCTTGGTACTAATTGGTTTTACAGGAGATATCACCAGGCGGTTGTGCTCTGCTGCAGAAATGAAGTTCTACGTCAACAGTTTCTTTGAAACATCAGGGGATTCCAGTTTTTTGAAACCTAACAAGAATTGTAATTTAACCACATGGGTTTCTGGTTGTGAGCCAGGATGGGCTTGTAGTGTTGGCCAAGATCAGCAGGTTGACCTTGATAATTCACAGGACATTCCGGCAAGAACTCAGAACTGTCAGTCTTGTTGTGAGGGTTTCTTCTGTCCACATGGTCTTACGTGCATGATACGTGAGTTTCTAAGAATCCTTTAAATGCTTTGTTTCTTGATAATTGGAAGTGGAATTTATCAAATCCTCCGAATGCCACTTCATAATTAGTCTTTTTATCCAGAAATCATTACCTGCAAAGGTCCATGTATTCTTCTTTTTTTGAACTACTTCCTAGAGATAAAAATGTCTCTCATGGTGCTTCACCATCAATCATTTTCTTATTTACACTCCTGTTGTTGCTTTTCATATTTGTTCTTGAAGCTTGCCCGCTTGGTTCCTATTGTCCTCTTGCAACACTCAATACCACAACTGGCATATGTGAACCGTAAGTTCAGATTCTAATTTTAAGTGTTGCTTTACTATATGTTTTACTGCAACATCCTAAAATTTGAATCAACATGTATTTCTATCATCTGCAGATATGATTACCAAATACCTGCAGAAAGGAACCATACCTGTGGAGGGGCAAATATATGGGCTGATGTTACTACTAGTAAAGAGATATTCTGTTCAGCAGGATCATATTGCCCAACAACTATACATAGAAATTCTTGCAGTAGTGGGTATTAATTTTTTTCTCAACACTTGTTACTCCACAGCTTGTCTAATATTAGCTAGCAGCAATTTTTTTTTTTTTTTTAAATCAGGTTTTATAAGAAAATTGGGATATTTGTGAATCAGATTTGTATTTTGTTTGAATTATAGTTCGATGAAAGTTTAGGTGCTTATTACTTCTTTCACAATCATTTTCTAATCCTATTAAACCCTTTTTGCAATTTCAGACATTACTGCAGGTTGGGTTCTACATCTGAGAAACGTAAGTTCAATTTTTCTAAAATCTGTTATTATAACTTAATAAAAACAGCTGCTAACTGATTCATGGTGGGTGTAAAATTGTTTTCTTAGTTTTCACTATAAACCAGTCAACTCTCAGAATTTCTATGGTCAAAACTTGGTGATATGTTCCTATTTCTCGATTTTTGACCTTTATCAACCATTGCAGCCTGCTTCAAGTTGACTTCATGTGATGCAAATGCTTCACATCAAAATCTGCGTGCGTATGGAATTATGCTTATAGTAAGTTTTTCTCTTCACTTCTAGAAATAAACTTTAATTGATCTCAGCTGGCTTGGCGCCAAGACAATAAATGCTCATGTAAAAACTTTGCCACTCACATGCCATTGTTCCTCAAATATCTTAAAATATTTCATGATTTCAAATTTTGCAATCTAATGACTTATCAATTTTTAATGTCTCACTTTATGATCTGACAAACTATGAATATGCATGCCTATATCTCCTTGCGTAACCATGCTGATCCAGATAGATACCCTTCTTTACTTGTGCAGGCTGCTCTGAGTACTTTACTACTCATTATTTACAACTGTTTTGACCAAGTTCTCTCCACTCGGGACAGGAGACTGGCCAAATCCAGGGAAGCAGCAGCGAGGAGTGCAAGAGAGACAGCAAAAGCACGTCAAAGGTGGCAATCTGCAAAAGACGCTGCTAAAAAACATGCAACTGGATTGCAAAGTCAGATATCACGTACATTTTCTCGTAAGAAAGCCATCCAACCTCCTGAGAAGCTTAGAATTTTGGACCAAGCTAGATCAGACATAGATGACGATTTGTACCCAAATTCGCATTCAAGTACCTCGAGTGCTACTCTGCCAATATCTGCACCATCAAAAGGAAAGAAAAAAGAACCTGGTCAAATGCATAAGATCCATGAGATAGAAAATCACCATAGTAGTTATGAGAGCCTCAGTCTTGAAATTGAAGATGGAAAAAGAAAAGAGCATATGTCAAAAGGGAAAGATAAAGAAATTACTACTGACAGCCAAATTTTTAGGTATGCTTATAATCAACTTGAAAAAGAGAAAGCTCAACAGCAAGAAAACAAGAATCTTACCTTCTCAGGAGTAATTTCAATGGCTACCAACACTGAAGTCAGAAAAAGGCCACTAATTGAGGTTTCTTTCAAAGACCTGACCCTTACTTTGAAAACAAAAAATAAACATCTATTGAGGTGTGTAACTGGAAAAATTAAGCCTGGCCGCATCACTGCTGTCATGGGTCCTTCGGGGGCTGGGAAGACAACATTTCTTTCTGCTCTGGCAGGAAAAGCAATTGCATGCAAGGCAACTGGTTCAATTCTTATAAATGATAAGCATGAATCGATCCACTCATATAAGAAAATTATAGGTTTTGTGCCACAAGACGATATTGTACATGGAGATTTGACAGTGGAAGAGAATTTCTGGTTCAATGCACACTGCAGGTAGGCTATATGTAGCTCCTTCAACATTCTGGCCACAAATTTATATATTCAACTCATTTTCATCCTTTCTTTTTATTTTTTATAATTTGGGATTCTATAAAATTTAGTATCTTTAGATAATCTTCAATTTCTGGTAAATAATATATAGCTATCTATCAGTAATGAGAAGATGAGTAGGGAACTAAAATCAAAATAAATTAAAACTAACATTAGTGCTTGAGTTGCTCTGCTCTGCCATGTGTATTCTCAACTTTCTGTTTTTTATGATGACTTTCCTATATTTCCTTCTGTGCTGCTGCTGCCATTTTTTCTTACCTTACGAACTTCTGATTGATGAAGATTATCTGCTGACTTGGCAAAAGCGGACAAGGTTTTAGTTGTTGAAAGAGTTATTGAGTGCTTGGGGCTTCAATCTGTGAGGGATTCCTTGGTTGGAACAGTAGAAAAGCGAGGCATCTCTGGAGGGCAGAGGAAGCGAGTAAATGTTGGATTGGAAATGGTTATGGAACCTTCACTTTTGCTCTTAGATGAACCTACGTCTGGTTTGGACAGTGCATCCTCTCAGCTGCTTCTCAGAGCACTTCGACGTGAAGCTCTTGAAGGGGTAAACATCTGCATGGTGGTTCACCAACCAAGGTAACATTTTCCAATGACAAGTTAGCATTTTTTTAACAACTGTATAAATCTTTCATTTTCTTTAAAGTTTCTTGCTTTATGATATCTAAATACTTTCTGGATAGGTGGATTACCTATTCAACATGTTAAGAAGCACTATAAGTTATTTCCCACTACTAGTACTTGACATTTAAAATCATTGGAAACATCATAAATGAAACTGTGAGGAAATTGGTGTCAGTAAGAAGTAAAGAATTTTAATGTCGAAATGGCATCTTAACATGTTCTCTATGTGTTAAGTGTACAAGGTAGAACATATCAGCAGCTATAAAACAAAAATTTCCCTGCAGTTTGCATATGGATATTTTAAGGGTGACCCAATATTCATAGTTCACAATTTTGAGAGTATCAGAAGTTGATAAATAGATTTTAGTAGTAGCTTCTGCAATTAGTTGTGTCATAAACCGTTTCACATTGTAACTTTCTGGTATCAAACTATCAATCAAGTTACTTTCCAATATTAACTGTTGCATCCTTCATCGATTGAACAGGATTGGAAAATTTTCAATATTTATAACCTTGATTTACAGAATCATCTCAGAATTTATTATATATTATGACTAATTTGATAGCAATCATTCTCAGCCTTCATTTCCTTTCTTATTAGCTAACGGCTAAAATTTCTGGTTCAGCTATGCCTTGTTCAGAATGTTTGATGATTTAGTACTTCTGGCGAAAGGTGGCCTTACTGTTTATCACGGTTCAGTGAAGAAAGTTGAAGAATACTTTTCGGGCCTTGGTATCAAGGTTCCAGAGCGCATTAACCCTCCTGACTATTACATTGACATTTTGGAGGGTATAGTGGTACCAAGTGCAAGCTCAAATCTGAATTATAAGGAGCTTCCTGTCAGATGGATGCTTCATAATGGGTACCGAGTGCCCCCTGATTTGCAGCAGAATGCTGCTGGAATTGTTATGCCCCCAATGGGTATGGATCTAGCTAATGGAGCAAATCATGCTGATGCTGGAATGGAGGACAGTTCTTTTGTTGGAGAATTATGGCAAGATGTGAAGAGTAGTGTGGAGTTGCATCATGATAAGATACGATTCAATTTCCTAAAGTCCAAGGATTTGTCATACAGGAGAACTCCAGGTGTATTCCAGCAATACAGATACTTCCTTGGGAGGTAAAAAACCAATTATTTTTGTTACATATCTGGTAATTTCAATTATAATACATATTTAAATGTTAAAAATTCCATGTGTTCCATATTATTTCAAAACTTATCTTGTCAATTATAGACCAAAAAGAGTAAAATTGACATGCACATCCTACAGATATAGTTACTGGCTTACTGCTACGATTTTCCTAAAAGTTCTCATGGTGTCTGTTGGTCATTCACTTAGAATCGAAAAGTGGATTACCTGAGTTAATCAAGAACCTTATGTAATCAAGTTTGAAATCACCTTGAATCAGAAGCTGAAGCCAATGAGTATGGACCAACTCTTTGTATACAAGTTATCGCTTGTCTTATTCTCTTTTCATGTGGGATTTACTTCACACCCTCACATGTGCTTATCCAACACATCCCCAATGAGTTGACATATCAGAAAGAATAGTGGGCTTTGACTTACTAGCTTTGAGAGGAAAGTATAGCTAAGTGATATATATAGAATATGATAGTCGATTGTTTTTGCTTGCCATTGTGCAGAATAAGTTATGTACTACCATTTACTTGATAACTGCTGTAACTTAGCCCCAGATCAGAATTTCAGTCTTTCCATTTGGCTTATCCATCCAGAAATATTTTGCGTCGATTACTCCACTCTATTTAAATGATACTTAATTCTTGACACTCATAATGTACTTGCCAATTTCAGGGTTAGCAAGCAGCGACTAAGGGAAGCTAGATTACAAGCAGTCGATTATCTGATCTTATTGCTTGCTGGAGCCTGCTTAGGATCACTGAGTAAAGCAAGTGATGATCAAACCTTTGGGGCAGCTGGTTATACATATACCATTATTGCAGTTTGTAAGTTCAACAAACTCAGTTTTCTTCAATTTATACACACAAAAGTTTCATAATATTGGAAGAACTTTTTCACTTTTGCCTTACTTTTGAAGAATAAAGAAGGGTAGATTTAGTTATTTGTCCTAAAATTCAGAGAGCAAGAACCAATAGTTATTTCAAATTTGGATTAGATGGGTCAATCGATTGCTAGAACAAATAATTGAATAGAATATAAGATTACAATTTTCTCTGCCTTACCATAATATATTGCTGTTTTCAGCTCTTCTATGCAAAATAGCAGCTTTGCGAACATTTTCTCTGGACAAATTACAGTACTGGAGAGAGAGTGCCTCCGGCATGAGCAGCTTGGCCTATTTTCTTGCCAAGGATACAATTGACCATTTCAATACAGTGGTCAAACCTGTTGTGTATCTCTCTATGTTCTATTTCTTCACCAACCCAAGATCTACCTTTGCGGAAAATTACACTGTTTTGCTATGCCTTGTTTATTGTGCAACTGGTATAGCCTATGCACTGGCTATCTTCTTTCAACCAGGTTCAGCACAGCTGGTGAGTAATGGGAGTAACCAATGGAACATTGTCTTTCTACCAATTTGAAGTTCCACATGTCATTCAGTTTGTACTGACAAGCTATTGATCTTGCAGTGGTCAGTTCTTCTTCCCGTGGTTTTGACTCTCATTGCAACGCGAACAAATGGTAGTCAAGCTTTGAAGTATATTGCTGACTTGTGCTACCCCAAGTGGGCTTTGGAAGCATTTGTGATTGCAAATGCTGAGAGGTATGAGTATGAGTATATGACAACATTGCCTTTTTCTCTTCATCGTATTGCACAAATCTATGTAACATGTTGCACCTTGGAGACTCTCATAAAATTTGTTATATCCATATCAAGCCAGGAAATTATTCAGTATTTGAGTTTGGGATGAACTAGTGTGACAAGTCGTACTTGTGTCAACTGTACTATCTAAAACCAACCTGTTAAATGACGTAGCCCATCGATCCTTATAAGTCGAAGATTATCTCCACCACTAATCTGATCTGAGATCACAACATGAGAATCTAAATATAGGAATGTGAACTTATACGCTGTATAGTGGAAATTGATTTAACAGTTACTAAATCCTGATGTGTAACCATCCATTAGTTAGGAAATCATGGAAAATGATAGGGAAAATGTTTTGTCTTATTTAACTGCAGAGTAAAAGACATCATCATTTTCATTTCAGGTACTCTGGAGTGTGGTTGATTACTCGATGCGGTGCACTGCTGAAGAGTGGATACAGTCTTAATGAATGGATTCTTTGTATAGTCATCCTTCTCCTCATCGGAGTAGTTAGCCGTGCCATAGCATTCTTTGGTATGTTGATCTTCCAAAAGAGATGAGTTTCAACTTTCCATTCTTTTTCCTCTCAATTCTTTATGTACAAAAGCAGTATTTCAGAATTTGAAGCGATCATTCAGGCCTTCCAAAAACATTCAGCAAGAAGACTGCTTGCTGTTAAGTATTGAGTTGTAGCTGCTCAGTAGCAGTAGGAAAATGTAAACCACATTAGACTAAATCATGTATACTGTAGAATTTGAATAGCACCACATTTAAATGAGGAGCTTGTTATTTTAGGCTCAGTTATTTATTTCATTTTGTATTTATACGAATATACAAAGCATTCTTCAAAATTACAGAACTTATGTGAGAGAACATTCAGGGATTTCTTGGTAAGGAAAAAAATTTGTTAATTTTCACTAGCTTCAAATCCCAGTTTATCAGGGGAAACTTAAAGAGAGTGAAAAATCAAGGTGATGGGAAAAAAAAATTGTATTTGTACTTTCGGTCCAAAAAGATGGCCAAAGCAAGAAGGGCTTTCACCATTTAATTCTAACTTTTTGGTAGAATGCCACCCAACTACCTCTCTTCTCAGGGCTCCTTCCTTCTCGTGCTTGATAAATAACATGTACCTGTTTACAGAATCATAGGTAAAAAGAATATTAAGAACTAAGCAGCGGATGCAACAATGTCAAAGGGAACATCATCATTGACCAATATCATTATGAAGAACACTTTTGATAGACGAGTAATCAAACTTCTACTTCAATCAATTCAGTTCCTCTCATATCTAAGACTAGCTGGTTCTAAAGAGGTAAAATAAAGGCAATTGAAAGGTTAGAGAAAAAATGCTACTAATCACCTCCGAAATCAATGAACACATGGTCACTTCCATATAATGTCCCCAATAAATTTTAGAGCCGGAATGCCTCTGATCTCAACATCAACTAGGGGTGCCTGAACCATTATCAAGTTGGAGAGTTCTGGATCACTTCGGATCATATCAAGAGAACGCATCTGATCCTATAATATTAAACAGACAATATCAATTTCGACTCTCATGCAGAAAACACAAAGTTTGTTTGGCAACAAATGGAACATAGACATAAAATTGGAACAATGTAAAATTAGAGGTTATCATTTTCGTTCACTCATTTTTGTAGACCAAAGCTCCAGTTCCACGTTTAAGAAACACAAACATAAAAATTTACAAACAGAAAGTTCAAACTGTTAGACATTCCTTCTCGTGTTATTGCATCATATGCTCACTATTTGAAGTCTTTCTTGCAATCAACAGCTTAACAATCATAAATTTATGGTTTGGCTCATAATGTGAATGAAAGTTTAATATCCTGCCAATAACAGAGCAAACAAATGAATACCTTCCTTTTCATTGCACAAAATTTGCAGTCTGAGGCAGATGGGGGAAGAATCTGGTTAACAATAAGCCTCTTGACAGGTACAGTTTCCTTTGTCAACGAGGAACGCAGCCTTGAGGACTCACTGACCGCCATCACCTAGGTAAAGTCAGTAGATTGAATGAGTCATTTACATGCAATCAACAATAGTTCCTACTAGAACTAAAACATTCTACAATCCTCTCTCCTGCCACTTGCTCAAAAACTAGCTAATTAGCTAACATGATATCAAAGAGTTGCAAGGCAAGAGGGGAAAAAATGGAATCCAGATCCAAATAACAGAGATGATCCAAAATAACCCTATTAAGTCCAAATCAGATCCCGCATGTTCAGTACAAAACCAGGCCAAACTAAGACCAATTACAGCATAAATTTTAACAAAGCAATTTTTCTAAGCAGGATCCTAGAAAACTAAAACAACGTAACTATACACAAATCACTATCCACCAAATAAAAAATTCATTTCAAAATTGAATTGAATACCACATGGAATAAAAGAAGCAAGCAAGTACATTCATCACTTGACGAGGAATATCTAAAAAGAAAATTAAATATCATTACCGTGGGGATTGTCACTATGACAAACTCTGTTGCTTCTGTATCACGGAAAAGTTCACGCACTTTTATCATCCTCTCCCTCAGTTTCTCCAGTTTGTCAGCCTGAATAACAAAAAGACATTAAAATAGAAACTCATAAAAGAAAAGCACGATACTGGTTCCCAACACCATCAGACTTACAGCATTCTGTTGGGTTTGCTCTTGCCCAAATACAGATTTTATTGCTGACGTGGCTGAAGCTAATTTTTGTTTAAGCTGTGACACAAACAAGTGAAAATAAATCTCATCAAATACGGAAAACAGCCCTAGAAACACCAAGAAGTAATTAAATACTTCTGCATTAGCAAGAATGTTCAGTTTCATAAAATTCTCACCATTGTTACCACGAATGTAACTGAATATGTGTAATCCATGAAGCATACTATGGTCCACTTATCACTAAAATTGGATCAAGGTGTTAATATAATGGTCTAATTTAGCCTTCATACCTTTAATATCTTGCCTATGGAAGCATCCAAGAAGTCTGGCAAAGACAGAAGTCGCAAAGTATGGCCCTGCAAAGAACAACAGTCCAGCTCAGTAGATTAATTTACAAAATGAAGTAACATGAAAAATAAGACTTTTTCTTACCGTTGGTGCAGTATCAAAAACTATTCGAGTGAACATACTGTATTCCTGGGATTCAAGGAATTGCATCACCTGGCAAGAGGTTACATGATCGGTAAGGAATTCAAAGATATGCCATACGCCACACAACAGGTTGATTAAGCAGGGCAAACAATACGCACTTTGGAAATTGCAATTGCTTCATCCAAACCAGGAGGAGGTGTGTCCAATAGCTCTCCAAGTTTTAATTCTCCTAACTTTCTCAACCAAATGGTGGGCAACCAAAAAAGGATGAAGAAATTAAGATATGCATTCTCACTTTTGAAACCATCCACGAAAGATAAAAATGCAAGTACATTCAAGGGAAGACATTTGTCATCTCAAGTTGTAAGCCAAAAGCTACAGATAAAGCTTTACCTGCTCTACAAGCATACCGAGACCCATACCATCCATGAAATCCTTAACCCCAGTTCCACCATCTTTCTGAGTTACACTGCGAAATTCTTCCCTAGCCTTCTCAGGGTTTATCTATAGCAAGAAGTGCAATTATGTCTTACAGTAAATGGCCAACAGAACCATCATTAAAAAAATGTAAATATATAATTATATATTAAACAATCATAGAAGAGCAAATTCCCACAAACCTCGAGAGCAAACAATGGACAATCAGGTCCATCAACCGGAACCAGTTGCCCTCCAGTCAAATCCTAAGTAAAAATAAGCATAAGCATGAGTACAAACACAAAATGCACCAAGTTAGACTCTAGTATGAGCAAGCATTCCTGATTCCTTATTTCCAAGAAGACCAACAAAGTAAAAGGCTATAAACCTGAGCAAAAGAATCACTCAATGAATGTGCAGGATCAGTTGAAACCACTAAAGTGGGGTGCCCATTATTTGCAAATTTAACAGCAAGTGAAGCAGCACAACTTGTCTTGCCTACACCTCCCTTGCCACCTAACATATAATACTTCCTTTGAGTCCCGGACACCATTTCATCAAACCCAGCAACAGCTTCCGAAGGAACAGCCACTGATCTCACTGCCATACACACTAAATAATCAGTTTTCAACACACAATATGTGCTCATTCTACCAACGACTTTTTCACAGTTTTAAGTGGAAACTAAATTTCATCAAATTTTGAAGCATCATGTTAAGCAGCGAATCTAAAATTCATAATTAACAATCAAAATTATTGCCTCCTATAAAAAAATTACCTTCAAATCATAACTATGAAACCAATACAAAGACAAAGAACAAAAACAGAATAAACCCACCAAAGAAACTTCAAGTGTAAAAGAATCTGATAATTTTTTTTTTTTTTTTACCTTGAAGTGGGATATTGGAACGCTTTTGTTTGATGGAAATTGAAACAAAGCGAGTGTAGAGCGTGCCGGTTTTGGGAGCGAAAGAGAGCGAACCCATTAAAGACATAGAGTTTGAGTTTGTATTGAAAGTAAAGTTTCTGTGAATTGAGAATGAAGAAGACGAAGAGGTGGAGGGAAAACAAAAACAGGAAATTGTTGCCATGTTTCTGAGTTAATTCACAAACTAAACAAAGAGTTTAGGTTCCAAATTCTGAAGCAGTGACTGGTGATTGTATACGGTTAAGTTTTGCTACAACTGTAACCTGGATAAGGGTTTGGACCTGATCCGTAAACCCAAAGGCCATTTACCTTTTGGGTGCTTTTACTATTATTATTTTGAATAAACGCATGTTCCCACCCAAAGATTAGTGAAATGACAATTTTTCACCCTTGGTTTTATTTATTCCAAATTTCCACCCTTAAATTAACAAAAATCATTTAATATAACGTTTAAGGGGTATTTAGGTATTTTTATCCAAAAATAATAAATCATATCTATATCAAATTTTTTTGCAAACCCAACCCTTCCTCTCTGCCTCCAACTCCACCACCAACACCAATAACTTTAATCCACAACACGAATACACTTCAAAATCCCAATAAACTGCATTCAATCAACTTCTCCAATCAAATCTCAACCGAAAAAACAAACCTTGTTAAGCAAAGGCACTCGAGATGTGTTCAGCGATGGTTGGGTGGTGAGGTTGACTTGGGGGTGCAGGAGGATGGGAGTGGGAGGTGCGAGGGAGATGAGACGCAACGGCCTTCTTTGTGCACGCAAGCATCGTGCAAACTTTCGTTCGCAAATGGGTTTTGCAACAGCAAAGGAAAGGTGGTGGGCTGGTTTTGGGTGGGGTTGTTGCAGGGGAACTTCAAAAGTCACCGGCTGCGATGGGAGTAGCGAAGGAAGCGTGACAATGCGTTAATGAGGTAGGGGTGGCAAAGGAACTTCAAAATGGGTTGTTCTTCACTTTTGGTTGCTTTGATTTGATTTTTGGAGTTGTTTGGGAGTGATTTTGCAGGAGTTTTTGTTTGTAGTTTGTTTGGCCATTGATTGGAGTTGATTTGTTGCATTTTGGGAGATTAGATTGTTGAAAAAACGGCCATTTTCCACTCACTCACCGATGCCCACCATTTGTTTATAAAAAAGCCACAACCAACGGTGGATGGGTGGCGGTAGTGGCAGTGGAGATGAGGAGGGGAAGATGAAAAAGAAGAATGGAGGGTAATTTGGTAATTGTACCCTTACATATTTAGAGTTCACTGATTGTGTTACTTTGTGGGTGGGGATTTGGAATAAATGAAACTAGTGGTGAAAACTTACCTTTTTGCCACTCTTTGGGTGGGAACATGTCGCTTGCTCTATTATTTGTTAATTATATATTTCTTGAAAATTTTGATCGTGGCCTAAAATTATCAGATTTTTTTTTTTTTAATTATAAGAGGTGTTTGGATCAATTTACGCGCACATTAATTAATTTCCTAGAACCTTGAAACTATTGATTAAGTAAAAGCTCCAGTGGCTACCCCTATTAGCAATCGATGAATAATTCAAACTAAAGACCTTTTAAGTAATATACATAAGAGTCTTTATCAAACCACTCGGTCACCCAAAAGTCAGAGATAATTAAAATTATCAACTTTTAGGAGGTGTTTAGTTTTATGATTCAAAAATAGATTTTAAGAGTTAATAAATGATTCAAAATTTCAAATTGTTTCTTAATTTTTTTAATATATGATAATGAGAGAACATGCTCTCAACCACATATCTTTTTTTATAGAATTTTTTCTAATTTTTGTTTATGTAAAATAGGAACAAAACCATTTAAATACTTAGTTAAACGCCAAATCAAACGTTGTTTTTAGTTTATTAAGTTTAAAAAATATATTGTTGTAAATACATATACCAATTTATTAGGATTAATTGATTCTTAGGTAGTTTAAGTAAAGGGGTTCGGGCACTAATTTTTAAAACTTTAAGGGTATGTAGATAATCAAAGGAAACATCAGGGAACTTTTAAAATTTTATGTATTTTTAAATTAGGCAAAAATTCCATCTTAGTATATTCAAATCACTGGTTATATGATTTCAAAAGTTTCAAAAGTCCCGCCCTATTTTTGAAAGCTGGATTCTCTTTAATTTCATTATAAGAATCAATATAGATGAAGACTCTCTAATTCGATCGATATTGATTATTCATTGTAATTAGAGAAGCAATGGCACAATAAACACATTCTTTTCAGTATTGTGTTCTATTATATATTTTTTGTACATATTCATGTATTATTATAGACAACTTCTATACTGGGATTTGAGTTTTTTTTTTCCTAAGTTTATCTCTTGATTAATATTCTTAGGGATTATATTAATTGGTTTTTTATTCATTTATTTATCAATTTTTGCTCTAATATGGATGAAGACTCTGATGATGAGGAGAAGCAGTCAAGGGATATTAACAACATGTAGTGAGTTGCCTGTCTCAATGCCATGCTCAGTGCTATAATCGCGTTTCAGAATCACCACAGAACTGAGGGTAAACTACGAATAGTGTTTATGGAAAGGAAGGCCGAGATCAAGTGTCTCAACTCTAGAGCTTGGTGAGTTTTGATTTCATGACTGATTCAGGAGAGTACTATCCTCGAATGCTGAATTGAGGAACAGATCTAATATGAGAATTCCTTCTCCATTCAGAGTACTTCATATTAGATTGCTCCTATAATTTTATATGTAGTTTCTGAACAACATGAGACAAAATTGCTTCATGCTCTATCTGGAAATTGTAAGATGTGCAAAACAAACCATCTTATTTTTCCAGTTCTCTTTTGACAGTGAAATGATCCAGCCATTCAATCCAAAAGCACAGCAAAATCCATTATTTTTCTGATATCAATCAAGGATTCCATCTTAATAACTTTAACTTCAAGTACAATGTCAATCAACACTTGCTACATTAACTTTCAAAATTAGACTCAGACCTCTAAGAAGGCTACGCCTAGCATTCTACTATTAGAATTCGAGGCAATCATGGTAACCACATATTTGAAACAAGAAATGAAGTAACTCAACTACAAAGGCGTTTCCTATATATTGTTGTAGGTAGCTGGATATATTAGTCTTTCAAGTTTCCCTTTCCAGTTAAATCTTCAAGTGTTAGATTAAATGTATCAGAAGAACCTTTCTTCACTTCTTCCCCACGAGCGGCAAGGAATTCCTCAACGCTTCCTGGTTCTCCAAACCACCCAAGACGATCTGCAATCAGGTGCAGATTATTACAGCCACCACAGCGTGCCACCACAACACCTTTCTCATAAGATTCACGACAAATGGTCTTCACAGATCTTGTTTCACAGACCTTGCAAGTAAAGATCATAGCCAGATCATGCCTTGGGGATGTCTTCAAGTTGGAAACGGCAGTATGCTTCACAGCAGAACTGTCATCAGTGGGCTTTAAACTGCCAGTCTCATGATTTTGCAGAACCTCATCAGCCACGCTGGTTGGATTTGTTAGTGTGTTAAGTCCTCTTCTATGATATTCATTTCTGCTAATGAGTGCACTTGCTGAAGGAAACAACTGCCTAGAGGGTTCTGCCAGAATATTGAAAAGAGTAGAAAGTTTTTTAATACTTCAGAAAGTCAATGTCAATAACAAGGACAGAGAGAAGAGTATGTATGCTACATTAATTAATTGAAGGACCCAAGTCTCCTTCTTCACTCTAAATCATTCAGTTACATCAACCTTGTTAATCTCAACATCCTCATAGAGTGTCTAACTTGTCTTTTAAATAAGGGGTGAAAGTCACCCGAAAATTACCTAAATCAGCAAAATGCACAGATTTACTTTCTAATACAAAACAATGGTTGAACTAACACCCCTACTTCATTCATATTCATGACAACTAGTTTTCCCCTGCATTCTAATAATAAGCATTAAAAGCAAAAAACTAGATATTAGCAAAAGACATTTCAACATGTCTTAATATCCACCGAAAGGACATTTCTGAGACATCACCAAACATAGCCAGATTATTACCAAAGTTTCTAGGGTTTTAGATTTAATTCTTTGAGCAGATATCTAAGGACCTCTTCCACTTAATATTTGCTTCAATTATGATCCCAAATAAGCTATGAGTAAGCAATCAGTCAAACAATCCGTGATAGCACGTGACTCCAAACACCAAAGAAAAAACTTGTCGGGGCAAATGTATCGGAAAAACACTTGAAAAAAAATCCTTCAGTTGTCCACAAAATCTCAAAACAGAAGACCAAAGGTCAAAACTGTATAAGCTAAATATGATATGGACTTACTTGATGAGAATAATTACAGATTTTGCCTCAATGTGAACTCATCAAAATGCTTAAAGGACAATTTAATTCATTGTCCACTTTGCTAAGCTGTTGCTTCAAACTCCACATATTTCTAAGAAACATAGCTTCAATTTCAAGAAATTTAAAATCAAACAAGATGATAAAAGATATAATTTCACTACTAAGAAAGGAATAAAGTTCGAGTATTTTTCCACTCAATTGGCTAAGACAGATATTATTTATCAAAATCATCAAGAACCCAAACCGTATATTCACTTAAAAAGCTCAAAACAAACAACAGAACAACAATACTGCGATTAAAACAATTTTTTATTAACATTTTTATATATGAACATATGCATATAGAACGAGCAAGAAAATCAAATAAAGAAAAGAGGCAGAGGGTTAGTTCACCTTTGAAGAGAGAAGAAGAGTTTTGAAGTCGATTAGGAGAAAGGAGAGAAATCACTCGTTTAATCTGGGACACTCTTGCCGCCATGATTGATTATTTAGGGTCGTCGAGGTTGAAGGCAGCTTAAAGGAATGTGGAGCACACGCGTATTCATACACTTAACAATTTTTTCTTTTTCAAGTTTATTGTATAAAATATAAATAGCGCGGTTTGTTATAGTGTTGTACTGTTGTCTTCTCACCGTTTAAAACAACAGAAAGGACACGTGGCAGAAATCTACTAACCCTAGCTGCCAAATGTTTGTAATTTAATCTGATAGAGAACACCTAGGAAAAAAGTTAACGGTGTGATTTTCTTTTCAAAAAATGTCTTAAAATCTAATGAAATTTATCCTGTGTTGACAGCACACTGTATATACAGTGGACTGCGGTACTAGTTCCACAGA